AGGGTCGAGGGCTTCGTAAATCAAAGCCGCTCGACTTGAGAGGGAGGTGCTGCTCGGACGGATGTGTCGATTCGCCGTGATGTGTCGTGACTGGCGCGTCATGAAGCTCCGCCTGCACGGGCCCGGCGATGTCCTTTTTGGTGGTTTTGGGTAGACAAATAGATGGCGATTCCTGGTTTGCCTGGTGGCTTCATCATCCAGGGCCATCTACTTCCCCCAAAGAATGATACCTATGTTGAAACATGTTCTCGCCGGACAGCTCCGCCGGTCAGAGAGGTGCCATTTCTTTTCGCGCTTCTTCCAAAAGTGTGCTTGGAGCTTCATGTGGAGGCTGGTGTTCTGGTGGGGTGCTGCTGAATAGTGACAATTGTGCACTATAGGCAGGGGTTTGAAAGTCGTCAAGTAGTTGAGAGTGATTTTGCAGCCGGCAACGTTGAATGTGATGCCGCCCCTCTTTTGTTTATATGCGGTACTATGAGCAGGAAAAGCAGGCTCTAGGAATGCCAGTTCCAAAGCGAAAGACGGCGGAGTCATGATGAAGTGTTTTTTGGTTGCAGGATGTTTAGCAAAGCCAATTTCCGGTTCAACTGCTTCACCTGGAGTCTCCACCCTGGAAACATGGGGTCATGCCACCGTGACCCCTCTCTTTTGAGAAGTGACCCCCATTTGCAAAGGGAGACAACCGGCAGATCCTGTTTGGACACTTTTCTGCCTCTGAGCGGCCGCCAGATCTGAAAGTGCCCGAATTCCACGAGCTCTCGCCCACAGGAGCCTGAAATGATGTGCGACTTGGAGCTGGTCCCGTTACCGGAGTCTTGCCAATACAACCCTAGGCTCGTTTCTTTTGAAAGTAAGGCAATCCCAAGTTCTTCCCGCCGTATGAAAGGGCTTCCTCTTGTAGTTTCGACAAAGGCAGCAAGTATTAGGATTGTCCAACCTTCTATTTTGAGCAGCCCAGTTTTGTCAGTGCGTGCAAACATCATGATTTGCTAGGCCAGCTCAGCCTTTCGAAGCCTGCCGACTCACCTTAGCGCTCACACGCCTCGGAATACCGTCTTTGTTTACTCCGTTTGCAAGGCTGCTTGGAATGAGGTTTGTATTTGCTGCCAGGAGTATTAGATGGCATCAACGGGAGCATCATGTTGCCTTTGGTTGAGCAACGCGCGGAGCCGTTGGCCCCAACCCGCGAGGCTCTGCCCAGAACTTTGTTGCAAGTTGCAGCTGGGGCTGGCAGGCACGGTGCTGCCTGCCTGCGCATGCGCTTACACCTTCTGAGTTGGACGCCTTGTCCTGCATTGCTGGTTGGTGCCGCAATTGCCCAGCCCCGCTTTGAAGCTGGAGCGCGGGGTTTGATGCCAAGATGCACTCCTGGCATCTAGCTTCACAGCCAAGACATTGCACATACGGTCGTTTGCCTAAGATGCTGGGGACTGGTCGCCCCCGCCGAAACACTTTCCATTGGCGGTGAAGCGCAGGCGCTTAACTACTTGCAGCTTGCCAGTTTCGGAGCGCAGAGAATCCAGGCGCGTGCCAGGTCCCGATCGCCTCTCCCATGCTTAAGATCAGCGGCAAGAAGCGCGCGCCTGACACACAGCTCAGCTCGCTTCGGATCCTTCACAGAATAATAGTGGGCGAAAGCAGCAGGAGCCGCCCAAGAGCCTGCGTTTGACGGAAGGAGTGCTTGCTTGTGAATTTTGCGCTAGAGTCCAATTACACGAGGTGAGATATATATATATATATATATTTCCTCAATTTTGGAGAGGCAAGGCTGCCGTGGTATCTTTGCGTGGAACCATTGGACCCCTCGCACGCCTGGCACCGCCTGCGCGTGCGGTTGGACACCTTGTCCTGCAGTGCTGGCAGCGCCACAATTTCCCAACCCCGTGTTCAAATCCGGCTTGCGTTCGAATTTGGTTTCATGATGCGGTCGTGGTCCAGCCTTTGCTCATAGCTGGCTTCGCATGAAGGCAGCTCGCAAGATGTTGCACTTTGGGTGGGTTTCGAAACAACTCCAGCTGCAGAATGAGTTGAGTTGAGAGGGCGCAGGTGCTCGGATGGCAGTGATTTGCAGTGACCTTGGCATCAACAAGTGGGTGCTGAAGCCAACAGGCCAACCAACCTGGCTGCTGTGCCCGCCGTCATGAATGTCATGAATGTCATGAATGCGTCATGAATCACGGAGCAGAAAGTGACGCGCGTATCTTGATGCATCATTGTGCTGCTTACTGTGTTCTATGTGCAAAGGTCGCCGATCTGCTGATGTGCGCGCCTTCTCGTGGACCGCATCATGCATGACAGACATTGGGCAGACATCGGACATGCATCGATTTGGTTTTCTGCCATGAACGGGCGCGGCGCAATGAATCTCGACCAATTATGACGAATCACGGCGATTCTTGCTGCATGCATGCCAGAATCCGTTTCTTAGAGCCTGATTAGGGCAGCTCTACAATCACATCGCATAGGGCGTCTTGATTCCTTGGCTTGAGCAACGCTCAGAGCGCAAGGACCAAATCCCTAGAACTTCGTGACAAGTTGCAGCTTGAGACAGCCGCGGTTGTCACACACGGGACTGGCCACAGTACTGCTGGCTTGCGCATGTGCTCTCACCTTTTCCGCTTGATGCTCTCCCTTTCCGCACCAGCAGCGCCACATCCAAACCTTCTGTCATTTTGACCATGTTGCGCATTGCCGGCGCAGCTGAAGGTAGCCAACATATGCCAATAGTTCCAACTAAGCGACTGGCAAACCTCCCCGTGATGTATTTTGAATTCCTGCGAACGACCGGAAACGGTATAGCTCAGTGGCTGGCTTCGCATCAAGCTTGCTCGGACTTGCAAAAGATTGCTTGGGATGCCGGTTGCTCGCTCGGCCTGCGGGCGCAGTAGGTGGCGAATGTCGTAAGCAGTAGCTAGTTGGACACATGGCATAGTTTGCCAACCGGCTCCGCTTTTGACGGTTGCCAAAGCCGTCGTGCCTCACAACTGTCGATCTCCACTTTGCTTTCGCCGTCGCCGATTGGCGTTGCAAAACCACACTCTGCGCATTGATCCCCTTTTGCCCATTGCGGGCCTTTCACAGCTCTCGTTGAACAACTTCCATTCACGCCCTGTCCTGTTCTTCCTCAAACGCCTCAAAGTGGCCGGCGTTCCCATGAGCAAATTGCCAGGCTTTGGTTTCCAGCGCCAGAGGTGCCGCAAGCGGCGTCCGCGCTGGTGCAGCTTTTCTGGCAACGAATCATGGAACATAGCACGGGCCGAAGATGGCCCTGGGCGATGACCGACCGCGCTAGGATTAGCAGCATACTTGCAGTGGTCGGTGCTCATTTCCGCCAGGGGGACACAGCGCTTGCGCGCCTTGCACCGGCAGCCCCACAACTCTTCCCCGCCTTTCCTCTTTCAAAGCTGGCGCACGTTGGGAGGAGGTTTCCAGATGCAGTGTTTGGTGTTTGCTTCAGCCGCTGGCTTCGCATCAAGGTGGCATGCAAGAGGTTGCTTGGAATGAGCCAATTTCAGTCAGGCCTGCAGGAAAAGTGTTTGATATGGCATCATGAAGAGCGACATGCGCAAAGGTTGGGAGCCGTTCGACCCAACCAGCTTGGCTACTTCGTGGCACGTAACTACTATGCCTCTTGGCCACAGCATTTGAAGCAAACGGATGTGTGCTCAATCAAAGCCCTAGCTTCCCAAATGCCAACTGACCCAGTTGCTTCCCGACGCGTACGACCTTGTTGAATGTGGCCTGATATTGCACACAGCGTAGACCGCTTGGGCCCAACCTGTTTAGCTATGCCCAGAACTTCATCGCAAGTTGCAGATTGACATTGTTGCTGTGGTTGGACACACACACACACAGAGACACATGTGCCACACCTTGCTCGTTTGCCTCGCATCACCAGCAGCGCCGCATGTAAACCTTCGAAGTTTCTCAAATTTGGAGCATTGCCGGCGAAACTGAAGCGGGAACGCAGTCCAGGGGTCCAAACGCCCAAACCGCTGTCAGCCTAGCTTACTTGACTTGAGCGCGGACATACTGCTGGCTTGCCAGTGCTCTCTCAGACTTTGAATTGGTCGCCTTCCTTGCGGCAACAGCGCTGCCACTTTCCAGCCCTCATGTTTTCAAGGCTTGCTGTTTGCGTTCGCTTCCAGGTTCACAGGTTGCTTGAAGTGGAAAATGTTCAACCTTCCAGGAGGAGTCTTAGATGTCGCAAGAACTCGCCCACACATCGCACCGAAAATGGAGCCACCCTGCGAGGGAGTCCCGCTGTGGGGAATGTGGGCACACCCCCCACAATGGTGGTGTTGCTTTGGTGTCCCTTTAAACGCCACAAACATTGGGTACCCTCAAAAGACTCACTTCGCCAACCTTTCAAAAAGACGCACCCTGGACCCTCAAAGTACCAACTTGAAAATGGCTTGCTGCCTGCCCCAAAATGATGGAAGGGGCGATTTTGGGCAGTTCTGAAAGGGGTCCATGGGTATAAGAAACGGGCCCCGGTAGGTCACCAGTGGACCAGGACCATTCCAGGGGTACCTTCCATTTCCCTTCTTTCCAGGGATCCTTCTTTCTAGAAAACCTCCGGAAACCCAGGGAAAACAATAACTTGTTTGAAAATAACTTAATGATTGAAAGGAATGGAAAAGGAATCAACCCCTAGAACCAGGTGTTTCTGGGTGAATTATATCGACCTCACACGACCTCACCCCAAATGCTGGTTTATGTGGGGAATAACCCCCCCAACCACGGTATTTGAGGTTTGTGAAATATTATAATTCACTCAGAAGGAATGGAAAAGGAATCAACCCCATTTCTGGGTAGTTCTGTGTAGGTGATAAGAAACGTGTCCTGGTAGGTCACAATGGCACCAGGACCATATGGGTCAAGATTAAACCACCAAATAAACAAACCAGGTTTGAGTCCTTGTTTCCATGCAGCAGGATAACCCATTTTGGGGTTACCCTATGTTTGACCACCACAGCCATCTGTTTGTTCGGGCGCAGGTCCAGTACTGGTCCCACCCCGCCGTCTCCCGCGTGCTGCGCCTCGACGCCTTTGGCCGCTGTGAGTTCCTGGGCGCCTTCGACGGCCAAAACGCCGCGGCGGCGAAGGCGGCGGAGGAGGAGGCGGCGGTGGAGGCGGTGGTGGAAGAGGAGGAGAAGGCGCCAGGGTCTCCAAGCGCTGGGGTTCCTTTTGGCGCCGTTCTCCAAAAGCTGGGATTTTGGTGATTCGATGTTCCTTTCTTTTTCTAGAACACAGCTTAGACGTTTCTCTTCTTGTGGGTTTCCCTCCATTCTTTTGGGTGCATGATTTTGGAGGACACCAAGTTGGGGTTCCTTTTTTCCAGAACACAGCTTGGATTGGCGCTTTTGGTGGGTTTCCCCTGGGTTTTACAATGTTGTCTCCAAAAGTTGGATTTGTTGTTTTCCTTTTCTAGGTCCCCCAGCTAGGTGCTCTTTCTCACTTTTTTTGGTTGGGAGGGTTCCCCTACTAAAATTAGACTGCAGAAAAAAGGGTAGCTGTATTCTAACTTCTCTGCGGTTCCCAGCCATTCGGTTCCTTAGCTTCTTAGCCTTTTAGTGTTTAGTGGTTGGATTTCCGTATTTAACCCACTAAAAGTTATTTTTTTAGCGGACAGCCCAGTTTCCTTTTTTCCAGAACACGGTTTGGATTTGCGCTTTGGGTGGATTTCACCCGTTTTTCCCCGTGTTGGTCCTTTTTTAGCATCTTTTAGTACTCTTTTAATTTCTACAGGAATGAATCCACAAAAACCGCATCCGAGGGTTTCCCTTTTAGACCATTAAACCATTGATACCCTCAGAAAAGACGCACCCATGACCCGTTTGAAGCTTCTTCCATTTGCTTTATGAAGCCTATGTTCATTCTCCAAATTGTCCAGTTGTTGGTGGTTGGAAAAGGAGCCGTTAGGGAGCTAGTATCCAAACTTGTTTTTGGGTGTGCTTTAAGGGAACCCCTGAGGGTCCCTTTCTGAGCACGCACAAGATTCGGCATGGCTTGCAAGATGCAAGGGCCTCTCAAAACAGCATGCCAATCGTGTCCTTTTTAGGTGAGTGTGCTCAAAACGACTGATGGCCTGGTTTGGGGTTGATTGCATCTAAACAACATAGGTGTCCTTTTCGGGTTAGTGTGCTCAGAAATAGATGGCCCTGGTTTCGGTCGGATGGATTCTGCCGGGGCCATGCATTTTTCCCAACAAGGACACCTATGACATGTGTCAAACGCGAGCCCCCAAGGTCAATTCTTTGACCTGTGCAGCCCTGGCAAGGTAAATCCTCTCGGCCCACTGGGGGTCTTCACGGGGATATGAAGCACATACTCGGTGATGCAAGTACCCCACTCCGGGAGATTGCTTGTCAACTTTTAAATTGAGTCAACCATTCGTTTAGTTCCGGTGTTTTAGTTGGGGGGTGAACCCTAGGGCCCAGGCGTCACGAACCATGAAGTAAACTTGGCAGCAACGACCCTATGATGTAGGGTTCCTATCAGGATGCATCCAAAAACCACCTTCTTGACAAGACAACTGCGAGTTTCCAGGTGACACAAATGTTGGTGATTTGTCAAAACAGGGCCACTTCGAAAATCGGTGCAAAGAGAAAAGCGCCCGCACAAGGGCCAACCCAACCCCTCAAAATTCCAACCCAACAATGGGCTATTGCAAGCTAAAAAGATGCGGTTGGTGCATTCCAGGGTCTTTTCTTTGATGGGTAGTTCTTCCGAGTCCAGATGCCAATGCCCAGCTTGCCCCCTGAACCCCCCCCCGGGATCCCACCCCGCCTGCCTTTAGGCGCCTGAGAGCGGCGACCCGAGCCGTCCAAGCGCGGTGTCCAGCAGGCGAGGTCCTACACAGTCCCACTTAGGGGGGGGGGTCTGCAACCTGATTTTATACCTCCATGTGCTTAAGAGTATTTAAAGTATGTCCCTTGTTGGTGTTGAAGGGAATTGAATTCGGTTTTTAGACCTTCCATGTAGTTGGTGCCATTTTTAGGTTGGTTACTCTGCTTAGAAATAGGTGGTTTTGGATGGGGTTTTTCCCATGTGTCAGGGCCATCTAGTTTTGCAACAGGACGCCTATGCTTCCATGTTCCTACGAGTATTCGAGATATTACCCCTTGTTGGTGTTGAAGGGAATGGAATTTTACTAGAACAGATTCTGAACACACGGTTTTCTGTGTATCTGTCATTCGGCCAAGTTGGAAGGGCAAATAGGGTTGAAGCCACTTGGCTTACTTTAAAGTGCCGACCAAGAAGGCCCGGCACAGAACCATTGGGTTTTGAAGATGAGATCGTAGAATCGCCTTGTGTACAAACAGGGAATTTACCCCCATATGCGTTGAGCAATCATCCATTTTTGAGGGAATTGGCCTGCCCACTCCCGAAAAGACCCCCCGAAAGGGTAAGGGATTCATAGGCCATTGCAACCATGGTGCCATCTTAGAACTTTTGGCAATCGCCCCCGTGGCCTGATTTGGCAAAAAAAAGCTCGCTAACGCCTGACTGTGGCTGCACGGTCCTTGATGCCACTTGATTTTCTCTGTCTTGAAACCAGGTTGTTTGAGGGCCCTAAATCATGCCTTTTTCCTCGAGCCTCTGGCTGGGTGGGTCATTTTTTCCGAGGACCCAAAAAAAGACACCCCCCCCAAAAAAATAAAATGAGAAGAAGGACATATCCAGTTTGGGTCCATGTTTGGATCCATGTTGGGTGGTTGTTTGAGGACCCCAACCATAGCCTTGATCTTCCACCCTGAAAAAGCAGTTGCCTTTGCCTGATTTTCCATTTTCAACGAGCAACATCAAGAAGGGCCCTGTTGCCTTGGCCCTTGGAAGACCACGGGTAGATGTTCCGTTTTTGGGTCAAGTTCGATCCGTTTTTTTTTGGCAGGCAGGCGGCCTCCGTGGAGCTCCGCCGCGCGGGCCGGATCCTGCGGGAGGCCTCGCTTGAAACCCCCGGGGCGCCGTTTTAGTGGGGGGGGGGAGACCCAAATGGAAGCAATTCCCGAAAAAAAGCGAGAAAAAAGTGGGGTTCCTTCAGGGAAACCTCTGAAAAAAGTTGGGTTCCTTCAAACAAACCAAAAGGAAAGCCGTTGATACTGTGGTTTCCCTGAAGGAACCCCCAAGGGGAACCAACTCCAACAGAACCGACACAGGCCCCGAACTGTGTTTGCTCGAGGGGTTGATCCATTGGCCCTTGGCCCCGCAGTTTTGACCATGGGTAACTTTTCCCATGTGGTTGAAATCCCACATGGGTGTGGCTCAAAATTAAACAGGGGCGGTTACGCAGGTTTTGGTCCATGTTTCCACTTACCAGGGTTCCATTTTGGTACTGGTTTTTTGAGCCACAGCCACATCTTTTGGGTGGTTTCTTGCCATGGTCATGCCATGTAAAGGACCTGTTGATCAACCCCCATGTCAATTTTGGACATTCGCTGGTCCAAGTACCTGGGAAGGCACAAAGAACCAACGTACATGCTCACAAGGTACTTGGACACTTGCTTTCAGGGTTGTGGGATCAAGGGGTTTATCCAACCACTTCTGTGATACAAGGGAATCTCCCCCTTTATGTGGAGGGTTAGTCTTTGGGGTTAGGCCCTTTTTGTATCACAGATTCGTGGATTCCTTTTCCCCACAGCCCTGCTTACTTTTGTTTGAGCTCACTCTTTGACTTCCTTCACTTTCTCACTTGGCGATTTGCTAACACGAAACAGCTTGGCCATCTTCGAGAATCTCGATGTACTTCATGACGCCCCATGGCTGGATTATAGACACATGAGGCAGAGTCTGGATGTGTGCCAACCTGGACCCTTAAACATGGCAAATTGCAACCCCACAATTCTGGAGTTGGCGAACTCCAGCCTTTTTGTGTTGTTGTTTAAGCAGTAGTTCTTTCGGGTCCAGATTCCCACTTTCGAGTGGCCACGGTATGTGGAGATCTTTCATCTTGCCACTTTCCGTGAGGCAAGGATTCTCACTTCCTGAGTTTCTGAGGTTTAGTCACTTTTTGGGTTTGGACCATTTCAACGGTAAATAAAACAGGTTGGTTACTTTTTGGGCCATCCACTCGGGAAGTGACAATTCGAACCGCCGTTGAAGGTAAGAAAAAGGTAGTGGTTGGGAATGCACTCTGTCGATCGATTTCCGGGATCGATTTCCGGGATCTTTATCCTGTCTTGGACACCGACGGGAATTTCTAGAATTGAGCCACGATCAAAACCCGGGTAGATGAACGTAACTAGGAGACAATCCCAACCGTAAATAGTTGCGGCCGCCTTCTTAATTCTTTACATGGCTCTGGGTAGACCATTTTGATACCGGGTTTTGATTATGACTCAATTGGAACAAATGCCCACTAAAAGAAATGGATAGAACCGGATGTCCTGTACTTGGAGTCTCCTGATGACCGTCGAAAAATGGTCAAAATGTGGGTAGCGAGCAACCATTTCTTCTAAGGGTTGTTGTACTACACCCTGGGAATACACCCACTGAATATTGATGAGATTTAAACACATTTCCGGATAAAACCGTGTTATTTGAACCATTCTGGGTCATTTCCCAAGGGTGTAATCCCAGGGTGTAATACGAAAACCCTCAGATTTCTTCAGAGTCGGAAGGAAACTGGAAGCTGCTTATACAGCTCGCCCTCTTTCCAACATGGAAGTGGGTGTGTCAATTGTGTTAGACCCCGAACTGGATTTTGGTTTTCCTCTTGGCTTACCTTTCTATCCTACCCTAAACAATTGGTTACCGCCCTAAAATCATGGGGTGCATTCCCTTTTTTCATGTGAATCTTGGAGGGTCCAGGTACCAAAAAGGGACCCGAAATCCAACATGGATTTCTCGGTTTTCCGGTGGGTTTCCCTTTAAAAACCTAGCACCAAGTACCTAGAGTCTTTCTTTTTTCTGACCCTTCAAAAATGGTTGGTCATTAGCCTAAATGAAGGGGTTATGGACCCATTTTTAAAGGGTCATGGACACTCCGGGTACCGCAAAGTAGGCCACTTCGTTGGCTTCGAGAACGAAAGCGCGAAAGCGCCAGGACCTCATGGCCTACGCCAAAGCCTGCGGCGGCCTGGCGGGCGTCTTCAGCATCGCCAGCCTCATGGTGGCGCCTTGAGCTGTGGACCTCCATTTGGTGAAATTAATACTTCTATTTTTTTCACTGTTGGTTTTAAAAGGGAATCGATTTCACCACTGGAATTAATACCTTTTTTTTTTTCCAGCGGACTTAAGCAAATGGAGGTGGATGGTTGCAAATTCCGTTTCGCACCAGTTGAAACCATGGTATATTGGTTGGTATTTACACGGGGAATCACGCCAGAAATTCGTAGGCGGTGTAGTTCGTCCATCCACAGCGTGTCCCATGTTTAAAGGGCCATGGAGACTCCAGGTACTGGGAGTGCGAAATCCGCAAGTCTCGCACCACCGAACTCAACCCCAAGGGAATGATTGGATTCCCCAACGTAAATACCAACAAATGGTTTCAACCATGGTTTCCAACTGGTGCGAAACGGATTTCGCGCATCCACAGTATGCGTGTCTTTTTGAGCGTCCCCCCTTGTTTGCGGTGTTAAGTGGAAACCAAACGGAACAGAAAAGACAGACCCGTATAGCACCATGTACTGTGTGGGAAAACGTGCGAGGTGTACATCACACGTTTGGAGTCAGTGGTCTTGGGGAAAAGCCAGCCGTCATCCAGGCCGCCTAGGGGCAAGACAAGCGAAATCTCCACGTACTTGTTCCGATTTCCAGCGGTTGAAACCCGACCACCTGCTAGCCTTGTGGTTTCTCTTTTAGGTCCACGTTTAGCAAAAGTCCCAAAAGCTTCACCTTTAAGTTCTAGGTCCTTTGTGCAAATGAGGATTCTTAGTTCAGGTTTCGGAAACGTAAAGCTTGCAGACTGTTGATTCGGTTTTGGGTGGCCTTTTACTTATTTCAGATAGAAACCCTGTCTGTTTAACCCAACAAGCACTTGTTTGAGTTTCTATACCTACCTTTCCGTGTTTTTTTTTTGGGGGGGGGGGAAAGCAGGTTGGGGTTGGAAAAACGAGGATCCCCTGTTTTCAGATGGCGATGAATTTCAATTGGGATTCCCTGATTAAAAATGGCTTTTGTGCAGAACCCCCCAGGTAAATCAATTATGACGAAAGGGTGCCCAAGGCAAATATCGGTGTTCCAGCAAAGCTGGTCTCCCTGGACCTTAAACAATGGTTTCATGCCCCCTGTATTTTGGGAAATGACCAACCATTTTTTAAGGGTCAGAAGGAGACTCCAGGTTGTTGTTTTCAGCTGGGCGTCAACAGGTTGAATGTGGGTTCCCTTGTTTTTCTTTTGGGGTTGTTCTTGGTTTGGTGGGTTTTTGGGGTTCTAGAACGGTTTTTAGTTGGTTTTTAGTTTGCTTTTTGTCCGTTTGGTTTCGCCTGGTGTTCCTTTTGATTGGTTGAAAAGCCGAGGTCCCCACAGACCGTTTTCAGCTGAGGTCTACTACGGCTCGCAGTTGGCTTCCAGCCTGCAGTTGGCCTTTTGGTCCAACGCCAATGTGCAGGCGGAGGACGGATTTGGGATGACTCCCGAGCTTGGGGGTGCCTTTTTTGAGAAACTACCTAGAGTGTTTTTTCAGACCCTTAAAAAATGGTTGGTCATTACCCGAATAAAGAAATGGGTCATGGACCCATTTTTGAAGGGAAATGGAGAGTCCAGGTACATAGAGCCATTTACCTACATAGCAGGATTTACTCTACATACAAGCCCAGGAATGGGAACTTGTTGATTGGGAATGTTAACCGCTTACCTGGCCATCTTTGGCTCGGTTGCCCGTTGGGCCATTTGGGTCCTTTGCGCAACTGAGTTACAGTAAGGATGGACCCACCAACAGCGCGGTCCTCCTTTGGGTTTCACCACCAACCATACGGGGTTCCCTCATAAGGACACAGCCATACTTTCGTCTGTAGTGAGGGATATGACACGAATCACACTCAGCAAATCAGCCCAAGCTTCATGAACGGGGTGTCCCTTTTAAGAGGGAATCCTCCCCCTGGAAGTTCTGGAAGTGCACACTGGAAAGCCTGAAGCGCACTTCCATGTTGGGAGGGTACACTTTGGTTGTCGTTGGGAAACATTTTACATTTTTGCTTATTGTGGTTTAGTGGGAAATCCCCACTTAACTGCAAAAAAACATTTTTTTGCTCCCCTTCCAACGTCACCCAATTTGGTCTAGGGGAAAGGGTTTAGGGTACAAAGGCCTTCAGCCCTTCGAAGAGACTTTTGAAGCTGGACTTGGGAACCTGTACGCATGCTCTACGATTTGCAGGCCAGAGAAGGAACCCGAGTTCTTCCATTTGCTTGAGAATACTTTATTTTAATATATGATTTTATTCAGTTGGTTTTAACGCATTTTTTTCCATGGTTTGGCTTTTCGTGTTGATCCGTACCTACCTAGAGTCTCCATGACCCCTAGAAAAAGGGGACATAACTTCATAACCCCTGAAAATTTGGGTAACCAACCCTGGTCAGATCTGGAGACTCCAGGTAACAACAATTGGAGGGCGGCCGACCAGACCGTTGCCCAGAGTCCCAGAGTCTCCTTCTGACCCCTAGAAAAGGGGTATCCCATTTCTTAATTTGGGTAATGACCAACCATTTTTGATTTGGGTCAGATCTGGAGACTCCAGGTTTTCGACGGTCATTCCATTTCTCCTGCATCTCTCTCCCCGATCGCAGGGGCGATCCCAGTGAGCGGCCAGGACAGCGGCCAGCCAGAGGCCAGGGATGTGAGCCGCCGCTACCTCGCGCCTCGGAAACAACCGGGGGGGGGTGGGCTCAGGCCTTGAGTGGGAAACCCTCCAAAGACCTTATAAAAAGTGAGAACTAGAGTCTCAAATGCACTGAAGCAATGTGTTGCAATCCAAAATTGATGGGGTGAGCTCCTTGTTTTGGTAGTTCTTTCGGGTTCAGGTACCCCTTTCCCTTGCCCCTCCTTTTCCTTGTGGTTTAGGCACCTAAAGTCTGAAGAAGCCACTTCAAGGTTGGTGCAGAAAGGTGCACCTGGAGTCTCCATGACATTGAAAAATGGTTGGTCTCATAACCCAAAATTCAGTAGTTATGACCAACCATTTTTTTAATGGTCAGAAGCCATAGGCGTCCTTTTTAGGTTAGTTTAATTAGAAATAGATGGGTTCCACTGGTTTAGATTGGTTTCATTCCATTTCGCCAAAGGGACATGATCCGGAGACTCCAGGCAGTCTCAAAGCCAGGTGCAGTATTTGCTGCTTTGCCTCCTGACGGGCGCCAGCTGCTTCAGCTTCTTCTTCGGCATCCAGCTGGTGGCCTTGCGAGGCTCCAAACGGATGCACGACAGCTTCATGAAAGGCCGGGGAATTTCGTTGGGATCGAAGGAGAAAGCTTTATGTTTTTTTTTTGGGGGGGAGGGGGGCCCGTACGAAAATTACGGTATTTCCAGTGGGTTCCCTTTGAAGCCACCCAAGCCATTGAAACCGCCAGTCGGATTCGCATTGAGGGACCAATGGGAGAAAGACGAGTCCCTGCCTAGAGTCTGCTTCCACGCGTCTAATCGGCAAGCCGAGAGGGGGGCAAAAACAAGAGGCTGAGTTGGGGTTGAAAGACTCGGATACCGTCCCATACGTTTGAACTAGGCGGTGCTTTTTGAATTGGCAAGTCAGGGACCCTACACCCCGGCTCTACCGGCCCATGGCAGGTGTCAGGTTGAGTGGCACCGCTTCTAGGGCGGTGCTTCAGGGACCCCAACCTCCCAACCCCCAACCCCAACTTACCTCTTGAAAACACAACTGTTCAACACTTTTTGGGTAACATGGGCTATATGTCTGTAAAAGATGAGAACTTCCCCAGGGCGACTGGAGCTTTAAGGGGTAACCCCAAAGACCCCATTGCTTGAGCTCACGCCAAGCGGGGTGATTTGGACATTTGCTCGCTCCGAAACTCGGAGAGCACCAACACCGGCGGGGCGGGATCGGTTTTTGGTGAAATGGGATCGAGTTTCTTTGAATGAAGCAATTACTTCGCTGGTCTTGGCATGTTTTTTGGATCTTGTGTTTTTTAGTTTTTTGGTTCTGTTCATTTTTACTGGGGGTCTGCAAAAGACACAGTTTGTTGCTACCATACCAAGAGTAGAGATGATTAGGGTTTCGCTTGCCAAACAGGGAGTCCAAGATTGTTTTTTGAGAGGCTACAGGGGAAATTTGTGGTTGCCATAGGTGTCCTTTTCATCGGTTCGTTTAGAAAAGGACATAGATCGGTTCCACTGGTTGAGATAGGTCTTAGAAGCCATCCTTCTATTTTACCAACAGGACACCAAGGGTCAGTTCACGCACAGAAGCTGGCACACTTCCATTTGCGTAAGAATATGTTTGCTTTTCCCCGTTGGTTTTAAAGGGATTCTATCACCACTGGAAGTCTTGTTTTTCCCCCCCCCCCCCACAGTGGGCGTATTCGCAAAGGAAAGCACATGGGGCGTCGCGTCGTTCGCGTTTTTTGTGATCTCTCGAGCAAGGCCTGATCTACACGCATCTCCGCTTCTTCGATGTCACCCCCACGGGCAGGGCGCTGAATCGCTGCCTCAAGGACATGGCCACGGTGGGAATCCCAGCGCAGAAAAGTCCTCATCAGACAAATGTATGGAAGGGGGGAGTTACCTCCTCATGGTTTTAATTTAAACGGAAGCCAACACTTAAATAAACCACGGGATTTTGGAATGCACCCTAGAAACACACCACACCCTGTCTGAGAAAGTTTTTCACGGGACCCCAAAACGAGGGCCACCTCCAAAGGGACCGCCGGTTGAAGTGACAGTTGGTCAACATCCACCCGCGTGGGAGGGGTCGATTGCACAGCGGTTCCGAGTCGGCGAGTTCCAGAGAGGTTCCGGGAACGCTCCGGAAGGAAAGTTGGGGATGCCATTTGGGCTTTTTGTCCTTCTCTAGTACTTGTCGCGTTTCTTGCTTGCTTGGTTTCGCTTTGCTTGCTTCTTCGGTTGCTAGTATTTTTGTTTGTTTTGCTTGCTCGGTTGCTTGCTCGGTTGATTTTTTTGTCGGGTTGCTTCCTGGAGTCTCCTTCTGTCCCTTCAAAAATGGTTGGTCATTACCCAAAATTAAGAAATGGGTCATGACTCATGACCCACCATTTTTCATTCGGGTCAGAAGGAGACTCCAGGTATACTTCCATTTGGTTAAGAATATTTTAATCTTTTTGCCCTTTTGATTTTAAAGGGAATCGATCTCACTACTGGACATATTTTCTCTTGTTTGCTGGCTTGCCGGTCGAATGGGTGGTTTCCTTCGTCGTATCCTTCAGGTGGACGATCGGATGCCGGCGGCTTTTCGGGAGCTCTTCCAGTCCTTTATGAATGTGGTGATCTCCATGCCGCTCGACGTTCTCTCACTTCCTGAGTTCGGATTTTTTCGGACTTTAGGCACTTTTGGGGTCTGGAACCAGTTTAATTATACATGGCGAAAATGTTTTTTGAGTTCCATTTCGGACTTTAGGCACTTTTGTTGGCACTTTCAAAGGTTGGAACCAGTTTAGTGGTACATGGCGAAAATGTGTGTTTGTTTTACCAACCCACTCAGGGAAGTGAGTTCTTCGCGGGGCGGGTTTGTTTCTGCTTGGGGGTTCCGGAACACCCTTTTGGTTTTCGGTTGGCGGGAAAAGCATCTTCCGTCTTTCCTCGACCCGAAAGAGATTCCAACTTAAAAATGGGGTATTGGAAACCCAAGTGAGGGGTAGGTGGGGGGTCCAGGTCGACTTTTGGGGGTTTCTCAAAGGAATCGGACTCCTTTTAAGGGATGGGCTTCCATCATAGACTTTATGGGCAGGGCGTTTTTGGGGTTCAGGAACGCCCTTTTGGCTGGTGGAAAACAAGAGCAACACAAACCACGAGGGTTCTCTCATTTTGAGACAGACCCATATGGGCTTGAGCTTTTTCACGGATGTTTTATGACATATCCCACTAAAAGTATATAGCTCTTTTAACAAGGGATCAACGACCCCCAAAGTCAGGGGGCAGCTTCTAAGAACAGATTCGACCGAACTGTCTCTACCAAACACTGTAACTTGCAGCATCCCCACCCCCATGGAATTGGAGGAGAGGGTGACCTATGGTTCCATTTTCCCTTTTTCTGAAGACTAGAAAAATCGGCCCGACGAAAATCCCCCCCTCCCTCGAGGTACCCCATACCCCCCTCTCCTTGAGATAGCTTATGCCCTCCCCCCCACCACGATGTTGTTCATTTCTCAGGCTGATCCTCGGGCTTTTTGCGTGGCAAGCGCTGGCCACTTGGCGGATTGGCCCCAGCTGCCCTGTGGCACGCCTTGTTTGGGAGGGTTAAGTTTCCTTCACTGTTCTTGGCAAGTATTGTGCTTTTTGTTTGTTCACTTTTTGTAAGGGACCAGAACAAATGCAAACATACCAAGGCGTGCGAGGTTTTCCTTTTCAAGCACCAAAGGTTAGGTTTTCCTCCATGTCCGTTTTTGAAACCTCCCTTCAGTGGGAGTTTCGCTCACGGAAACCCACAAGTGAATTGATAAACAAATATGGGAAATGCAGTGAATGGAGGTGCTCCGTCTCCCCATGCGGATGTCCACCATGCCTCTGAGTATCACCTGGACATTTTTCTGGAGAACCAAGGAAGCCCAGTGGTTGTGTTCGGGATGCCTTTTTGTTGGATCCTGTCACAGGCAAAACCGGCCGGCCATTTTGAAACCTCCCGTGGGCTGCGAATCCCATTTTGAGGCTTCAGTGCTCACAGGCGTTGATCGGATTCAGTCGAGGCAGAACTCCTTCCCCCTTCGGCTTCCTTCTGGCAGAGCCACCTTGATAGCCAAGTTGCTGCTTTTTTCAGTCACTGTTGCTGGTGTTTGGGGTAAAGTTCATGGAAAAAAGAAGCACCTGGCGATCCAGGCAGAATCAAAACCCGGGGATGGGTGGAGGTTCAGTATTGAGGGATCCCAACCCGAAAAAAAAAATCGGAGTCAAAAATGGGATTGGTGAAGGTGAAGGGATAACCCGACCAAACCTTGCGGAGCTGCGTTGTAGCTCTTTGCAGACGACCATTTTAGTGATCGGTTTGGATGGCTCAGGTAGTGGTCCCACCCTTCTCGGTGCTCTACTGGATGATCCTCACGGTGTACCGGTGGCCAGCGCGGGACTTGCGCCTGGACGCAAGTTCGAGTTGGGGGTTCATAAGATTGCATGGGAGGACCATTGGTTGGAAAGCCACGAAAAAGGATTTGATGTTTCAACCGCATGTGAAAAGTTGCCCATATCATGTGGGGGCCCTATGTTCCCCTTACCCTGCTGGTGCGATAGGTAGGGATTGGCCGAGTCCGGGTGTTGGGAATGCGGTTGTGGGGATTCTCGAACAAAGGAAGCCATAGGCGATGGGTATTATAAATCATTCCAACTCATTCCCTGCTGAGAACCAGCAAGTTCTCCCCTTGTCGAACATGGAACCTGGCTGAGTCCTGGAACACTACCTGGACCCGAAGGAAGTAGCCAACAACAAAAATTCTTTGAAGTTGGAATTTGGAGGAAAGTAGTTTCCTTTAAAATGAGGCGCATGGCAGGTTCCATGTTAGTGGACAGGGTATTTGCCTTACCCAAAGGCTCACGACTGGGGCCCTCAAAATGAAACGATTTGAAGGCCCGAAACGGGTGTGGGGTCGACCGCCTAGAAGAGTCCACGAGTGTTTGGGTAATTGGCTTGTTTGGATCGGGTTTGCACCAGGTTCCTTTCGAAGCCAAATGAGGAAGGAACCTTTTAACGTCCAAGCCACCAAACCAAACCAGCTAGGAACAAATCTGACGTATGCCTTTGTTTCCCATTTAAGCTTCGCCATAGCCTGGAGTCTCCACGACCCTTCAAACCTGGGGCCATGACTCCTTGAATTTAAGCAATGACCTACCATTTTTTAAAGGCCCAGAAGGAGACTCCAGGTATGGCTTTAACCAAACAGTTCAAAAAGACCACCCCGAAAAGAATCGCCCCGCACCCTGGTGACCCGTTTCGCACTTGTGTGTGTGTGTGTGTCATTGGCCATGTTGCAACATTTGTTTGGCATGCATTTCGGCAGTTTGAATTGGCAGTTAAAAAGCTGGGAGGGAAACGGTGGTCGTTTCCAAGGGGGCTTCGGTGGTCGGAATTTTCGTGATCGGACTATCAATAGATACTAAGGGGTGTATATAGTTGAGGGTACCTGGAGTCTCCGTGACCCTTCGTTTTTCGCCCTTTTGCAGTGACCCCATTTTTCTTGGGTCACGGGTGCGAAAAAAGGCACTAAATTAAAGGTACAATGGAGACTCCAGGTACATCCTTTCTTTTTGGTTGGTTTAGAGAGCGACAAGTTTTGGATCTCTTCGCGGGCCGGTCACCCGGTTGATTCGGTCCCGGTCCCCCAGCAATTGGTGCCCGACCTCTCACCCCTTTTTTGGTTGGGAGGGTTCGGGACCCTACTAACAGTGGACTACACAAAAAACAAAATGGTACCTAGAGTCTCCATGACCCCTAGAAAAGTCATAACCCCTTAACTTTGGGTCATGACCAACCGTTTTTGAAGTGTCAGAAGGAGACTCCAGGTACCCTTAGTCTAACATGGCCATGGGTCAAAAGCCAAATCGTACCCCCTGTGAGCATCCCAATCCCAACTAAAATAGGACGCCTAAAATGGGTGGTGAATTCACCTACCAACCAAAATGGGATCCCAAAACGGTTTTGACAACTACAGCCAACTGAAAAAAAAAAAGACAAAAATCCATTTTGGGAGTCCCTTTTGGGTACCTGGACCCGTATAACATCTCTCTACAGGACCCAATTCGGCCTCGGAGCCGCGCTCCGAGTTCGGAGGCGGCGCCTGGAGGGCGTGTCGCGGTCGCCGGGCATGAGCCACTTCGCGGACTCCGTGAAAGGCGCGAGGACCATCCGAGCCTTTGGGCATGAGGCGCGCGAGCCTCTGAGGGCGGGGAGCCGGGGAGGCGGGGAGGCGGGCGGTTTTATGATTTGGCTGAGATGAAGATTTGGGCTTAAGCAAGTTTTCCCCGCTTGGTTTTGAAGGGAATCGATTTCACTACTGGAAGTATGTTGTTTTCTTGTGGACTTAAGCAAATGGAATCTCCGGTTGGTTTTACAGGGAATCTAGCAGCACCCTCCAAGGGTTGTCAAATAGTACCCAAAATGGAGGGACAAACTGACCACCCTTGGAGGGTGCTGTTTGTTTTTTCCTGGTTTCAGGGGACATAGGCAAATGGAAGGTGAGTGCTTGGGTGTTCAATCGTCAGGAAAGTAGGTTACAACCATGGTCCTAATGGGTTGTGAACTGGTTGGTGTTTTCGGGTTGGTAACTGGGGTGGGCTTGTTCCACCAACAGGTAAGTATGTTACCATGGTTATAACTGGTTGGTAACAGGGGTGATCGTCCCCCAACCATGCTTATAACCTACACTTGCTAAGTCGGTGGAGTGCCCAAGTTCAGTTGCGATACCAATCCGGTCGACAAAAGGATCTGACAACTTTTCCAACACGCAAGGGCTTTTTGGACACGGTTTTTGGACATGATTGAAGAACAGCTGGGACCTGGTTGCTGGTTGGTTTCCCTTGTGTGGTTTTCATTTTTAGGTTCCACAAGTTGATCACCTTCTACTTCTGGGTTCCTAAAGGGCTACTGAGCTTTAGACTGGGGCCTTTGGAATTGGGGCGCTTCTTTTCTTTTGGCGTTTGTAGATGTGTGCGTGTGTGTTGGTTTTGGGGTACCCCTCTTTGATGTTGGTTGAAAGGGAAGTCACCAGGAAGCCAACTTTTTCGGGGGTCCTATAATGAGACAACCCCCGGAATTTTCTACCCCAGTAGTGATTTTGGTTTTCTGGAATAGGACATTCAGAGGGATTGATTGATCCGGCGTTCACATGAACTCTCAGTGGATTGGCCGGAGAAACGGGTGCCTAAACTTCTCTCGAAAATGTGTAGTTATTTCATATTCCTCAAAATTACCGGGCGAATTCCCTTTTTGTATGGCTAGTTTGAGGGCAGAAAATGTGTAGTTCTTACTTATTGCTCAAAATTATGGTGCGAATTCCCTTGTTGTACGGGTAGTTTGAGGGTTCTAGTAGCTGTGGGGTGCCTGCTCCTCACTTTGTGGGTCTGCCTGAACCCTCAAACTACCCCAACAAAAGTCGGAATTCGCAAATTCCACATGTTCGGCTTCTCGGGCCCCTTACCAGACACCCACCAAAATCCCCTCCACTCCCAACCTTGGCTGGAGCTATCTTGCGCTCTGTGGCATATGCTTTTGCTTTTGGAAAATCCTCAAAGTCCAGCAACCCAAACTGCCAGCGCCCGCCTGATGTGGCCATTTGCCAGGTAGTGCCCTCGGCCTTGTGATCATTTGGTTGGGGGTGAGTCCACGCAGAAGGAGACGCCGGATTTTGTAAAGTGAACAACACCTTCCATTGGCTGAAATGGAAATATATGTTTGCTTTGTTCCTGGGGACTTAAGCAAATGGTGCCAATTCCAAGCCCTTTGACAGCAAGCCTCTGGTTGCCCCCACCCCCAAACACGGGCCAGAGTGGTCCAGGCGAGCAAGTGAGCGCCACTTCCATGGTTTTTCCCCAGCTGAAAGCTTTATCTTGGTCTCTGTCCAGATCAGCTCCGGAGCAGGGTTCCTTTTTTTGACTACCCCAAGGTCGACTTAAACCCAGGAGTTTCCCTTTTGGGGAAATCAACTACCCCTGCGTTGAAGTCGTCTTTGGGGTAGTGAAAAAAATGGAACCCTGCTCCGGAGCGTGGCTCCTTTGGCTTTCCGCCCAAAAAGTTCCCGGGGGCTGCTGGGGCGATCTCACCCGGTTGCGACTCGGTTTTTGTTCCGGAAAAAAAAAGAGACGCGCGACCGCCTGGTTGCTTCAGATCCCCCGCCCCATTCAGATCCCCCGAGCGCCGATTCTTCGCTTCGCCTTCCGAGTCTCAACTTGAGGCCCGGTTCCTGGAGCGGAATCTCACGCTGCTGGGGGAGAATCAGCTCACCACCTACTGGTTTTGGGTGGCGCAGGCATGGGTCTCCTGCTTCCAGGCCGGGGAGAAAATCCGCGTGATCGGTTCTTGGAGTGCCATTGTCCCCAAAGACCCAAAGACCCAAAGACCCAACCACAGCCAGGCAAAGTCAACCCCTCTTGGTGGGGTGGGAAACTCAAAACACCAACAAAGGGTTGTTCGGGACAAGGTAAGCCAAGGGGTTTGACAGGCCATTTTTTTGGTGGCTGGGGGGGAGAAAACCCAAAGAAGCCCTAAGGCCGTATTTAGGGCTCAATAAGGGCCTGTGTGGGCTCCCTCCCCCCCTCTCCCTCTCTCTTTCCCTCCAGGTCCCATGATCATTGGGCTGTGAATTTCAATGAGCCAGCTCCAAGATGGTTGGTGGACATGAATCCACCTGAACCCTACAACTACCCATAAAAAATGGAATTCACCAATTCCAGATTCTTGGGGCAGTACGTAACCCATGTTTAAGGAAATATACAGGGCCTAGGCACACCTAAATCATGTATAAACCCTCATATCCGCGGTAGAGCACAAGTCAAGTCAGTTTGGAAGCCGCTCACCGGGGTTTTGGACAAAACTCCAAGCTCTAAACAAATTGAGCCACACCCAAGTGTGTGATACTCTTCGTTTACCCCTGCAATGAATTATGTCATCTGGTTTTAACGTACCCCACCCCATTTAGCTTATTTCGGCCCCGCACAATTTCACCCCATTTAGCTTGTTTCGGCCCCGCACAATTGGCAAGCTGTTTTGCTTGGCTTGGCAGTGACAAGGATTCATAAATGCCTTACACGGCTTCTGCAATCTCCTTTTGAAGTCTTCCTTCGAAAGGTCCTCCACTGGACCTCAAAGTACCCGTACGAAAGGGAGTCCATGATTTTGGGTTGCAATAATCCATGTTTGATATATGTTGCCAACCAATATTTTGAGGGCTTCCCTTGTTGGGCGTGTAAAAGCCGACATGAGGGAACCCTCAACATGCTTGGAAACCTTTTAAACACACAACTTGCTGTTGCTCAGTAGGGAATGACCCAGGGTGAGAATGAACCCAGGGATTCCCTCAAAAGAAACCATAGGGGATGGTTTGTATCGGTGATTCCCTCATTCCCTGAGCGGTCGCAAGATCCTTAAGGAGGCGATTCTCTTCAAGGAAGCCATGGCTTATGGGCTTGTGATTTCCTCCTTCCCGAAGTGAGACAACAAGCAGATCCTTTCCTGGAGTCTCCTTCTGACCCTGTTAAGAAAGGTCCATGACCCATTTCTCTATTTTGGGTAATGACCAACCATTGTTTTTTTCAAATGGAGACTCATTACTCCAGGTACAAAAGATCATGGAGACTCGACATGAGAATTTTAGAACAAGGTCAGAAGGAGACTCCAGGTACAAAAGGAGCCGCCAGGAGATCCTGGGCACCTTGGCCTTGGCCTTCGTCACGGGCATCGTGGGCTACCGCGCCTTCGAGGGGATCCTCAGCCCCGGCCGCTTCGGCGGAGTGGGCGATTTTTCGGGCCAGGGGGCGAGGTGCGAGGCAGAACCAGACAACCAACCAGGAAGCAAGGAAGCTGAGGTCCAGATGCCGGCTTCTGCAGACCTTCAGGTGTTTTAACCGCTGGAAGCAAACAAGCAAACAAGCAAACAAACAAGCAAGCAAGAAAGCAAGCCAACAAGCAAACAAGCAAGGAAGGAAGGAAGCAGGCCAACAAGCAAACAAGCAAAGGAAGCAAGCAAGCAAGCGAGAAAGCAACCAAGCAACAGTCTCAGCTGCCCTGAAAGTGAATCCCGGGTTTTGTTTGTGACCCATATGAGTCTTGGAGCCAAGCTTCAGCTCGACAGTACCTGCCCCGCATTTGGCTCTTGTTACTGCGGTTCTTGCTCCAAGGAACCATCCAGTCCAGGGACCCTACAGACCCGACTTACTCAGCACAAGGCGGCAAGGGCTGAAAAGGGTGAAAATACTTTTCTTAGTGGTCCCCAGCCATCCAGTCCCTTAGCTTTTTGCGGATCAGAAGGAGACTCCAGGTGTGTTGGTTTGCAGGATTTGGAAGCCCACCAGAAGGGTTATGACCAACCATGGTGGCTCCCGAAGGCCATCCGGGTCCAATTTTAGCCTTTAGATCTTTTAGTTGGTTTAGTGGTTGGATTTCCGTATTTAACCCACAAAAAGTGGTCATCTTTTAGCGGGGGATCAGTTTGGGCAGCCCAGTTTTGACGCTCACAGACCAATGAGGCACAGCCATAGCGACTAGATCGGCTAAGGGCCATGGACCGCAGCCTTCCCTTGGCCCCGCTGTCAAGTGTCTTGTGGGTTTTTGGTTTAAGGCGACTTTTTAGGAACCCTGTTTTTTGTTAGGGAACCCTTTCTTGCCCTAAAAGGAACCTGAACCCTCAAACCACCCATAAAAAAGAGTCGGAATTCACCCATTCCATATAATCTCGGGGCAGCGACCCATTTTCGAGTTGGACTTTTGGCGGGGTTCAGGAAGCCACGCGTTCGGCCGACAAAGTCGACCTCCGCTCGGGATCCGATTCGTTGGAAGCTGAGGCCTCGCGGGGTTGGCGCTCTCCTACGCCCTGCAAATGCCCCGGGACCTCATGTGGCTCTCCAGGCGCCTGGCGAGTATGGAGGCGCCGCGCGTTCGCTTTCGCGTCGGCTTGGGCGCGACTTCGTTTTGTTTTTTGCCGAAATGAAGATGTTGTTTTTGTTCCCTTGTTGGCTTCGAAGGGAATCAATTTCACTACTGGAAATATTTCATTTTTTTCAGATGGCTTAAGCAAATGGAAGGATGGAAGGCTTCGGCTTCGGAATCGGCGCTTGGCAGATTTCGCGGGGATGGGAGCCGGGGACGACGCCAAGCTTGTTGGATGGATTATTTTGTTTGGTCAGAAGCTGTCGGTTGACGAGCGAGTGAGGTTTGGGGGTATCTTGACTACCACAAAACGAAGCAGCTAAGGAGCAACATGGAGGTTTGTAATCAGAGATTTGGTGAATTGGGATACAATGAAGAGCTAAACAGTTTCTTCATTTGAGCCACCATCAATATCCTTTTGCAAGACTTGCCCAAATGAAGGTGAAGGTTTCCTCAAAAAGGACACGTCCAAACGGATCGACTGGACATACTGTGGATGGTTGAAATCCAGAAACCCAGGAATGAGATGATTCCCCCTGCAAATACCAAGAGTCACTGGCTTCACCCATGGTTGCATTTCGTGGTGCGACACTCGCGGATTTCGCAATCATCCACAGCGAACCAAGAGTATCGGGTTATCTGGCAGGGTTTCCTCCATTTCCCGTTTTGGAACCTCCAAATTCAATGGAAACCACCGGTACTTCACTGTTCATGGCAAGTTGTTTCCCTGGAGTTTTCATGACCCTGCACAAATGGGGTCATGACCCCTTAATGTTGGCTAATGACCCCATTTTTGAAGGGTCATGGAGACTCCAGGTAGTTTTGTTTTGTTTTGGTTGGGCCTGTTCATTTTTTGGCAGGGCATTCCATTTGGCTTGCGAAGAGTAAGTTGATCAACTATCCACTTTTGATTTGGGGAATCCAACGACGCCTGGGGCGTTCCCTTCAAAGTCAGCCAATCAACGAGTGGCCGCTGTCCCTGCGATGGAGAGACCTGGTTTCACAAATCAGCGCTCAAATGGCCTTGAAGCAGACAGGTCACCGTCGATCAGGTGGAGGTCGTTTGTGAAATGCACAGGTGGTGACAGTGGTGACTCCTGTTTTACAAAAACAAAAATGGTTGGAATGGTGCTAAGCGGAGGGTCAGGGAAATTGGCTGGAATGGACGAGTCAGGGAATGACCCCAAGAGAAACCATCTCACCAGTGGTTTCTCCTTTCTTTATTCGGGACTCCCAAGACGGTCCATTCCATTCCCACCTTCCCTATATACCGGTGAGGGCCACTCCCGTGACTGGCGGGCCATGCGCGACGGTTCATTCCGTTCCCACCTTCCCCACAGTGACACACTTTTTGGGGAAAAAATCCCGCGACTGGCGGGCCGGAGAGCGGCGCTGGAGTGCTGGAGCGGCGCAGGTGGAGTTCGTGGCCATCGAGCGCATCATGGAGTACACCCGGCTCCCACCCGAGGCGCCGAGCGAGGCGCCTCCCGGCGCCGCACCGGAGACCGCGAGCGCCTGGGGTGAAGACATGGTCGAAGGCTTCGGCGCCCCATTTCGCTGGATGGAAGCGGAGCTCTTTTCTTTGCTCATTCTTTTAACAACACATTAACAACACAAATGCTGTGTGTGTGAACAATATGTATATATGTATAGATAGATATAAGTATATACATATGTATACATAAGCAATATTTAGATATATGCTGTAGCGTTTTGTGTTTTTTTTAACTTATGTTCAGACTCCTACTCCAAATGTCCACTAGCATGTCAACCCATGTTTACCCCCTAGCTCAACAAAGAGGTATTTGCCCTGCGGAAAACCTGATTTTGAAAGTCTACCCAAGCAACAGTGGGTATTTGGAGCAGGTGGTAGCGAGCTCAAGCACGGAGGCATCGCAGTTGGTTTGGCTTTGTTTCAAATGGGGCCCATATTGTTGACAGTGTTCAGGGTTGGCAAATTATGAGACTCGCCAGGTGCAAGTTTGGTTTTTTGAGCTTTCGTGCCAGTACACAAAGCACCAACGGTGCCACGTTGCAATCGGTGTTGCTTAAATGACCCAATAGATTCCTGGTTATTCGCCCCCGCAGTTGGCTATTGTCCGCCAATGTAGTCTCTGAGTTGGGGCGAAGCTTCACAGTGGGCGGGCCCCCTGGTTATAAGTCTGTTTGGTTTCTATTCGGTTCATTGGCACGGCGATCACCTGTAAAATGGTTGGTCCCGGGGTAAGTGATTGCAAATACCTGGACCCTCACAATTCCAACTTAGAAATGGGTTACTGCTCCAAAATTATGGGGTGAATGTCCTTTTTTATGGGATAGTTTGAGGGTTCAGGTAGACCCTTTTTTATACAGTTTTACACCATTCTAGTTGTGGTCCGAATAATAGTCAGTTGGAAAGCTGTTTCCTTTGGCGTTGACCGAGTTTCTTGGATCTCGGTTCTCAGATTGGGTGGGTGTTCACAAGACCCGTGAAGGTGAACATGCAGCAGAACAGGACCTGGACCCTCCAAATTCCCTTAAGCATGTTGTATTGCAACCCAAACTCATGGTTGGTGAGCTCCCTTCTTCTGGGTAGTTCTTTCGGATCCAGGGAGCGAGCTCCGCAGCAGTTTATAAGGCGCAGAGATCCCGCCGGACGTGGCGATCTATGCGGATGAGCTGTACCTCAGGTACGATGTGGACGGACCTTTGGTGCCGCAGCTGCCTTCGTTCAGACCCAAACCCTTGCCCCAGTAAGACTTCTTCTGGGGGTCTTCTCCAAAGGTTAGTTCAGATTTTGTTATAGACTCGATGTGGGTGTTTTTTTAGGGAACCCCTTTTTCGGTGGTTTTAAAGGACGACCAAAAGGAAACCATATATATGTGCATGTCTTTATTTTGGGGGGGGGATCCGAAAAGAAGAAAAAAGAGCCGCCCACAAAGCGGACCCTGATGTTTTACAGAGTTGGGCCAGTGAAGAAACAAGTCTTTGATCGGGCGGTTTTCTTCCTGGAGTCTCCGAGACTGACGAATCAAAAATGGTGGGTCATGACCCAAAATTAAGAACTTTTTTTCAGGGTCATGTAGACTCCAGGTTAACAGACCCAAATGGCACGGAATTTGCAAGTTTGCAGACTTGCCTTACAGCCAGTAGCCAACCGCCAATCCTCTTCTTCCTCTGTTCCCGGAATATATTTTGACATGCCTTGACCCTTCCCTTTGTTTCATGTTCAGAAGTCGCACCGAACTAGCTTTACTTTTTGATGTTTACATAATCCTGTTTTACAACACTCTCTTTGGAAAACATGGACAAGGTATACTTACTTGTTGTTTATCTAAATTCCCCATTAAACTCATTGCCGGTCTGAAATCATGCAGTGGGACATGGCGTTGTGTCAATGGGCAACCCTGTTGAAAGCGGTTTGGAGCCGCGATGGCTATGGCTTCACTTCTCCTGTTTGGGGCTGGGGGGAGGGGGGGTGGCACCCCCCCTTCGGGCCCAAGTTAAAAGGGAAGCTCGAAGAAAGCCCCATATGTTTGGACACTTCCAAAGCATGTTCTGAGAAGGTTTCACTGCACTAACTTCCCACTACAGCCACTATATACGGGCGGTATGTACCCCGGTTTTCCGTGGGGGTACTGGTTGGGTTGTAGTGAACACACTGTTGGCGTGCCACCGTTTGTTTGTCTAGAAGGAACTGAGGAAACCACTTCCTTATAACTAAAAGGTCATGTTTAATGATCCATAACCCCTTGATTTTGGGTACCGACCAACCATTTGCTAAGGGTCAGAAGGAGGTTCCAAGTAACCAGTTCTGTGAACAGTGCTCGTTCTCCTTTCAGGGAGGCTGAACCCCGACCCCCCCCCATCCCCCAAACTGGGTTGGGCCCTTGGGTACCCGGATTCTCCCAAAGTCAGGGTTGTGGGAAGGGGTTGTGAAGGGAATCTCCTCTTTATATATGCGGGGGGGTTTGTCTTTGGGAGGCCCTTTTCCTTGTACAGAAGTGGCCATCGCCCGCAGCCCTGTAGGCCCCTAGGCAGAATGAGCGGAGTGGCTCGGTGTGTTTTGAGCTCGGCTCGGTACCCTTGGGCTTGGTGCAAAAAGGGGTTCAGCCACAGAGAAACCCACCAATTGATCTTTGTTGTTTCCATTTTTCCATTTTTTGTGTGGCTACTTTCACATGTTTGATTTGTTTTATGTGTTTTCATTCTTACAACTTTTTTATGGGTACTTTGAGGGTTCAGGCACTTTGGCACTTGGATTCTCCCCGAAAACCGTCGGCCGTGCTCAGGTCTTCAATGGTCTGTCGCTGAGCATCCCCAAGTCCACCACATCCGCCCTGGTGGGTCGCACAGGCTGCGGCAAGAGCCGCCTTCTTGCAAGTGACGGCGTGTGTTTTCGCTGTTTTGTGTATTTGTTTGCGTGTCTTTCCTTGTTTTGTTTATTTATTTGTATGTGTGGTTTATCAATGTTGTGTTACTGTGTATGGTTGCGGTGCATTGCGGGGTGCTGTTGCGTGGTTGTGTTGTGTCGTGCTTTGTTGTGTTTGTGTTTGTATTATGTGGTGCATTGGTTAGCTTCGTTTAGTTTTGTTGTGTTTGGTTTGGGTTGGGTTCCTTTGTTGGGGTGCGCTACGTTGCGCTATTTGGCTCCACAGTTGGATAGCCAGCCAGTTGGATATATAATACGTGAGGGAGCGGGCGGGCGGGCGAGGGAGGGAGGAAGGAAGGGTGGGTGAGAATGAGTGAGTGAGTGAGTGAGTGAGTGAGTGAGTGAGTGAGTGAGTGAGTGAGTGAGTGAGTGAGTGAGTGAGTGAGTGAGTGAGTGAGTGAGTGAGTGAGTGAGTGAGTGAGTGAGTGAGTGAGAGTGAGTGAGTGAGTGAGTGAGTGAGTGAGTGAGTGAGTGAGTGAGTGAGTGAGTGAGTGAGTGAGTGAGTCTTTGTTTGTTTGTTTGTTTGTTTGTTTGTTTGGTTTGTTTGGTTTGTTTGTGTGTTTGTTTGTTTGGGTTAAAGTCATAGTTATTGATGTGTAGTTTTGTTTGGTATTTTGTTATGTATTTATGTGTTTGTTGTTTTACTTGTTGTTGTCTTTCTTTTGTTTCTTTATTTTGTTTCGTGTGTTTGTTCTTTGTTTATTTATTTATTTGTCTTGCTTTCTTTCTTTCTTTATTTCTTTCTTTCTTTCTTTCTTTTCTTGTTCTTTCTTTCTTTCTTTCTTTGCTTGTTTTGCTTGTGTTTGTTCTTGTTGACTGGCTGGCCGGCTTATTGGCTTGTTGGCTTCCCTTGCTTTCTCGCTTGTTGTGTTGCGCTGCTCGTGTTCCTTTTGTTTGTGGTTCCAGTCGCTTTTGTGCTGTTGCGTGTTGTCTGTGTGTTGCTTTTGGGTTGTTTGGCGGACCTTGTCAAAAGTGTTTCAGTGAAGGTGCCCCTGCCTTAGTTTCCTTCTACAAGCTTCCTATAGCCATCATGATAGAGGCCTACTTCGAAGGCAAGCCTCAGCCTGACTGCTATTGAGGCTTGACTGCTTGTTTGTACGTTTTTGAATTGACAAGAGGTTTCACCCCTCGGTGTGACCAACCCAGTTTTCGCACGCAAGCAACAACTGCAAGATTCATTTCAGTTTTGTTTTAAAGAGAACGTTAAAGAGACATGTTTGCAGGGGTCAGTTTGACCAATGTTTGACCAATCCAGATATACGAGCGTGTTCCACCTAGTCGACCACTTTCAACAATCAACGCTGTGAAGTCAATGTGCTTGATTTTTCAACATACATAAGTATGCCTGGACCCTCAAGCTACCAGTAAAGAAAGGGATCCCCAGAAGTTTGGGGCTATAATCCATGTTTAAGGGCATTTTGGGTCCAGGTGAGAAGGCAAAATGGTTGGGCCAAGGTTACCCAGTTGAGCCACAAACAAAACCCGGGTAGATGAAGGTTCGTAAGGAATATAATCCCAACCGTAAATAGGTACTTCGCTGCCTTTTGAATTCCTGACATTGTTCTCGGTAGGCCATTTTAATACCGTTCTAACTCACTTGTTCGTGTGTTTACTCAGTTGCCAGTAGACCTTTTGACCTCTGGTTTTCCCTTAGTCCAGGGTGGGATCGAAGAGTTTCTCCCAACTTCTGTGATACAAGGGAATCCCCCTTTATAAGAACAAAAGAGTCTTTGGGAAGCCCTTTCTGTTGTATCACAGAAGTGGTCATTCCCCACAACCCTGCCTTAGTCCGTAGAGGTAGACCAGTATACCAACACGATTTGAGTATGACTCGGCTCGGATTTTCCGCTTGTGAGGCAGCTTCCTGTCTGCATTGGTGCGTCTCTACCCCCTGAGCGGCGGGCATCTTTACGTGCACGGCTGCTCGGCTCGAAGGGCCACCCAATCCTGGAGGTTGGGTCCCTTGCTTCGGGTTTTGCTGGCCTCCCCCCCCCCCCCAAAAAAAAAAACAGAAACTTACCTGGAGTCTCCATGACTCTAGGAGTTGATTCCTTGTCCATTCCTTTCAACCATCGTTCTTTTCAAAAGCCAGCCGTTTTCCCTGGGTTTACGGAGGTTTTCTAGAAAGAAGGATCCCTGGAAAGAATGGGGAAGGATGACCCTTAAAAAATGGGGTCATGACCCTTAGTTTTGGGTGATGACCCCATTTTGGAAGAGTCATGGAGACTCCAAGTACCTGGACCCTCAAACTACCAATTACAAAGGGAACTTACCCCAGAATTGCTGGGACAATGCCCCTTTTGGAGTTGGACTTTTTTGAGGGTCCAGGTATTAACCTTTCGTTCACAAACCAGAATGGCAGGCCAGCGGGTCGCCTTAAAAGGACCATTCAATGGCCCCCGTTCCGAGCTGCGCAACGGGGGTGCTGAGTATGAGTATTACTTGAGCGCTATTGGGTTGGATCTTTAGACTTCAACTTTGTTGGTTGAAATCAAGGGTTTTTTCCATTAAACCCGCAAAAAGTTAAACTTTTTGCAGAGGGGTCAACAGCAACCAAGATTACAGGGGTGAATTCCCCGAGTGAAGGATTCGTGCTTTGATGTTGCACCCCCTATGAAGAATCCACCGGTCGATCAATCTTGGGTCACTAGCCTTGGCCAGGTCGAGCTATGCCTGTGGCTAGTTCGAACACCCATGGACTTTCGGTTCTGTCAACGTGGAGCTTAATGCGGTAGAAGCTATACCCAAAACGAAGGTGTCATGAACCCATTTTTAAAGGGTCATGGAGACTCCAGGCATTTGTTTCCCCAATACCAGTGGGCGTACCCCCAACAAGTTGCGATGTAAGGCCTGCCTAAACCCTCAAATTTTTTGCAAATGGGTTACTACCCCAAAATTATAGGGTGCTGTCCATTTTTTATGGGTAGTTTAAGGGTCCTGGTTTTTCTCACGAGCCACACGAAAAGCCATAGCATAGTGACGAACGTGTTAAGGGCCCTAAGCCTCCCATTTGGCTCTGTGTTGACCCCGGATCTAAGTAGGACCCGTCCTATTTCATCGAGTCTTGGCTCCAGTGGTCTGAACCCCAAGCAAACGCGTTCCCGCCATACTGTCAACCAGGGGTGAAGAAATGAATCTGTTCCTCCTATTGGACAAAGAAAGCCACGTGGGCATGGCCCTAATCCTGATCATTATTGGACACAGCTGCTTCAAGGCCAACACTTGCGAGATACGAACAGTTGATATTGGGGTCTTCTAAGTGGGTTATAACCCAGGGTACTGGCACCCCACCCCCCGCTCCCCCAGAAAGTAGTGGGGAATGACAGAGGACTTGTCTTGGTGGCTCCCAGCCATCCGGTTCCTTAGCTTTTTAGCCTTTTTGTGTTTAGTCGGGGTGTCCATTTCACCCACTAAGAGTGAAAAGCTTTTAAGCAGGGGATCTGAGGACAGCCCAGTGAGACACAAACCGAGGCCACGATGTGCAGAGCCTGTCTTTGCCCTTCCTCCGTTCCGTGGTGCGCGTCTTGTTGCAGGCTCGAGACTCGCTCGTCTGGTGTGCACGGGGCCCGACGTGTGCTCAAACACGGCTTTGGGGCCTTGGGCAAGTTTGGCCGGCGGTTCTTAGCTGGGTTGGTGCTAGTAAGACCTCTAGTCAAGCTGTTACAACCAAAAATGGGCGTGTCTTTTTGTTGAGGGTAATTACCCTTTTTGGGGTGGTTTTTACGGGCATCACAGAACATTGCATCATTGTAAGGCACCCATTGGAACCAACAGTCGGCTCGGGCTATTTAAAGACACACCCATTGGTAAAGGCAACCGTCGGCTCGGGTTGGGGGGCACTGCTCAGTTGGGTGATTTGAGTGCTGCTGTGGATGGTTTCGCAAAATCAAGAAATCGTGCCACCGTTCAGAAACCCAACTGAATGATACGATTCCCCAACGTAAAGACCGTAACAAACAGTGGGTACAACCATGGTTTCAGTTCGTGGTGCGGGCTTTAGAGCCAATTGAACATGTGTTCAGGGATCCCGAAACGTTTAATCAGATTATATCAGATTCAAGGCAAATTGTGGCAACTTTTAGTATGGTACCCTCCCTCCAACCTGGAACCTGACTGGGGGGTCCCGTTGAAAGGCACATGGTCTTCCAGGACCCTCATGTCAGATTTCATGTTAATTGATGGGCGCATATGTTTTACTCTTTTGGATGGCGGTGTTTTTTGAGGTGTTTTTTTGGGACAGGCATTCCCCCTGAACAATGGAATTGGGGGAGGGGGTCACCCCTTAAATTCCAGTTATGGTTCCATTTTCCCCTTTATGGGGAAGACTAGACAATGGAATTGGGGGACCCCCCACCCCCCTCGACCTTAAGGTAGAGGGAATGGACAGCCCACATTTGACGTTGGATGCGATTTGTCCAAGCCTCTTGTGTCGCGGCTTGTTTGGCAGAGGGGGGGGGGAACCCAGCGAAATATCCTAAACGACCCATGTGGCTTTTTGCTCGCCATTGGTTCCTGTGTTTTGTGTGTGTATGATTGTGTTTTTTGTTTGTTTGCTTGTTTCTTTGATTCTTTTGTTTGTTTGTTTGATTTTGTTTGTTTGTTTTTCTGTTTGTTTGTTTGTTTGTTTGTCTGTTTGTTGTTTCTAGTACTCCTCCATTCGCTTGGATCCAAAACCTCCAGCACCCAAGCCTTCGCCTCGAAGGACCCCATCTTCTTCTCGGGCACCATCCGCTCGAACCTGCTCTCGCAGCCCCCTTCGGGCAACACGAACGGAAGGAGCATGGAGGATGAGGAAGGGCGGGGGATGCGGGGGGGCGGGGGGGGCGGGGGGGATGCGGGGGGGTGGGGGGGGTGGGGGGGGATGGCGGACAGAATGACCAGCTTCACCGCTGTGCGCTGATTTTTTAGAGTTGGAGCCACCTCAAAAGTGGCTTGTGGACCCTTTATATGCGCTGAAGTTGGATGTCCGCCAAAGGGCCCCTTGTGGATATTCACACCGCTATGTGGGTGTTTGTCAAAGTAGGGGACGGTTGGTTTCTTTGTGGTTTCCTTTGAAACCCATCCCAGCATGTGTGCACCATGTTGCAATGTACAACCGCAAACCAGAGGGTAAGCGGCTGTTTCCCTGTAGGTCCACTGTAGGTAGAATTGAATGAAGCCCAAGGCCAAGGAATGCGCAGGTGTCCCATTTGGGTGTCCAAATCCACCTGGACCCCACATCCACCTGGACCCTCAAACTACCCGGAAGAAAGGGATTTTACCAATGAACTCCAGGTTTTTGGGTCAATCGCCAGGTTTTAAGCTGGAACTTTTGTCAAGTCCGGGCATCCACTTGGGTCGTTACGTCCGACTTGGCACCGCCAGGGCCTCTGGCGGTGCCTGCGGCAGGCGGGCTTGGAGAAACGAGTGGCGCAGCTGCCGAACCAACTGGACGCCAGGGTAGAGGACTGGGCTGGGGACTTCACTCGCGGTCATTAGGCCTTTTCCAGCCTTAATCTTCCATTTGGTTAAGAATATGTTTTATTTCCCCTGTTGGTTTAAAGGGAATGTATCACTACTGGATTTTTTCCGGGGCACTTATGGAGGCAATCTTCCAGGACCCTGAACAAAAAGGCCTTTGGCTGATTTTCCTTTTTCGAGAGCAACATCAAGAAGGCCCTGGAATCTCCTTTTGACCCGAATCAAAAATGGGTCCATGACCCATTTCTTTATTTTGGGTCATGACCAACCACTTTTAACGGGTCAGAAGGAGACTCCAGGGAGACCTCCGTTTCGGACTTGTGGAGCCTCCCTGGAGTCTCCTTCTGACCCGAATCAAAAATGGTTGGTCATTACCCCAAATTAAGGGATCATGACCCCATTTTTGATTCGGGTCAGAAGGAGACTCCAGGTCCCTGAAATGGTTGCCTGGACCCCTAGAATACCTATGCAGTAGTGCCCTTTTACCCTTTTTTGTGGGAGGGTTCCCCTACTAAAATAGACCACAGAAAAAAGTGGGTACTCTCATTCTAACCTCTCTACTGGAGGACCTAGATACCCTTACAAATTTGTGAATGCCAGGATTTGGGCGGGTATTTTGTGGGTCTTTGTTTGAGGACCTCGGCCTTTAAGTTTTGACCCATTCATGAACCAACCAAAAAAAGGCCCTCAGGAATGGATTGGACTGCCAAAATGAGGGGACCCCGTAGTAAACCGAGGAGTGCGGCGATTTTTTGCGGGTGTTTGTGACCATCGAGTTTCAGCAGCATACCAAAAAGCGCTCACACATCAACAAGCGCTCGTGCTGCCAAGAAGTGCCCGTGATTTTCGAGAACATGTCAAATGGCCCTTTGTTTGTATCAAAGGGCTCTCCAGGAAACAAATCTAACTGGGGGCTTAGTCACTTACCTGACATGTCATCCATGTGCTGCCTTTCTGAGTTTATGGACTTCACCTTGTTGTTTTTAGATATAAGACTGTGAATGAACGAACTCGATTTCGCACCACCTCACAAACCACCAGTTGAAGCCATTGTTTGTTGGTATTGACAGGGCAATCGAATCATTCCAAGGTTTCTCAGACGGTGGTGCGAAATGGTTTTCGCAACCATCCACAGTGGCGAAGGGCTTGCGGTGGATTGCAAGTAAGGGGAAAACGATCGAAGACCCGCCAACCAAAAACACGATGGCAAAACCCTCCATTGACCCGGATCTAAGAACCCGTCCTTGTAATTAATTGGGAGGGTCTTCCCGTCTTCCCCTCCAATAGAAGTCTGAATCTCCACTGCCCCATGTTACGAACCCCCCCCACCATAATAACCTGGGGCGAACTCACCCGGGGTGCATCCGGAACTGTACCTTCACAGTTCTTGGCGAGTTTGTTCGATTTTGTGGTTTGGTTCTGTTCATTTTCGTAACCATAGCGTTTGGGGTTGTGAAGTTACGACGAGTCGCTCGGGGCGTTTTCGGCGCTGGGGGGAGGACGTTTTTGCCAGGAGAACGGGCAGAACTTCAGTCAGGGGGAGCGACAGCTGCTGTGCCTGGCGCGAGTGCTGGTGGAGCCTAAGCGGAGTCCTCGGTCGGTGGGTCGGTGGGGTGGGGCGGAGTGGGGCGGGGCGGGGCGGGGCGGGGCGGGGCGGGGCGGGGCGGGGCGGGGCGGGGCGGGGCGGGGCGGGGTGGGGTGGGGTGGGGTGGGGTGGGGTGGGGTGGGGTGGGGTGGGGTGGGGTGGGGTGGGGTGGGGTGGGGTGGGGTGGGGTGGGGTGGGGTGGGGTGGGGTGGGGTGGGGTGGGGTGGGGTGGGGTGGGGTGGGGTGGGGTGGGGTGGGGTGGGGTGGGGTGGGGTGGGGTGGGGTGGGGGGTGTGGGGTGTGGGGTAGTTTTTGGAGTACTCCCCCCCCAAAACAAGAGGAGGGCAATTGGAGTGCCCCAGGCGTCCGATTCAACCCTCCCCCATGCTGAGGTGATAAGGTATCCACCCATATTCGTCAGTGATGTCGCCTGCTCGTACTTGTCCATGTCCTGGAGCGTCCTTCGCCTACATTCCTGCCCTGAGACCAAACGTAGCGCAAAACAGCGGGTCGTCATCAACCGAGCTGACGGAGCGGGCAGAAATCCAAGCTCAAAGCAAGCGCCAACCAAGCGCAAAACGAGCGCGAATATCCGCAAACGAGGACCAGGTCCCGTGCATGAGGACATGGAATCTTACAGGGGAATCAGGGGAAGCCATTTCCGAAAGTAATTAGCGCCTCTCAACACCTTCCATTTGCTGAACATGTTGGTTTCCGGTTCAACCCAGGTTTTTGAACCCAGGTTTTTGAGAGGATGTTTGTGGGTGAAATATTATACTTCACCCAGATCCCTGGAAACCGCGCTCTGCCCGAGGCTGCGTGAAAGCTCCGGCGCCAGCCCCGCCGGTCGCGAGTTGCAGCCGCCTGGCGCCTTGCCGCAGCTGCTGCTGTGCGATGAGCCCACGGCGGCGTGCGACTTGGAGACGGACTCTTGGTTTCTCTTAAGGGTTACTACGTGGGTTTCCGCTGGTTTGTGGCTTCGGTGTTTGTCTCGTTTTCCCAGCCCATTTTTTTTGTTGTTGTGGGGGGCCAGTTGGGGGGCGGGGTGTTTTCCTTTCAGATCAACTCAAGCCGGAAACCAGCAGGCACGTCCTTTCTTGATTTCCTTGGCCTATCTGTGTCCCCAGGACAAGCTCATCCACGAGACCCTGCTACAGGGCCTGAACAAGGCGGGAAAGCTTGGCTTGGAAGCCTATCAATTCCAGCCAACATGGTATTCCTTTGATCCCCTCGCAGTTGCCCTTTTTGCCACCTCTCTTCTTTGTTTGTTTGGCGGGAGAAGGCTTTGCTTTAAAACTCGGCCAACGAAGGCGCCGCGCTTTCCCTCCACTTAGGGAACTCTACTTACGGTTAGAGTTTTCCATTCAACCCCGGCTTACGTTTGGTGTCTCACATGTTTTCCAGATGGCGGACCCCGAATCGCGAATTGCTTTCCCTTTGGTGTCCTTTAAGCCAACTCCACAACAGGTATCCTCGAAACAGCCACCCCCAGAAAGTTTTGCCAATTGTTTAACAGACATTTGCCTATGGTCCATTTTGGACCCTTCAAAGGGAACGAGCTAGAACTTCAAAATATTTCAATCACCCACGGAATCCAAGCTCCTTTTGTGGAACCAATGCTATGGGCTAAATACTTTTTACCTGGACCTGAACGAACTACCCAAACCGGGAATTTTGAGGGGCCAGGTAGTTTAGTTTACTCCAAATCTAAGTGTGGTGGTTTCGAGGTTCCCCGCTTTTCCCACAAAAAAGCATGTTGCGGGCTTCTTGTGGGATTAGTTCCAACGAAGTGGGTTGAAGATCCACGGAATATACGGGTCTGTCTTCATGTGAGGGCACCCTGGCATTTTGAGGGCACCCCAGTTCAAATCTTGGTTACAGCCTAAGCCACTTAAACATCCAAGTACAGCTATCCAGTGGATCCCTGTTACCCATATTCTAGGTAACCTGCTATGTTCCTTTTTTGGTCTTTAAGCGGTGGTACGCCCATGGTTACCTCCCATACATCTAGGGGTTGATTCCTTGTTCATTCTTTTCAACCATCGTTCTTTTCAAAAACCAGCCGGTTTCCCTGAATTTCTGAAGGTCCTCTAGAAAGAAGGATTCCTGGAAAGAATGGAATTGGAAGGTACCCGTAGTACGCCGTAGAACAATCGGCTTCGGCTTTCCTTTTGGTCCCCAAACATGGCCACGTCACAATGTCTCCAAGAAGGTAGCATTATAATACAGGAAAAAATGGATCCACTGCCTTTCTGATCGCGCAGGACTGGACCTTGGTGGTGGTGTGCCATCGTCTTCACTACATCCGAGAGCGTCTGTGCCGAAGTTGGGGGCCTTTGGCGTGGGCCAATTCATTCGGAAGGCACGGAAGGCACCCCTTTTTTTTGCATAGTTTTAGAGGGAAACCAGCAGGAACCCATCCTTGGTGGTATAACGAAAGGACACACCCACTTGCGGGTTCTCAAGAAATCGGACTTTCCCATTGCAAATTAGCATGAAGACAATGGTTGGGTTCATACAACCACCATGATTTAATCCTACGGATTATTATCATCTAAATTGGGTCCCAAAGCCTTTGTTTTACTGGGGGGTAAGTTCAACCCCAGAGTAAAGATCACTAGAGCCGTCCTTTTGATTGGTTTGAAGAATAAATCTGGTTAAGAATAGATCTGGGCAAGTTGAACCTCAGGGTGTCCTGGGGAATGCACCGGAACCTGGGATCGTAAAGGCAAGGGAGGCTTTCGAGGGGAGGCTTGTGACTCTGCCTATCGTTTTTGTGAGGCCCAGCCAAGAGGTGACATGGAGGTAATTTCGAGGCCAAGCTTTCCTGCACCCTTCGTTACCTAAATGTCTGCCCTCAGCCCAAACGTATTGCAAAACCAGGGGAAGTCACAAAAACACAAAAAGGTAAACGTAGACTCGTTCCTGCTGCGAGCTTTTTTCCCAAAGCCGGGCTGATGGCCCTTCAAGATGATCTTTGTCTTGGCGGTGTCCAACCATCAGACTATGGTTTCGATAGCGATTTATGACATATCCCACGAGAAGTTTAACTAGGGGAAGGAACCACATCCAGTGCTGGCTCCTTGTTTTCATCATACCAATGAGATGTCGCGGGGTTGATTAATCCGTCGGCGGGGCCGGGAGACACTGCTTAGATGGATGGGTTAAAGCCCTTGTTTTCCTGGTAATCCCACGGGGTTTGGGATTACAAATGGGTTGATCAAAATCTCATTTACATGGGATGACCATTGGGGGAAAACCACAAACAAACAAAATATGTTCCACTAAATGGGAAACTACGCATTGCGAGGGGGTCCCAACCAACATGTTGATGACTCTCTCCAAATGCTTGTTTGGCTTTGATCTTGCAGCTACGCATGGTCATTTGGGGCCAAAACAATTGACCAACCCCCGCCCGGGAATTAGCACAACAGCTACTGGCTGTTGGCGTTGCTTCTTCCCCAGATTTTCAGATATGTCGATAAGGCCATAGGGTGGTTTGGTAGGCAGCTGAAAGAGGGAGGGTTCAAAAGATCCGTTCCAGGGATTCGGGAAAGCTTTTGCCGTTGGGTCCACATTCCACCTGCCTGGAGCCTGAAACTACCCATAAAAACTCATAAGTTGGGGGCAATAAGCTAAGTTGAAAAGGGGATTTTTGAGGGTGCAGGTGGGCTTAATTATCTTGGCTTATCTTGGCTTATCTTGGCTTATCTTGGCTTATCTTGGCTTATCTTGGCTTATCTTCTCCCGATATCTGGGCGTACTATTCCCAGCCAATGGTTGACTTTTACACAGAGTTGGGCCCAGATTTGTTTGCAAGGATTCGGTCTTTCGGGGCGGATGGATGGCGGATGAGTTCTGTAGCTCCCATGGCGTTTCCGAACATGTGGATAGCTCAAATGAGGCTTTGGAAAAGGTGTCATGACCCCCTTAGCTTTGGGCATATTCACTCCCCCAGTTTTGGAAAGGGTTATGGAGACTCATAGGTCTCAATGTCTTAGCGGCTCGGTGGGGGCTCTGTGGGGTGTGCTCTTTAGCTTTTGTTTCGTTTCGTTGTTTTTTTATTTAGGGGGAGGGAGGGTGAAGGGGAGCCAGTGTCTTATATCGTGGTCTTTGATTGTACATGTTTGGACTCGGCATTCATTCAACGTCGGCGCGCAGGAGGGCTCCCCAAAAACGACGAATCCCCACGAAAACATGTCCCTGTTATTCAACCAGGGGTTTATGAATCCGGGGTTCACTTGCAAGGGAATCGATCATTTGACCTGTTGGTTCCCCTTGGTTCCTCCTGAGCGGCCCCAAAAGGTGTTCACCTGTAATTGTGGGTCCCTAAGGGGCAACTGAGTTCAGGGACATTTGCTTTAAAAAAATGGGGCCGCTTGGCATCCAGTGTACTTCACTTACATCGGCGAGGAAGTCGCAACTTCTTCAACTTGTCGATGTGTTTACCGTTCAGGGGCAAAGCAAACAAAAAACATATGACTTGTGGATTCCAATTCATAAAGGCGAATTGGCTGGTCTTTGGTCAAGAGAACTCTCGGCAGGTTGGGTGTGCTGTAGTTGTTTGGAGTCGTGGGTATACCTATTGGGACGACACCTCCCAGGACCGCATCGCTCAATAGCCGCGAGAATGGCACGGTTTGCAAATCAGTGTCAGCGATGTTCTGCCATTCCCAGTAAAGCAGACTGGGACATGTGCACCTGGACCCTCAAAGTTCCCCACTGAATAGTTATTGTCCCGAACATCGGGGTGAGCTCCCTGGCGGTTTGAGGGTCTAGGCAGTTGTTTGTGCAGCTGCAGCTTTTGCAGGTGAAAGAAGACCGAAAACCAAACATGCACGTGTTTCGTATTCTGTGAATCTCCTATTGCCATGTTCTGAACTATGTTGCTTTCACTTGTGCTTCGCTGGTCAAGTTCTTTTTTTATATAGCCACTTGTCAGAGCAGTAGCTCAGCAACTGGATCCTCCGCGAGATGTTGATCTAGTTCTTGCTTGTTGCAGGTCTCATCCCAAAAGAACATTCTGAAGGTAGACGAAACATGAACCACCCCAGTAGTGCCCTTTTACCTCTTTTTTGGGGAGGGTTCCCCTACTAAAATAGACCACAGAAAAAAGTTGGTACCCGTATTCCACTTACTCGTATCTACTGGAGGACATAGAAGACGAAGCATAAATCAGAATCCGAACATAGTACCCCAGAGTCAGGCCCAGATTTTGCATTGCCATGGTCATCAGTGCCAAGCTGATTGGGCGAGAGGCGTGGCATCAGTTCTGCTTGACTCTGCCGGTGGCAGGCGCAAATTTGCTGCAGCGAGCATCCACCTGGGTTACCTGGATCGCGGTTGGACATCTGGGCAAAGAGATTCTGGGACCCGTGAGTTTGTCGAGCAGTGTGAACAATGTCCTTGGAACTTCTCTAGTTGGAGGACTCACTGTGGGTATATCCACCCTTGCATCGCAAGCATTTGGAGCGGGCAACAACTTGGCAATGGCCTTGGTGCTGCAAAGAGCCTTGCTGGTGACATTGCTTGGCTCCTTGCCCTGTGTCTTGCTGTTGGTGTTCCTTGGCGGCTACCAATTATACGTTCGGACTTTTCAACTTTTGGTGTTTGGAGGGATGACTCTAGCTGGGTGTATAGGGGACAAGCAAACGAGCAACGCGGAGGTTTGCAATCAACAGTCAACAGCCAGCACTGAAAGTCTATTTTTGTAGCGAGGGATCGATACACCACAAAGGTTCATCAAGCCCATCTTGCTTTGCCTCCACATGGATGAGGCCTTTGCCACGGTTGCAGGCCGCTATGCGTATTGCGTCCTGTTGGTGACCCCTTTTATGGGCATCCAGCGCTCCATTGGCATGTGGCTGGTGGCACAGAAGAACAACCACCCACGCATGTGGGTGATTCTCCTCGCGCTGCCGCTGCATGCTATGATGACAGAATCTTGGTGCATGTGGACAATTTGGGGGGTGTACTTCCCTTTGTTCAATAATATGTTGTTGTTTTTTTTCACCTGTTGGATTTGAGGGGAAGCTGTCAATACTGGCATATTTTTTCCAGGGGACTTGAGCAAACTGGAGGTTTAGGCAGTTTCTGTGAGTGGAGGGAATCCCCAAAGTGATAAAGTAGTCATGGGAACAAGCACTTTGATATCGCAGAAAGGCTTCTTTCCCACCACGTCTTGGTGGTTCGCCAGACGACTCCTTTGACTTTCAGACTTGAGTGAACTTGAGGGAGGGATATTCACATATCCCCGGCTCTTGACCCCTCCAGACACCATAAAGGGCCCTATGAAGACCCTGGAGACTGGAAATAATACCCCTACATTTGGAGGGTCCAGAATCAATCGAGAGCCTTCAGGTCCCCGAAAAGTTTGTTCTGGATCAACGCACCACTAAGGTATACTTCACGTTTTCAACATCCTGGACGTACATGGGCGCGGGGGTGGCAATGACCATCAGCACGGCACTTCAAGCCTTGCTCATCTATTTGTACATCTCCTGCTCGTCCACATGTGTGCAGACCTGGCGAGGCTTTAGTTCCGAAGCCTTCAAAGATTGGGGGCCCTACTTGGAAATCGCCTTGCCAGGTGTTTGGATGAACACTGAGACTCAGTTGCCCAAAGCGGATCAGCCAGATCTGACCTTTTGGTTTTCTTGCTTTGGTCCAGTCAAGACAGCAAAAGGTGCACCTTTTATTTCCATTGGGCCATTGGGGCAAGTGAGGAGTATTTCGTGGGAGAATCCTTAACCTTGGCTGCCAGCATGCTAGCTGATCCTGACACCTGCCTGTCAGCCCTGTCCATCTACCAGCTGACGCAAACCACCTGCTATCAGATTCCCAGTGGACTTCGCATGGCCATCAGTGGCCGAGTCGGCAATCAACTGGGTGCTGCCCAGCCAGCAGAAGCTGCCGTTGCTGAGAAAGCAGGGCTGCGGCTCATACTGCTGCTTGAATGCTATTGGGTTGGATCTTTAGACAACTTAACTTTTTGGGAAGTCAAGTTGGGTTTTCCCACTAAACCCGCAATTTTTTATTTTATTTTTTGCAGGGGGGGTCAACAGCAACCAAGGCTATGGCTCACAATTCCAGCAACTCTACTGCTGATCTTCACCAGGCAGTGGGGTCTTCTCTTCACACAAAATGTCGCAGTGCTCCAACTCCTAGACACGCTGGTTTGGCCCATGCTGATCTACAGCAGTCTGGATGCAGTACTCGCCTACATCGTTGGGGTCTTGACATCCTGCGGTCAACAGAGCATCAGTGGACGATGGGCCATCGGAGCCTATTTGGGTGTTAGTTTCCCAGATCAGTGGTACCCTTTTTCATTTCTTTGGCAAGGGTTTTCTTGCTTCCCTTTAATTTTTCAGAAACAACAACCACAACAACAAACAACAACTCCTTTTTGTTTCCCCATGGCAACTGGGCCTTGTTCCTTTTTTTCGGGAAGGATTTGGGTGCAAGAGTGCCATGTTTGTCCCAAAATAATCCGAGGCTTTCCCCTGGCTCTTCTCTTTGGCTTCGTCTTTCGGTGGGGAGTTTTCGGACTCTGTGCCGGACATTGCCTTGGGAAGCTTGGCAATTCCAAGCCATATCCTTGGACCTCTACCCGATTCCACTTGCCTCCCTCTCAAACATTGAAAGAAGGGCTGACCCAATTTGGATGATGACAATCCTTAGGTGAACCATGGTGGTTACATGAACCCCCATTGGTTGCATGGTGGTTTGAACTGCAGGGTAAAGTTTGGTTATTGCAGTTTTGTTTCCCCTTTTATGGGTAGTTTGAGGGTTTGGGGTGAGGTTCACTGAAAGTTGTTTTCACTTTCAGCACATCAACTTCCATTTGCTTAGGAATGTTTCTGCCCCTGTTGGTTTTAAAGGGAACCCATCACTACTGGAAATATGTTTGTCCAAGGGGCTTAAGCAAATGCAACTCAACGAAGGAAGATCTGCCACGTGGTGCCCTGCATGTTTGCCATGTGGCGCATCGACTGGGACAGGGAGAGCAAACGGGCCATCGAGCGAGTGGACCAGGTGTCCAGTTCCACCTCCTTGGTGAGGAGATAGGATGTGATTCTCGGGGTTGATTCCCCATTCTGTTCAACCATCGTTCTTTTCAATAACCAGCTGTTTTCCCAGGGTTTTTGGTGGTTTTCCAGAAAGAAGGATCCCTGGAAAGAATGGGGAAGCTACCCTTAGAGTGATAGGATGCGATACCTGCAGACGTTTCGACCAATTCCTCAGGGCTCAGTAGTACAACCCCAAGCCAATCGGGATCGAGCCCATGTGTTCTCCGCATCCGAAAGGAAGCTTTTTCTTAGGACTCATACCGATTGGTCACGGTCGAACTTCGGGCCACCGAATTCCGAAATTGGAGGCTGTGGGTTTTAGGTGGCCGGTTTCTGTTCGACTTGCTCTTGAAAGTGATCAAGTCGTCTTCACGACATCCCACTTTGGCACAAGATGTCCAGAGTCATATTTGAGATCGAATGTCGAATGAATGTGGAGTTGCTTCATGGTTTGGCCCAAGAATTGGCGCCGAATGGTATAGTGTACAGGGTCTGCATAACATGCCGATCATTTCATTCAGAGCCTTGTGTCCTGCAAGGACCAGGCAAGGTATTGCAGTTTTCGCGAGCGTTCGCTTCCGAACACGGACGACACAAAGTCGAGTTGTTCCAAAGCAATTTCCTGTTCTAGTAAGCCCAAAAAAAAAGGATTCATCGCATATGTTTTGGGCAATGACCAACTTTTAAGGGAAGTTTGAAGGGTCCGTTGAAATCATGCTCCACACAAAAGCTGGGATATTTGGAGGCTTGTGGATTTGTGGGCACGTTTTGGCTGGGCCCCGAAATCTCTCGTTCCGTTCGCAGCGCCTGAGGTTTGACAACATCTTCGTCTTCGAGGAAGGGCGCGTGGTGGAGCGCGGAAACCCGGAGTTCTTACTCCGGAAGGCGAGATGGATCTTCCGGACTTCCGGCGTTTGGGGTATTACCTGGACCCAAAAGAACTACCCATCAAAAGGTTGGACGTCACCCATTCCACAAGGTTGGGTTCCAACCCATCTTTCAGTTGGAATTTTCAGGGTCCAGGTAAAAGACCCTCCATTGGAGCTTCTGGAGGTCCCAAGGGGCGTTTTTTTTATTTGGGAGCCAGTTGGGTTTGAGGCGGGTTTTCTTTCGTTTTTCGGACGGTTTCTAGAAGAAGCACAGAACACAAAAGGACCTTTTTGGGATATTGGCCAACTCCTAGGTGCTTAGTTCGGAACCTAGGCCCCGTTGCGCGAGGCAAACGCCTTGCTGGCCTGTTGGGACCCAAGTCCCCATTCGGTTCTTCAAAAGAAGAAGCCCCACCCAGCCCAGCCACCCCCCATGGCTGGCAACTGGTCTGTTAGGTGACCTCCTGATACTGTGGATGGTTACAAAATCCACTTCTCGCACCACTTTGAAACCATGGTTTTTTTGCCATTTCTTGTTGGTATTTACAGGGGAATCATGTCATTCCGTTGGGATTGTTAGGTGGTGCAAGATTTCGTCCATCCACAGTATGATTAATATGACGGTTTTGGGGCCGTTTGCCAGCCATTGGGTGCTGGCAAGGGTTGACCACGAAGTTTTGGGTTCCTTTGGCCTTCCTTTAGGTAAGTGTGCTTTTCCTTGCGGTACGAGTGGGGTCTTCCGAGCGTCTTCGGAGCACCCTCGCCAAAAAGGATCCCTTAAAGGAAACCACAATGGACTATTCACTTCGCCATACCCTCATTCTTTTCCCAAACCTGTTAGACACCCATGAATATATTTATTGTGTTTACCCCAGTGGCATGGATTTTTTGTGAGCAGCCCCCATTTTAAGTCGCAGTTTGGTGAGTCTGCCCCTTGTCATTTCCCTTGCTAGTTTGTTTGAGGACCCAAGGGTGGTTTCCCTTTCCTTTACAACCGCAAAGTGGACAGAGGGTCCAGGTGCCACATGAGCGACCGACCAATTTGCCAACAACTGATTATGTATGATACGGTCGCAAATGAACCGAGATGGTTCCCCCAAATGAACGAGATCAAAACGATAGTTTTGTAGAACACCATGCAACACGAGAAGCTGTGCGAGCAGCTGTGACAGACTTTGAGATGTCTTGCCAGCGACCGGGCCCGACTAGCTGTGACCGAGCAGACCCTAAGCTTTTTCACAGGCTCCCGCCAGCGGAGCCGACAGCAGCGACCAGATATAACGGGGGGAGTGGACAATGGAGATGCTACACTGGATGGTTACAAGATCCATTTCGCGCACCACTTTCGAAACCACGGGAAGCCAGTGTTTCTTGAAGTTTCCAGGGGAATCAGTATCAAACAAGGGATTTCTTAGGTGGTGCGAAATGCATTACGCCCCTCCACAGTACGAAGGCGTGCATTGAAGTGCTCGTAGCGAGGTCTCAAGGCATTCGGTCGGCAAGAAAGCCATGCAAAGAATGGAGGGACCACTTGCGATACACCCCCCTGTGAAGACCCTTGCCAGGCCAACGGCCAGCTGGCCAAGATGTGCCAGCAACAAGGCGTGCTCCACGCTGAGCGCGACTCCAATGGAAGCCGCTAGCCCTCAAGCGATAGGTGGACCCCAAGCTGTAGCTTGCCCTGTTTCTTTGTTTTTCACGTCCTTCTCTTCAAGTCAATGTTATCCCCAAGAAAACATACCGTGGATGGTTGCGAAATCCGTGTCGCCCACTTCGCAACCATGGTTGAAACCAGCACCTTGGTTGGTATTTACGGGGGCATCATATCATTCCAGGGGGTGTCCAGAGGAACACGGCTAGTTTCTCTGAGAGCAAGTGGAAGTACCACCCGGGAGAGCAACCTGGCGTCTCCTTTGACCCAAATGAAAAATGGGCCCATGGCCCATTTCTTTATTTTGGGCAATGGCCAACCCATTTTTACAGGTTCAGAAGGAGACTCTAGGTACCCATAAAGAAGTTGGAATGCACCAGCCAGAACTTTGGGTTGCAATTTTTAGGTTGGAAGTTTGAGGGTCCGGGTATGGAAGAAGATAGGGTGGCTTCAAAGATAACGGCAAGATGAAGCCATGCAGATCAAGAGGTCGCTGGTTCTGACACAACGTTCGGGCCCTCGCCCGTTGCGGGCAGGCCTTTTCGGTTCGTGTCCGTTTCCACGGCGTTGTCGCGAATCCGCGCGCAGCGCAGTCGGCCGTCGCCTCTGAAATCGTCGGCGGTCGGAAGTTGCCAAAGACGCCAAAGACGCGAAGCAAAAATCTTCGAGCCTCGAGCCGAGTGCTGCGTCGCGAGCCCAGGCCTGAGGCCTCCTGAGGATCTATAGGTCTCTTTGTCCAGGTCCCCCAGTGCCCGTCCACCGTTTCTTTTTTGGGGGGAGGGTTCCCCAAATAGAATAGACTGCAGCAAGAGGGGTATTCTAACCTGACTGGAAAAAGCTAGCGGTGTTTTTGAGGACCTGGTCAAGCAGGGTCATTTCGAATGTGTCTTGGGGGTTATCAAATTCCACACCCGGGTGTTTCTCGTTGACCTATCACCTTGCTGGTAAAACTGAAAATGGGGCCAGTCAAGGTTACATGGAACCTGGATCCTTTGGGGCTCTTTTTTTGGGCCCCCAAAATGGATGGTTGCCTTTCTGGCTTCCCTTCAACCACCCGAACAGAGCTGTGGAGCCTCAAAAAAGGGACAGCCACATCCACGTGAGCCAAAAAAGTTTGGGCGACTGGCCGTGCCAGAGTCACTGGGCTCTTTTGAGCCAAGTTGCCCCGGAGCCGTGGTCCCGCCTTGGGGGATATGTGCGACTCGCTAAGTGGACGTCCAAGCGGCTTCTCTTTACTTGGTGATTTGGTTTGGTAGTTTAGGGGTTTGGCTTTTGTACAAGAACCCGGGATCCGACATATTCCGCAGGACTGCCTGCGGGAGAAGAAGAATGGGCGGACCTTGATCCTGCCACTTGCCGGAAAGATGCGGTTGGGGATTCGAGTTGTTTTGAAGAGTTCCTGACGCTGCCATTTGAGTTATCTCAAAATAGGTGCTTGGCCATCAAACTACCCAAAACAAAGCTGGACATCACCAACCATAGTTTTGGGTTGCAATGAAACCAACAAACCTAAGTTGGAAGAATTCCAGGCGGTTTCCTTTTTTCCTTTTGACACCACCAGAGGTTCCCGAAAAACAAAATGGGCTGGAGGGGAGCAGTCCATGGGATCACCGAAGCTCTGGGCCCCGTCCAAACAATTCGACAGTTTGAACATCACCCTTTTGGACCAATAGCTGTGGGAAAATCTAGATAGGTGTGTTGGCTAGATCATGGTAAACCGCAACGTCCAGCATGTATATCAGTGTGTCCGTTCTTTGAGGGAAAACTCTTCTTTAGAGGTTTTTTTTTGGAAATGCAAAAGGAACACCCTGCACCATTTTGGGGGTCGGAATCCCTAAAAATGATGCCATATCCAGTGAGGGCTCAGGAATCGAAATTGTGGTTTTCCTCTTGGTTTCCCTTGACTACCTGGTCCCTCAGACTACCCATTCAAAGGGTAATTCTGGGGCAATAGCCAACTTTTTTTTTGGTTTTTTGAGGGTGCAGGCACCAAACAAGGGGGTCCGAATCCTAAAAACAGAACCGAGCCATGCATGTGGTGGGATGGACGGACTTCTACATGGGGAAGCCTCCAAATTGCAGTCGGACACATGGGATCTGAATATGGCACCTCCGTCTGAAAGCATGCAGAGAGAAGAAACGCTACCTGGACCTTCAAAATACTTAAACATGTGTTATTGCACCCCACATTTATGGTTGGCATTTTTTGTTTTGTCGGTAGGTTTTTGGGTCCAGGTAGATATTTCAGGGGTCCCAGTCATTTTTCTGCAGCTTGGGCCCTGGAAAGCACCGTCGGAGTATTCACTCAGCAAGTCTCGATGCGGGAACGTGCCAAGGACAACCCACTTCATGGATGAGGCGCGGGCTCTTGACAGGAATTCGTTTAAGGGGTTATTTAGCAGGGCTCCTTAAAAGATACGTTTTGCAACCATTTGAAACATGGCTTTTTCAGGGACACCACCACTTACAAGGCAATGTTCAGGTGTATAATGTAAGGATCCCTGTTTAGTTTCAGTGTTTGAAGGGTGACATCCTTGATTACCGAGATTGGAAACTGGAACAGGGATTTACAGGCATCCAAGTGCAAGTTTGGGCGTGCTTTTGAGGGTACCTGTTTTTTGTGATGCTAAAAGGAAACCAAAGGGATACCCACCATTTTGGGGTCTCATAAAAAAGACACGCCCATTTGTATGTTGAGGGGATCATTAAACTTGAAAGCCCAGCACATGAATACAACCTTGGATCCTTTTGGAAGCATGCGAAACGCTTGAAGGGTCTGAAAGGCAGCCATTGCTGGGTCATGCAATTTTCTGGTGGCTTTCCCACCATCATTTGGGTCAATCTTCGCTTGGAACCCGAAGCAAACATTTGCAGATTGTTTCCCAAACCATTTTCTATGCTATGTGCTTCCCTGGACCCTCAAACTACACCCATAATGTTTAAGTTGGAAGTTGAGAGTCCATGTAGATAGAGAAGGGTAGTGGTTGTCAGGGTTCGTTATCCAATCCCATCTGAGAATGGCAGTTTGAGAAACCATGCAACAATCAAAGCCCGGGTAGATGAAGGTAAGGATACCTGGACCCTCAAATCCACCACCCATGTTTTTGGGTTGCAATTACACATGTCGAAGGGAATCTTGGAGGGTGCAGGTAGATGAAGGCAAGGGATAGTCCCAACTGTAAATGGGTGCCTTCGCCGCCTTTTTTCAATTCTCGATTCATCTTTTGGGTTATTAGGCTTGGTCATCCACCCGGTCAGAATCCCGAAAAGCACTTCATGAATGATTCCTGAGGTAACCACCCAAGCGGCCAGACAAACGGAGTTTGGAGAAGCGAGTTCAGGCAGAAGAGTTGGGGGACCGCATCGCCATCATGGCTGCCGCGGGCTCTGTTTGCCATCCAACTGAGCTCAGATCAAGTGGTTATTGTCCCATAGCTGGGGTATAGACTTAGGATACATTTTACATTTTCCCAGTGACTCAAAGTGAAGCAAACAATAAAATGTACATTCTAGAACTGGGCCTAACTCCAATCATGATAGGTGTCCTTTTAGACGAGGTAGGTTGATCGGAAATAGATGGGCTCCACTGGTTTGGATGGATCTTATGCCCCATTCAGCTGACCAAAAGGACATCTATGGTTATCCCCGATTCGGGTCTCCTCCAAAGTTGGAACAACCGGTCCGGAAGTTTGCTCAAGGGTTGTCAACCTCAAGTTAACGTGGGTCTCCTCAAACATCATGTTTGTTGTCTTACTGTGGATGGACGCGAAATTCGCTTCTGGTACCACGAAATGAAACCAGGGTTGAAACCACAACGCTTGTGGGTAATTGCGTTGGAGAATCGAATCATTCCACAGATGTGGGAGCCGACTTATTCAGTTGACCCCATTTGCTACAGTACGGTTGACACTGTTGCGAGTGGAACCCTGAAAATCCCACGGGAGAACAAGGGAAACTCTGGAAACTCCCGGCAAATTACGACAGGGTTTTGGTGGGTTTGCTTTCATGAATGTTGAAAATCACCAGCAGGGTAGCTGACATGTCACACAAATCTCCATGTGCTCTAGAAGAAGCCAACAGGGCGGGTGACATATTTGAGATCTTTCCAGCCCCCTATTTGGCTCAGCCAGGGTAGTTCTTCTCAGCGAGAAAGCGCAAGTCAAAACATTCCGGAGTAGTGAAGAGGGGGAGGGGCGTCTGAAATAAAATGTATTTATTCTTTATGACGTCCTTCAGGGAATTGCAAGTCTTGACTTTGCTAGCACCAAAGTGCCTTCCGTTTTCTGTTCGTCTGAGGCGGGACGAGTGAAGTGCGTGGGCTCGTCACTCTTCTTGAAGTCACAGCGACCCGGCTGAACTGACAGGGAGACAGTGGTTGGCAAAGGAAGCAACCATAGGTGTCCTTTTTGGCGGTTTTGCTAGCAAAATAGATGGTTCACCTGGTGGTTTAATCATCTACCAGGGCCATCTATTTCCCCTAAAAGGACAGCGATGGAAACAACATGAACAGACACTTGTTGTTTTCCCTGTTCGCTCCACTGTTAGCAAAGTTCCCAAAAGACACCTTTTATTTGCAGGTCCTTTGGGCAAGTGAGGAAACAACCAGCCCAAAGGTCCCTCAAATGTCAGACCCTTTGACTTCTCAACCATGTTTGTATTTGCCGTAAGCGCACGTTCGGGACCCCGCAGACCACCCGAAATCCATAAGCCTCAGTACTTGCATGTTCCAGCTACTTGGTTAAAAACGTTATAACCATGGCTATATTGTGTCAAGCAACTTGCCGTTGTCTCACTTGTAGCCATGGTTATAACCTATACTTGTACATGGGCGGCTCTTCTTTTTTTGGATTCGGACCCAACATGCTAGCTGTCTTTGGGCCCTTTAAAAACGCAACCCGAAAAGGTTCCCCAATAAAAACGATTCAACCCCCGCATGGACCCTCTTTCTATTCAACCTTCATTTTTGCTCAATAATATGTCCGATGTTCCCTTGCTGATTTTTAAAGGGCATTTATCACTACGTGCCCAGTTGTTTTCCATGTTTCTCCAGTGGGCGAAACAAAGCGGAAATGAGCCGCAATCAAAACCCGGGTAGATGAAGGTTAGTAAGGGACACTCCCCTTGCCATAAATAGCTGCAGATATCCGCCTTCTTAATTCTTGAAACGTGGTTCTAAGTCGACCATTTTAATACCGGGTTTTGGTTTCTGACTCAAACTCTATCACTACGTGGCCATATTTTTTTCCATGTTTCTCTAGTGCAAAACTAAACGGAAATGAAACGTCACCTCCACGGAAGGCGTTCGCTCTCCACGGAAGGCCTTCGCCTTGAGGTACGGGGTGGGCTACACCTTGACCATCGCCAAGGTGGCCCAGGCGTGTCGATTCCGAGACACCCGTCGTTTCCGGTAGGAACGGAGGTCAAGCCATCAGGCTCACTTACGCGAATCGACCTCTTGATGTATTTTCGCCCTTTTTGGCAACCATGTCTGGTAAAAAGGTCCCAAAACGGTGATCACCTTCTATTTGTTTGGTGCTTTGGGCAAGTGGGCAAAGAACCTGAGTTGTCGTTCAGGTGGCCCAAAGAACTTGCTGGCTCGATTGGCAGGGAATGAGAAATGGAATGACCACCATAAACTATCCCTTGTTTCCTTTGAGGGAATCCCCAAAACCGGTTGATTCAATCAACACCCGGATGGGTCATTCCCTGAGCAAAAAAAAAACATCCCCCGTCGAAGTTGGGGGCTCAAAGCTCTTGAAACCTCACTGAGCCCTTCTAGGAAGGGAAGCCTTGCATCCATTTGCCGAAGAATATTTGTTATTTTCCCTTTTGGTTTTTGGAGGGAATCTATCACTATCGGACATGTTTTTTTCTTTTTTTTGTTCAGAGGGCTTAAGCAAATGGAAGCCTTGAGTTGGGGGGATTTGATGTCAGCCGTGTGGAAGAAAAAAGAAGTCTCCTCAGACCCCCCCCCGTGCACCCCATTCCACCCCCCCCCAAAAAAAAAACCAAGCCGAGCGCCAAAGCCGCGCCAAATCTGCGTCGCTGAGGCGAGCTCCGAGCAGAGCCGGGCGCTGCGGTCGCTGGTGGCCTCCAAGTGCTCCAAGGCGGAGGTGACGAGCAACGTGGGCCCTTGGGACCCCAAGCTTTCGCTTTTGGTTTGACTCAGTTTTTGGGCGTCAAATTTTGGTACCCGAACAGGGCTTGGTACCTAGCTGGGGGACCTAGTGTTGGTTTCCCTCTAAAACTATCCAAAACAGGGCTCCTTAAAATAATTGTTCATGTTGCAACCATTTGAGTTACACGTGGCTTGTTCAACACCAAAATAAAGTTGGAAACCACCAGAAAACAAGTTGCAATGTTCAGGTGTATAATGTAAGGATCCCTGCCGAAATGCGGTGCGTTGGTAAATGCGGGGACTAAAACGGGTTTTGCTGGCCTCCCGTTAAAAAGAGCAACACTGTACCTAGACCGATGGGAGCCCATTTGGGGTAGAATTCACCACCCATTTTAGAGCCTATTTAGTGGGGATTGAATCGGATGTTCACTGGGGGTACGATATGGATTTTGACCCATGGCCATGTGGCTGTGGGCAAACAATAGGTACCTGGAGTCTCCATGACCCTTTAAAAATGGGTCCATGACCCTTTTTTTTGGGGAATGACTAACCATTTTTAAAGGCACCAAGGACTAAAACCTGGATTCATTTTGACCCATACCCATGTGGGCCCCAAGGAGGTTGCCTAAAGCCTCGCCTTGTCGGCCTGGACCCACCTGAAAATGAAGCTGCCTGCCTTGAAGTGGTATGGTTGATGTTTTTTCCTGGGGCTTGGGGGCGAAAGTCGCAAGAAGCCAGGTTTTTGTCAATGCATCCACACGACTTTTGCCCGGGGAAAACAAAAGGAGGTTGAACAATAAACAAATGTTTAAACGTGTTTGAGCAAGGGTTGGGCTTTCGTGATTCAAAGAATGCAACTCGCAATCTGTTCGCAGCAATCATGGAAGTGGGCAAGGTGCCTTTGCCAGTCGATCGTCTGAAAAGCCACGGTGCTCTTCCATGATCGCTAGGGGTCGTGCAAAATCCGGTGCTTTGCCTTACACCTGTGCCCGCTGGTAAATATATGAATATATATATATAATAATAATAATAATAATAATAATAATAATAATAATAATAATAATAATAATAATAATAATAATAATAATAATAATAATAATAATAATAATAATAGTAACAGAAAAAATAATAATAATAAAATCATAATAATAATCAGAATAATAATAAAAAAATAATAATAATAATAATAATAATAATAATAATAATAATAATGCATTGATTGTGGATCTCTCCATGCGGAATATAGATGCGGCTTCCTTTGGGGGGGCAACACAAATTTGACACCACCAAGTCTTGGGCTCAGGGTGAAGGCTGGCGGTAGGTTGAAGAACCACCCATGGCACTGATACGAGCCATCTCGCGCTCGTTTTGGAGCGTCTTTGGCGCTTGGGGTCTAGTTGGGAGCTAGCTTGGATGGACCACCAAGAAAAGGCCTCTTGTTTTGTAAGGCTTTGGACACCAAAGTTGCGGTGCCCCCTTTGAAACCAAAAAGGTTGGAATTCACCCACCATAGTCGCATTTTCCGGTTGGAGGTCTGAGGGTCCAGGTACATTGTAGATCTCTCCATGCAAAATCTGAATGCATCTTCTGTTGGGAGCCAAAAGGAACCACCCGGCGCCTAGGGTGAAGGTTAGGGGGCAAAACTGCCTCAAAACTGGTACCTGCACCCTCAAACTTCCCCTTAAAAGGGAAATCACCAACCATAATCTTGGGGCACGAACCCATTTTCTTATTGCAATTTTGAGGGTCCAGGTACACCCCTTGCGGTCTTTCACCCCCCCGACCGACTCGGAGTTGTTGGTCGGTCGGTCCCGAGGCACGGAGTTGACATACCGAATGCCCTTCGAGGAGCCGGGACCCTGAAAAAACTCCAACCCTCCCTCAGAATACCCGTAAAAAACGTGTTTTTTGCCCTAATAACAGCCGGAAAAATGGGTTATTGCCCTCAAAATACCCTTAAACATGTTCCTTTGCCCGTAAAAATACCCTGAAACATGGGTGATTGCCCTAAGATGCTGGAGTGAGTTCCTGGCTTGTTATATAGTTTGAGGGTTAAGGAAGACTCCTTGGATTCCAGTTGCACCCTGCAACCACCGAGGCTCCTGCATTACTTGGAGTGATTCCACTTGAGGCTGTTTCAGTCCCTTGTTCACTTGTTCTCCCTCGACCCAACTGTTTCTCCAGGCCGCGTTGTGATCAGCTGCTTGTTACGTGGGGTGGACCACCCACCCACCCTCTTACAGTTTGGAACTTGTTGCAAGAACCAAACGGCCCCTTAGAAATAAGGAAGGTGAACAACAGGTTGAGTGTATTGTGGTTGGTTGGCCTTTTAAGCCATGTACTTTGCTGGCGTAATTGGGTGACATTTGTTTTTTGTCTGGCCCATCCACTCAGGAAGTGAGGGGAGTCGAATTCCCGAAGGCTTCCGACTGCCCCTCTTGGCCTTCAAGCCTTCGGCGCCTGTTTTTGCGAAGGCCAATCTTGGGATCCGTAAGAGTCGAAGCCTAAAAAAGGCGCGGCAAGAAACTAAAACCTGGAGTCTCCGAATCGAATCTGACACTGAAAACTGATCCCCCCTTCTTTTCAGCAATCAAATCATTGTGTAAGGCTCAGAAGGAACATCTCCAGGTTCCGGTTTGAGTGAGGGCTTGAATTCATACTCCACGCAAAAGCTGGGGATAAATTTGCAGTTTTTTCGTGGACTAGGTCCCCCAGTAGTGCCCTTTTGCCCTTTTTTTGGGGAGTGTTCCCCCACTAAAATAGACTACAGAAAAAAGTTGGTACCCTCATTCTAAACTCTCAAATCTGGAGGACCTAGATACCAATACAATGCTGTGATTGCCAGGATTTGGGTGGGTATTCTGTGGGTATTTAGAGGACCGGCAACTACTGGAGGACCTATACTGGATTTGGTTCCCAAATGGATCCCTTGTACGTGGAAACATGGGCCAAAACCTGCGTAACCCCAGCTGGTTTTTGGTTTTGAGCCACATCCATTTGCAGGCTTTACCTGGATTTCTCGGCAAGTTTCGCCAAACAAAAAATCATCCCCCCAAAAGAAAACGGGCAGGAGAGCAGCAGCTTCCCCGAGCTCTTCGAGGAGCTGGAACGGCAGCCGCAGCGCGCCTCGGCCGCAGCGCGCCTCGTATGGCCGCAAGGGGTGTCGGTGCGGCCCGGCGCCTTTTTGGGGTGAGGGGGAAACCAAAGTACCTGGAGTCTCCTTCTGACCCTCAAAACATGGTTGGCCATGACCCCTTGATTTTTTGGGTCATTGCCTAGCGATTTTTTGAGGGTCATGGAGACTGCAGGTACCCATCAACAAGGGAACCCAGAATTTTCGAGCAGTATCCCAGGTTTTAGGGAATTTGGAGGGGCATGACGTTCGGCACACTCAGCAAATTACGATGGGGTTGCTTTCAATGTCATGTTGGAGAGAAAGGATTGTTGACCGGTTGACCGTGATGATTCACCGTTTGCAAAGGGTCCTTTGCGGAGGCTTCAAGCAATAGTTGGCATGGCGATGGTGTTTATCAGGCAGGGGGAGGGCCCGTGGGCCTCATAAAGGATACATTTGGGCCAGTTAGAAACAACACCTTTACAAGCTGATTTAGATGATCCCCCTGTCAATCATGGCTTTTTTGGATATCCAAACCCTACATCACCCGGGAGGTGTCTGCTTGGAGGTAAGGTGGTTGGTTTCCTGGAAAGCAGGTCAACCAAAACCCTGAAAGACCCCTCAATGAATGCCTTAATTAAAGGCCCAAGGTGACCCGGTGATGCTTGAGCCAAAGAGAAGTCGAACCCCGTTGTCGGGCTTTCCTCCATTTCTGTTTGTGGACCCTTCAAAGCAATCTCAATGGAAACCGGAAGCTGATTTAAACTTTTGAAGGAGAGCACCATGAAAATTCAGTTGAGCCTTGGTTTGCTTTTGGCTTCTTACAGTGGATGGACGAAATCCAGTTTGTGCCACCTTTCAGAAACCCAACAAAATGATTCGATTCACACACGTAAATACCGATACCGTTAGAAACGTTACGATGTTTCAACCATGATTTTATTTCGGTGCGAAATGGTTTTCGTCCATCCACACATCCACAGCAGGCTATACCATATGGTCCGGGGAAGTTATGCTAGATATATGTTACTTGCGGCACATATAACTAACTTACGGGGAACTTACGAGAAATATAACTTAGGCAAAATCTAGTGAGTTTAAAAGCTACTTGTAAGTTCACTCCTTGGACACCTTTTGTACAGCGAAACGCGCGTTTTTTGTTTGCGGCAGTCAATCAATGAGTCATGTGTGTAGGAACCTTTTCGGTGTCTTGCGTGCCCTGGTCGAGCGGTGGCGTATTTCATGCTGCTGCGTTTTTACTCACTGTTGCTGTGAGCAGGGCAATGCTATCGTCAACGCAGGCAAACTAGCTGATTGTCAACGAAGCGAAGCCAGCATGGGAGCGTGACAGGGCCCTGCGCTCGAGCCAGCGTTACGCGCCTCCTGCCGACGCACGCGCGCAAGCGCAGCGCGCAGCGCCTTTGCTTGAAGGTCGTTCGTTGATGTGTATCCCTGCCAGCTGGTTGACCCCACCTGGAACTGAAGTTCATTGGACACCCTCAAAAAACACCAGGGCCAAAGGAAAGGCTATAGCCGCTATATGTTTTCCGTGTTCCCGGACACGCTGTGTTCGCATTGCTCCGCAGCAAATCGCTTTCTTCGACAAATCCACAACACCGTGTGCCTCAGCGCATCTCCTAAAACAATAATTCGTAAGTTCCTGTAAGTTGTTTCTATGTTCCCCCTAAATTAGTTGTATTTTTCCTGAACCTCAATTCATAAGTTCCGTAACTTGACCACACCTATCTTACAAAACCACCCCAATAAGATTTGGGAAACTTACGAACCTATAGAGAGCTGATAGCTTAGGTTAGCAAACTTATAAGCTTAAGTTCCGTATCTTAGCCCAGACCTTCTGGTAGCCCACTTACAAATAGTTCACCAACTGGCCCTAGTGACCCAGGCAGTGAAGGCAACTGTAGTCTATCAACTTTGGTTCACCCAGTGAATCCCACCCAGTAAATCCCATCAACAAGGCCTTTGACAGCGTGACTCCAGCTAGGTCCCCCAGTAGTGCTCTTTTACCCTTTTTCGGGGGAGGGTTCTACCAAAATAGACTACAGAAAAAAAGATCGGGTACCCGTATTCTAACCTCTCAAATCTGGAGGACCTAGCCAGTGACTCGAGTCGAGGCTATGGCGTTGAGCTCTTCGGTGTGTCGGTGACCACGTTGGAAGAAGTCTTCCTCCGCGTGGGCCGCGACCACACGGAGGCGGATGTGGCGCTCGACGAGCGGCTCCAGCAGGCGAAGCGGCCGAAGGGAGGGGCATGGAGGGGCCGATGGCGGGAGTCAGTGGCGATTTTTTTCCCAGGAAATGCCGGTTGATTCGTCCCCTGGAAATGCGTGCAACCCCACGAAGTTCTGAGTTTTCCATGTCCAAAGTTCGAAGTACTGGCCAAAAAACATGTTTTTGAGGTGGGTGTCTCTTTGTTTGACGGTTCCCGTGTTGGATGGTGTTGAAAAGAAACCAAAAGGAAAACCGATCCCGCAAATGGGTGGTTTTGTTTTACGGGTTCCGTGTTAATCTTCAGGGGAGTAGTCCATTATGGATTGATGTTACCGAGAGCCGGTAGCTCTGATGTCCATATAGCCAAGCTTCCAAAAGTCTAACCTATAGTTCACAGGGATTTTCAGGCATGGGTGAGGTATGGAGGAAATAAATACAATGTATATAATGCCTATGCATGTATGTACTGTGTTACAGGCTCATATATTGGTATGTAATACTTCCAAACCCCATACCACCCACCACCACCACCGCTGCCGCCGCCGCCGCCACCACCACCACCACAACCACACCCACCCATCTGAAAAGTCCATCTAGCTGCTTGGAAGTGGGTGTGACTTTTTTTAGGGCCTCAACAGTCACCAAACAAGGGTACCTGGACCTGAACATACGATTAAACAATGAAACAAACATCTCTTTTCTTAGTACCTGGAGTCTCCTCTGACCCTTTAAAGCTGGGGTCATATGGGGTCATTGCCCAAGAGTAAGGGGTCATGACCCCTTTTTTCCAGGGGTCAGAAGGAGACTCTAGGTAGTCTAGGTAGGTCCCCCAGTAGTGCCCTTTTACCTTTTTTTGGGGGAGGGTTCCCCTACCAAAATAGACTACAGGACAAAAAGAAGAAGATCGGGTACCCTTATTCTATCCTCTCAACTCTGGAGGACCTAGTTCTTTCGGGTCCGAGCCCAAAAGCAAAAAGTAGCATGGGCCAAGTGGCCCCCGCGTCTTACGCGTAACGCGTAAGTCGCGGCTGGTTTCGGCTGGGGTCCTCGAGGCGAGCTTCGTGCGCCAGATCTCCGAGGAGCGGGAGCGCGCGCAGAGCTCTTGGCGCCCTGAGGCCAAGTGAGCCGGGACGGCGGTGGGTGGCTCCTGCACCCGAAGCAAGAGCTACCCACAAGGGGCATCACCAGTTGCATCATCTTGGGTTGCAATATTTTTTCAGACTTCGAGCGTGTAAATGATCTAGTTTGAGGGAACCCCAACCTCCGCATCAAGTTTCCCTCTAAAGATTGGTTGTTGCCACAAGAAAAATGCTTGGCGAGTTCCCTTTCCTTTATGGGTAGTTTGAGGGTTCAGGTTTGTCTTTTTTTAGGGGACCCCCCCAATCCGTGTTTTCTCTGTTTCTTTCTGGTTTCCCTTTGGAACCCCAAACAGAGTCCCCTTATGCCCAAAAAGAGTGTCTTTTTGAGTGCAAAGACCATGAATTTGCATGCGACCCAGGTGTGACAGTCGAAGGTCAAAGTGGTGGTAACAAGTGTCCTTCAGAACGATGTATCGGAGGGTAAGGCGGTACAACTCACTTCCTGAGACTTGTCACTTTTGGCGAAGACCCATTTTAGTGGAAAGCAAACAGGTTGATTGGTTGATTTTTGCTTGACCAGCCACTCAGGAAGTGAGAGAAGGAGGTCAGTTGTTCGACTATAGGCATTTGGCTTTGTGACCATTCGAGCAAGCAAAGTCTAGGCTTTTTGTTCAGCCTGTCCACTCCAGCACTGAGATTGCTCCGAGCCAAGTCAGTAACTCTCCAATTAACCCCCCGGTGTCAGCAGCGGTTAATTGGAGAGTTACGGCCCCTTGTCAACCCTTGTAGTGAGGGCTGCTCGGGTCCAGAAGCCAGACTTAGCTTGCCTTGTCAACATGTTGGGCCCGGGAAGGTCATGGCAACTCCCACCGCGGCTTGTTTTTACAGGTACAGCATGTTCTGGACAACCCTCAGTGCAAAATATACCATGTCAAAACAAGAGGTTCCCCTTCATGGCAGCTTTCCTTGTGCTTCCCCTTGAAACGAAAACAAGGGTGCCCTCGAAACTCAATAATACACCCAGGAAACAGGTTCAAAGGGCCCAGTGAAAAAGGACACCTCGTTAAGGTTGATTTTGAATGGACCCCATCCGACCAACTCCTGGACGCTTGGGCTCTCTTTTTGCAACCTTCCTTTAGCGTGGCTATTGGTTTTTTAAAGGATTCGTTGCTGCAACAGATATCTACCTGGACCGAAAGAAATTGCAACTTCCACATGGCATTGGCTGCCCCAAGACTCTGGAATTTGTATGTATGTTCCTTTTTTTATGTGTAGTTCTTTCGGGGTCCAGGTGGGTTTTTGAGGGTTCGCAGTGTCCCTGGCAGCCCCCGTGCCGCAGGGCTCCAGTTGGCGCTCCTCGAATCAGGCAGCTGAGCCGCTGACGGCAGAAAGGCCACGAGCGGGGCATCGTAACGTTGGCGTCTGACCATTCTTCTAGGGAACACTTCCAACCATTCTTCCGGTTTTTTGAAAATAATGATGGTTGAAAATAATGGGAATCCCCCAGCTAGGTGCCCTTTCTCACCCCTTTTTTTGGGAGGGTTCCCCTACCAAAAACTGACGTACCCTTATTCTAACCTCTCAAATCTGGAGGACCTAGAAATTGCCCAAACAAAAGAGAGGGAGGAACTCACCCTGAAACCTTGGGGTCACTATAGTCCATGGTTCAGGGCATTTTGAGGGTCCAGGTAGAGGAAGTTCGAACGGAATTCCGTGTTTGTTCTTGCCAAGGGAAGGGGGGGTTGGCCAATTGTTTCTTGCGAGTGGTAACTCGGTTGCCCAAAGCGAATCGACCTGATCTGACCTTTTGGTTGTCCTGTTTTGGTTCATATTTTGTCAAGGGCACAAAAGGTGATCGCCTCTTATTTCAGGCCGTTCGGTTGCAAGTGAGGCAAGCTCCTGGTCTTTGGACTTTGGAGGTGGAGGTAAGAGGAGTCCTGGTCAGGGTCCCGGAGAAAACAACACATATGGAAAACCTCCGGCACTGGGGGTTCCTTATAGGGAAACTCACACACAGACCTCCGACGACCCAGGAGTTTGCCACACTTTGCCAAATGTTTGTCTCGAAATGCACAAAACGTCCTTTTTGTTGCTCTTCAACCTGGCCTCTTCCCCTTTCAAGCAATCGGCAAAAATCAACATCTTTTGAAACACGTGGAATGTTTTTGTATCAAACACGTTGTTGCTAAGTACCTGGAGTCTCCATGACCCGAAAAAAATGGGGTCATGACCCCACAATTTTGGGTAATGACCTCATTTTTGAAGGGTCATGGAGACTCCAGGTAGTTCCTGGGCTCGCCACACCTCCAACTTAACTGCAGGACAGTTCACGGCCGATTTCCGGCTCCAACTCGGTAGGGGGACGAGTAGCCGGGTAGCTTCGTCTTTTTCTAGTGACGCCAACAAAACGGCCATGTTCCAGGGGTACCTTCCCCATTCTCTCCAGGATCCTTCTTATTAGAAAACCTCCGGAATCCCACGGAAAACGTATCGTTTTTGGAAAGAACGATCCTAGAAATGTGGGGGCTTGGATGACCGCCTCAGTTGGTAGGGTTGATTTCCCCAGAAATGGGTATGGGTCAAAATTAGACCACCAGGAATTGGACCACAGGCTTTAGTCCAGGTTTCCATTTACCAGGGTTCCATTTTGGGTACCGATTTATGACCCACAGCCAAATTTGACTCAGCGTAAATCCCAATTGGGGGACTCATCAACTGGGGATATGAACCACTAGCCGTCATGGGGCGGGGAATCGAACGCACACACACACACACACCCACCCACCCACCCACCCACCCACCCACGCGCTGCACGCGCGCGCGCACGCACGCACGCACGCACGCCCGCCCGCCCGCGCGCGCGCACGCGCACACGCGCACACACACGCACACACGCACGCACGCACACACGCACACACCGCAAGCAACCAGGGACGCACCTTTGTAGAAAGAGCCTCCCCGGAGTTTTCCCTCAGTGTGAGTGAGAGCCGGCAGTACAGTAGCTCCCCAGAGGTGTGAGGGTTGTGGAAGTTGAGTTACACTCCTTTGCAATCAACATGACCCCGCACCCCGCGAAAGCAACATAACAAATACAGGGAGTCTCCATGACCCTTAAACATGGTTGGCCACAACCCAAATTAAGGGCTCATGACCAACCATTTTTCAAGGGTCATGGAGACTCCAGGTAAATAAACAGTTTAGACTTGTTCTGCGCCATCCCCCAGTAGTGCCCTTTTACTCTTTTTTGGGGGAGGGTTCCCCTACTAAAATAGACTACAGACGAACAAAAATCGGGTACCCTTATCTCAGTTGTCCAAAGCCGACCTTTGGACCTTTTGGTTTTCCCATTTTGGTCCATTTTTAGTAGAGGTGCCAAAAGGTTAACCTTTTAGTTCTGGGTCCTTTGGGCAACTGAGTTATTCTAACCTCTCAAATCTGGAGGACCTAGTAGCATGTGAAGCCGGACCCCGCGCAATTCATTCCTCAGGACCGAGCAGCTCAACGCCAGCTTCGCGCGACACGTGCAGGCTTTGCTGGTGAAGCGCTGGCACAATGCCCGGCGGGACCGCAAGGCGAGGCCTTCTTTTGCTTGACATGGGCACCTGGACCCTCAAACATATGCTAGCCATATGAAACATGGGTTGGTGCAAACATGGGGCTTCCTGAAGTGTGAACCCTCAAACATGCAAAAAACAAAAAAAACAATACGCGAAGTCACTCCTTTTTTTTCGCAATAACACATGTTTGAGGTTGCGTGAGCGCTTCCCTGGTTTGCCTTCTGCTTCAAAGCGAAGCATGACCCTCTAGTCCAAATGCAATCCTTTTCGGTAAGTATATTTCGAGCAGCCGGATGTTTCAAGCTGCAATATCTATGCAATATGTTCTTTTCCTCAGAGGTTGCGTCATACCCTGCAAGGTGGGTTATTTGGTGAGGGGCATATAGCTCTGTTGCCGAGTGGCGCCTTTTCCCCTTTTTTTTTTGCGGGAGGGTTCCCCTTTAAACTCAGCTAACCAAGAAAGGATATCCTTTTTTCCCATAGCCACTGGGCATCCGAGATCGGGGCATTGCCCCCCCACGGTCTTGCTGTCTTTTTCTTTGCTTGCATTTTGCTCGGATGTTAGGACTTTAACTTTTTGCCAACTGATGTTTTGTTTTCCATTAAACCACAAAAAGTTAAACTTGTAGCAGGGGAGCAGAAAGCAAACGAGTTTTGGTCGAGGCCTGGTGCTGCCAGATCATTTTGCCGCTCATCTTCCTGCTGGCCGCGTTGTTCGCCATGACCTTCGCGGGCATCGGAAATTACGAGGCAAGGGAGCCCCATGAAATAGTGGGATTGCCTTTTGGTCCCCCTTTAAACCAAAAAACAAAACAGGTACCTGGAGTCTCCTTCTTACCCTTAAAAAATGAGTCATACCACAAAAAACTGGTAACCCTTAATTTTGAGTACTGACTCCATGTTTGAAGGGTCAGACGGAGACTCCAAGTACTCTTCAAAAAAGATGAGCCGCGAGAGTCTCATTTTGGAGTAAAGAGAGGGGTCTTCCTGGTTGCAGGTTTGACCTTGAAGCCCAGACCTCCAGCTCCTCCGACTTTCTGAGTTGGAAATTCGCTTGGCCCAAAAAAAAAGGAAGTCATGGACCCGTGTTTCAAGGCTCAGAAATTCGGAGATTTGAGGTCGTCTCGTTTCGTTTTTTACGTCCGACGTCTCGTCTTCAGCAGGGCTCCTTGAAAGATACATTTTGCCCATTTAAGACATGGCTGTTTCCGGCAAAATAAAGGGAAACCCACCATTTACAAGTTGCAATGTTCAGATGTATAATGAAATGATACCTGTTCAGGCGGCGGCTTTGAGCCCGGAGCAGTTGCCGGGGCCGCAGCAGCTGCTGGCGGCGCTTGGGCCGAAGGCCGAGGAGGCGGCAGCGAAGGAGCTGCTGGCGAATGGGCGGCTGCCGGTTGAGGCGCGGGACTGCACGGCCGAAGGAGAGTCGCCCAGACGGACTCACTGCCTGAGGTCCGGTTCGGACTTCAGACTATTTTGAATTTGGTTGCCATTTTAGGAGTACCTGGAGTCTGCATGACCCTTTAGAAATGGGTCCATACCCATTTCTTTGTTTTGGGTAATGACCAACCATTTTTGATTCGCGTCAGATCCGGAGAGTCCAGGTAATCAAAAAGTTTCGACTTGTTGCGCGCAATCTGGGGAAGTGAGCTGACCCTTCAAACAAGGTCAGTGCCCAAAAACAAAACTGGGCCGGGGGCATGGGCCCCATTGATCGAAAGGGTCAGAAGGAGACTCCAGGTGCGAAATGTTCAAGCAGTGGGTAGTTGGTAGTTGTTGTTTGCTTGTTAAGGGGGGGTGGGGTTGGGCTTGACGAGAAACCCAAAGGAAGTGGCCATTTTGTGGGGTCCCCTGAAAGAACGGCACACCCAGCTGACTTGACTCGTGGTTAATATCTCCCAAGTGGAAATTAACCTTTAAACAAGCTTAAACAAGGGGCCGGCGGAGGTGGATGGGAGCATGTGTTCGGCAGAATGATGTATGTAGCAGGGACCTTACAGATGAGCCACAATCAAATCCCGGGTGGATGAAGGGTAGCAAGGGGCAGTCCCAGCCAGAAATAAATAGGTTAGGCCGCCTGTGAATTTCCTTGCATGAGTTTGGGTAGACCATGTTAATACCGAGTTTTGATTGTGACTCAGCTCATGGTGAAATGAACCTGATCAGGGGGTTAGTACGCCTTTGATAGGGGGGAGGGGGGGTGATAGGGTCCCTGAGCTTCAGGGGTGGATCAGGATTTCGTTCGTCTCATTGAAGGCTGAATTCAAAAGGGCCTAGTGTGTCCCATTTTGGAATTTTGGATCCTTCTTGGGGGGAAGGAGAGGTTGATTAGTCCGGGGTCAACATTCTCAGGATTCCTATGCCATTTAGTTGTGCGTTCTTTCAAGGGACCTTGTCTTTCAAATTCTTGGATTCCTCGATTTCAAATGTCCCCCTCCAGGTGAGGACCACTAATCACTGAGTTCGGCACAGGGAGCCAAGTCCTTTTTACTAGCCCCTGCAGGTCCTTGAGGGCCGTCCCTCAGCTCCACTATCATGCTACCTCCAACTACCCACATCTTCCTTGCAACATTATCTCACTTCCTGAGTTTTGTGGACTTTAAGCTTTTTGGGTTGAGCCAGTTTTGTGGCAGACAGCAAGTTCGGACTTTTTTTGGCCTCCACTCAGGAAGTGAGTTGAAGAGCGAACAGGCCGGCCAATACCTGCTGCTTAGTCAGGGGCTGACATCACACTCGTACAAAAACCTGTAGTATTTGGAGTCTGTATACTCCCGTGGCTTTTGGCAGGGATATGTTCTTGGGCAACTATATTTTGTGAAACCAGGTTTGGGTTGGACACTCCAATTTAGTCTTCGAGTGGCGTATTTGGAGTAGGGGGAAGATTTATGTTGGCAGGTGTGGCTTTTGGCAGTCAACGTAGGGGGAATTCCGTTCTCTTAGCTGGCAGCGCCCAAAAGGAATAGAATAGTAGGTGGTTCCACCTGGTCAAATTGGAGTTCGAGCATCGCCAATATAAGCCTTTATAACCATATTTCTACCTGGAGTCTCCATGACCCTTAAAAATGGGGTCATAACCCCCTTAATTTTGGGCAATGACCAACCATTTTTGAAGGGTCAGAAGGAAACTCCAGGTAGAATCAAATGAGGTGACGAAGGGCCAGATGAACGCCACGGATTTCAGCGACTACTTGGAGCAGGGCTACTATCGCACTGATGGGGTGCAGAGATGGGGGGCCATGAGGCTGGTTTCGGTCCCGGAGACTTGGCGACATCGGTTTTGGCCCACAGGTTCGACACAATGGAGATATATGTATGTTGCGTATTATATATATATATATATACAGATATATATATATATATATAACATACCAGGTACCTGAAAAGGCTGCCTTTTCCGGGTGGTTCAGACAACGTGTGTTGTCCGAGTTCGGCCGTTATTTATTATATGGTCGTCGTGCTAAAACCCATGTATTCGGCTTAGTATTCCGAATTTCCAGCCTTACATGGGATGAGCTTCCCACTGTGTGAGTGGAAGCGACGCGGAAGGGCGGCGAAAGAGATGCGGAAGGGCCAGTAACCGAAAACATTGATCGGAAATCATTGATAACTTCTGTGTAGATTTACAATGGGCGCGGGTTTGCGCAGAAGGTTTGCGGAAGGGCGGCGGAAGGGCAGTTTTCAGGAGAAGTAATTTTTCACAACCCCCATATATGTGGGTACCTGGACCCTCAAAACCCATGAAAACACAAGAATCCACCACCCATTATTTTGGGTTCGAAGAACCAATCTTTAAGCTGGAATTTTGAGAGTCCAGGTACATTGCAATAGAACAGATAGGACCGCCAAAGGATACGGCGGCTTGCTTTGGGAAGGCGCTTGGGAACTTGCATTGTGTAACTTGAAATCTGCACACACACACACACACACACACACAGGTGCTCAGGGGGTGGCTTCAGGGTGGCTTCAGGGTGGCTTCAGGGTGGCTTCAGGGTGGCTTCAGGGTGGCTTCAGGGTGGTCGTTTCACCTTGTATTGCTTGAGCATTACTTGGGTGCCACTCAAGAACTGGCCTCTAGGAGTCTCTACCGGCACTGGAGCCCCCGTGTAGCTGCGCCTGAGAAATTCAGAAGTTGAAATGATGTTCCCAAAATGTCGCGCGAAGCAAGGTCTGAATGGGATGCTTAGGGCTAGTTGATAAGTTCCCATTCGTCCTATCCACAGAATGGGGATTTAAGTGATTCCAGTAACACCAGCATGCTTATGGCTTTTTGTTTTCCCGCCCCTTTTTTTCCCAAGGACTGGTCGAAGAACGGCTCCACCACGGCCCGGCGGCCGAGACGCGCTGGTCAGGGAGTCAGGGCTCAAGGAATCGAAGACGAAGCCTTCAAAGGGTTTGCTTGAGCACACAAATCAGAAATGAATGTTCCTGAACTGTCAGACCCAACAAACCGTTTGGAATTCACATTTTTTTCACAACTTCGGGTCAAGCAACTTGCCCCATTTTTCCGGAAGGGAGTGTCTTTCAAGTCTTCTTTCATCTTGCCAACAGGCGTTTTGCCTCTGCCTGGAGTCTCCATATGACCCGAATCAAAAATGGTTGGTCAATGACCCAAAATGAAGGGGTCAAGGGGTCATGACCAACCTTTTTAAAGGGTCAGAAGGAGACTCCAGGTGATTGTTTAAGAAACTCCCGGGATCTTCGAGTTTTTCCATCTAAGCAATTTGCGCCATTTTAAGGACGGGAGTTACTTTCAGGTTTCTTGTTTTTCTTCTTTTTCTTACTCCGTGGTTCTGTGGCACCCCTTTTTCCTTTTTTTTGGTGGCTGCCCCACTAAGAATGATCTTCCCCAAAAAGGGCTCCTTTTTTTCCAGGGTCACTGAACAACCGAGTTTTGCTGGTGCCATAGGCAGGGAATGAGGGAATGAACCCAGGGGTGGCCTTAAAGGACACCACAAGGGATGTTTCCAGGAGTTTAGGAACTGCAAGGATTTGTTTGCCAAGCCTTGCGCGGCGAGCACCAGGCACCAGGGATCCGACTTGCCCCAAATTGGCTAACACCCCCCTACATCCCCGCTTCCCCCGCTTTGCCCCGCGAATTCGCTGGCCCAAGTTGGGGAAAAATGGAATTGGGGGAGGGGGGATTTCGACCCCTGGAGATCTCTATTTATGGTAACCCCAATTTTCCCTTTTATGGGGAAGACTAGATAAATTGAAGTGGGGACCCCCACCCCCCTTCCCCTTAAGGTAGGGGGGATCACCCCAAAACATCCAGAGCCACCTACTGTGGATGGTTGCGAAATCCATTTCGCACCTAAGAAACCATGGACTGAGTCGATTCCCATGTACATTCCAAGAAAGAATCATTTCATTATGGTTTCCAAGAGGTGCGAGAAGCGGATTTTGCAACCATCCACAGCATTGGGGTTTTTCCATCTCTTCCGCCTTGGGCTTCTGCGCCGAGGTGGGGAACTTCCAGGTGGCCTCCTGGCGGCACCCAGGCCAGGTGCTGTCGCCCACCGCCTTCACGGTGCCGGTGGGCACCCTCTGGGGCGAGCAGGCGGGCGGGGGGGAGCTGCTTGTCTTGACCGCTGGGTTGGATCTTTAGACTTTAGCGATTTCTGGTTGAATTCAAGTTGGGTTGTCCTTTAAACCCCCAAAAAGGTCAGCAGCAACCAAGGTTGGGAGAGTGCAGGGAGACCTGGGGACCCGAAAGCAAGAAGTTCCAGTTGAGAAGTACAATGTGGCCATGGTTCAAAGCCGTTTTGGGATCCCATTTTGGGGTTTTCGGTGCACCACCCATTTTAGAACCTATTTTAGTGGGGATGGCGATGTTCACTCGGGGCACCGGGTTTTGACCCATGGCCATATATTGCAGCCCAAAATGACGGAATTGGTGAGGTCCGACCTTTTTTTTATTGGTACCGAGAGTCCATGACCCTTAAAAAATGGGGTCATTCCCAAAATAAAGGGCTCATGTTCCTATTTTGGAAGGGTCAGAGGGAGACTCCAGGTAGCTCTTTCGGGTCCAGGATGCGGCAAGGCGGCTTAAGCGGAGGGGTCTTGGTCGTACGAGGGAACCGGGGCAGGTAATCCAAAGCCCTACCTTGGCTTGGTGTTCCGGTGTTCCCGGCCATGCGGTTCCTTAGGTTTTACTTGTTTTTTGGTTGGTGTTGGTTGCTTTTAGTTGGTTTTGGTTGGTTTTAGTTGGTTTTAGTTGTTCTAAGTTGTTTTAGTTGTTTTTAGTTGTTTTTAGTTGGTTTTAGTTGGTTTTGGTTGGTTTTGGTTGGTTTTGGTTGGTTTTAGTTGTTTAGGGTTGATTTAGTGGTAGTTTCCATTGGAACCCACAAGCTTTTTTCAGCCCTGGGGTTCAACCCCCATCAAGAAAATGGCAGGGACCCAATTTGGAGGACACTCCTGAACGGTAAATGGTGGTGAGGTATGAGCCCAACCATTGTTTTAATGGTGGCCTGCCTGAAACCCATGGCCACTCCTCAGGGCCCAGACAAGCCTTTCGCCGCCACTCAAGGTCTGGTTTGAGAAGGGTGTGGGGTCCTGTCCCGACAGCCCCCAAAAAGTGCCAAACCATGGCTTGGGTTGGAAAACAGGTCCTTGGGTCCTTGAGAAGGACTACCTGGAGTCGCCATGTCCCTTAAGAAATGGCGTCACTACCCAACTTAAGGGGTCACCCCATGTTTAAAGGGTCGTGGAGACTCCCGGTATGGATTTCAGAAGCCGGCGGATTTTGGAGGGACCCCAAGAAAACGACGCAAGGAGCATCTTTCACGGGACCCCAGGGCCTACCCAAAAGGACCTTGCGAAAGGTTCCTTCAAATTTGGTTCGAACTCGATCAGCAAACCTTTCGAAACTCGGTGTATTTCTTTCTTTTTGCCCTCCGGGCGCCAGGACCTTGGACGTGTCCTAACGACCTGAACCCTCAAACTATCAACCCAGTGGATCCCTTCCACTCGCTGGTTTTCCGCAGGTAACCAAGACCTTGCTTTCATTGGGTTCAGAGTTGTTTGTCTTCTTTTTTATGTTCCCCTATTGCTTTCAAAGGGAATCTATCACTTCTGGAAGCATGTTTATTCTTTCCAGGGGACTTAAGCAAATGGAGGCTTGCCGCCCATGAAAAACCAAGCATTGTCGGTGACCTTTGAAGAGGGCGTGCCTGAGATCCACTGGGAAAGGGGATCTACCTCATCCCACAGTTGTGGCTTGCAATTGGTTCATATTTTAAGTTGGAATTTTCTTCTGGGGTCCAGGTACCCCCCTTGAAGATCATCATGGTTGAAGGAACCTCCTTTTGTGATCCCCCATGTTGAATCCATGCTAGGGGAGTAAGGGACCTTTCCAGTGCATATAGAGATACCTGGGCCCAACTTAAACATGGGAAAATTATGGGGCCCAAATCCAAAACCTGGAAAGATCCAAAATTATGGTTTCCAGAAAACCTAGAACCAGATTAAAGTTATTTCCTGGTTTTAGTTCCAAAATTATGGTTTCCAGAGCCCCAAGTTTTCAGTCGGAAAGAGCCCCACCCGGCCCTTCCGCTGTTTGTCTCAAAGCCAGAGAGCCCATACCGTGAGAATTCCTCCCCATACCGCGAGGCTCGCGCCATCTAAGAAACCATCCTGGCTCTTCCATGGAAATTTGACGTAAAATCCGGAGACTCTGAAATTTGACCTTAAATCCAAAACCTGGAAATCACCCGGAGAACGAAACAACAGAGAAATAACCCGAAGAAGGAGGACCCAGGATGGTTGAAGCCTGGGTTGGAATTCACATCTGGGAGTCGTATCATTCCCTTGGGTGTCTCTGGGATTGGTTTGGAATTTGAAGCCTCAGAGTACCTAAACCCTCAAACCGCCAAAGAGAAGTGGACATTTCTCCCATTCCATTTTGGGTTGCGGTCACCCATTTTTTCCTTATCCAGGCACAGCCTCCAAGCCGCCAGGCTCCAAATGGCTGGTCAAAGCCGTTTTGGGATCCCATTTTGGTAGGTAGGTGCACCCATTTTCGGCTTCCGTTTTTGAATGTGGCTGGCTTGAATCGGAGCTTCACACAAGGATTTCGACCCATGCCTAGCCCGCGGCAGGCCTCGGTGGGCGGCGCCCCGGTGCCCTTGGGGGACCTGACGCTTGGTAGATGTGTTTTTTTTACCTCCCGAAAGAACTAGCTTCAGATTCAATCTGAAAAAAATGAAATGGTACAAATTGCATCAAGAAGTTGGAATTCACTAAGTTTCAACATCAAAAATTTGGAATTCACCACATGATCACCCCTAAAAATGGTGGGGTAATAACTATTTTATAGGTAAATTGTGAGGGTTTAGGCAGATCCATCAAAAAGTTGGATTTCCAAAACCATACTTGTGGGCTGCAATAACTTGAATTTTGGAGTTTTGAGGGTCCGGGTCGCTTTTGTGCAGGATTGGGAGAGATGGGCTGAACTTTCAATATGCACTATCTGAATCTACGGAAATCAAACCGGAGAGGGTTCATCAACCCCATGTTTTTTTGCATAGTGGGGGGTGTTCCCTTCCCAAAGTGGTCTGATTCCCAAATTTCACCCAGGGAAAAGCCTATGAATCAACTGGGGTTGATTGATAAAAGCCCTGGGGAACACTTGGCCAAGATACCCATTAGGTGTTGCTCACCAAAGTCCCCATGTCACTTAGAGACAATGAGTAGCGCGAATTTAAATTATGCTTGGCAGTGCCCCAGCCTTGATCTGAGGAGAGCGGGATTGATCCCGCACCAAAACAGGAAGGGGGAGCAAGTCGCTGAGGTCCCTACATGGCGTCTTTGGGTGTCGAATCGCAGAGAGCTTTTGGTTTCGGAAATGGCTGTTCCATTTTTTTTTGCCCAGCCTTCTCGAAGAAAGCGTTTGTTTCCTAGTGGTAAAAAACCCGGGATTCAATGGGAGGGCGATGAGTATGGGGACATATCAAAAGCACCGTTGGCAAAGAACCCGTCTACGGGGCTGAGGTCCCGCCGGTGAATTTCCGGCGTCAATTTGGATCGTGTCGCCTTGCCATATTCTGAATTGGTGCCGACTACCGCCAAACCCCTACCCCCAGGCGTTTAATAGGGATATGCAACCGCTATAATACAGTCAGTGTGCAAATTGTATATACCCTGCTTGTCTCTGGTGTAGTGATTTGGGGGTAGTGGAAACAGTTTGGAAAGATGTTTGACTGCCGCCAAGTGGCTGAATACACTTTTTGCCCCTTGAGCATCGTTCTTCGCGGGCGCTATGACTGCCATGTCTGGCGCATTTGCGGAGATGGGCTATGGCAAGCAGATTGAAGTCGAAGCGGCTTCAAGTCTCAACACTGCCGCTCAGTTCAAAGGCACTCTTTTTGTTGCGCCTACTTCACGTAGCGGACCAGGTTTCTGGAGGTGTTTCGCCTCCTTTTCTAGTCCGGGTTGACATCATAGCCTGTCCCTTGAGGTGATGACAAACCCAGTCCTGGCTTTGTTTGGACACGCGGTTGCGCGGAAAGCCGCAAGCGACCAGGGTCTCGTCGAGCGTACCAAGCAGGAGGGCAAGCGCTGGCTCACGCAACAGTCTCGTGAGACACGCCGCGTTGCGGAAGATCATCGGAAGGAGTTGCAATACGGATGGATCAAGTGCCTGGACTGTCACGAAGCGAATCGACCTTTTGATCATTCACACACTTTGCCCACCTGTTTCACTTTGTTCAGTCTCTTTTTTTGGGGGGGGGGCTCACATCTCTACAGGCCAGCCCTCCAGAGTCTCCAACCTTGTTTGGCGTGTTTGGCCTCAATGCGGCCTGTCAAACATCATTTGCTAGGTCCGTAAGTCACGCAATGTATTGTTGAGGGTGTGACCCCTGCCTGCAAGGCCCCCCTCCCCCCCGGCTTTGCTGCTTGGCCTTGGTTGGCCTTGGCATTTAAGCCCGCATTGCTTTGTCAGCCCTTTATGCTGGGTAGGGGGAGCCTGCGCTGTCAAGGTACCGGGTCGTCCAGAAGGAAGAGATCATGCCCGTGCTCAGGAGACAGCGCATTCCGGAGGCTGCACTGCGCCAATTCCAGCCTTTGGAGAGCCAGAAGCTGGTGCATGCTGTTGTGAGCAATCTTTGGGACGAGAACTTTGTGGTAACCTGCTACTTTGTGAGCCAGCAGTCGGGAAGCTTGAAGGAGCTGTGGCAATCCAACGTGCTGGATTTTTTGGAGGCGGACGAGCCCTCCATCCTGCAAGACGCCATGGAGAATCCAGCATTTACCAGAGCGCTACAAGAAGAGTTTGAATCTGGGGACATCAGCCCTGAAAGCACCCGAAATTGGCATACAGTGTCCAAGTTCAAGTCGCCATTGAATGTGCTACTCCTTTGTTGCTCGCGGAACTTTCACGCTTGCGTGAAACTTCTCCTGGAGTCGTTTTCCATGCAGTCGGCCCCCAAGCCTTGGCTGACGCTGGCTGAGCCAGAGCTCTGGGCAGACAAGCAGCTTGCTTAACTCCAAGCTTCTTTGTTGAGGAGACCCTAAACGGGCTCTGGGCGGAAAACAGCGGGTTTCAGCTTGCATTATGCAGCATCCTAGAAGCCATTTGCTTTTACCCATTTAGGGTTATCGAAGCTACTCAGGTGGAGAAACACTGCATTTCATGTTGCAGCGTATGAAGGGCACACTGAGTGCTTATTGCATTTGGTGGAGCACGCTCGCCGTTATGGCCTTGATCTCTCAACTTATTTGGACAAAGATCGCAAGACACCCCTGGATATTGCTTCGTCCAGGGGCAACTTCCACTGCTACAACCTGCTTGCTCCTTTGTTCGGTGCGGATCCTGTGCAAGTTCAGGCGGCATCAGCTGATGCGGCAGAGGAGCACGCAGTTCTCATTGTGGACTTCTCCCAGTCTGCGACTGAGTTCGGGTCAGACACCAAGATGAACGCCCAGGTGACCGCTGCTCAACTGCGCCATTGACTGAACCAGCCTATTTGCCGGAGATCTTGGACTTCTTTCATTTTGATTCAATTTTGACTGTTAGCCGCGAAGAGCCGTAGAATGACACGGCAAGAATCATTGATTTCGTAGCAAAGATGTCAAGTGTAGAATCCCGCAGCAGTTGTTTCTGCTGGGGTTTGGCCAAGGCACGTAGCATTGGCGCCGGGCAGCTGCATCTTGGCTTCTGGCCTTTCGGAACTTCCGGCCGGGGCCGAAGTGGTTCGCGTGGAGCGGGCGGGCGGATCTCTCTGGGACATCTCCCGCGGGCCGGTCGCCTTGCGCCAGCTGCTGAAAGATGCAGACTCGGAGCTTTTGGTGAGTGGCGCGCTGCGAGTCAGGAGGGTTGGTTGTAGGATGCGTTTGAACAACAAGCCTTTGGCCCCCTTGAACTGAAACAAACAGAATATGGTTTCATAGTGACTTTAGCAGTTTAAACATGTTCGAAATGCGAACGCTGCAGGAAGTTCCTTCCCAAGCAAGGCTCCGTTGTGGGCTTGGTGGCCGAAGTGGGCAGTGTGCTTGATGGCCTTCCGCCGGATGCCAGAGCCTTCGAGCTGCAGCTTTTGAACTACAGCTTCACCGAAGACTGCGGCCTGGACGCGCCATGGCTCGACTTCTTCAGCAGACTGCGAAGTTGCCACACAATCAGCTTCCGCCACTGCACGTGCAGCCATCCGGCTGCTTTGCTTCAGGTGTACCGAGCCGTCCGCAGTTGCCTGGAGAGTTTGGCGCCGTCGTGGGTGCGCCTGTTCGTCATTCCTGCCAACACCGGCTGCGTAGAAGAGCTGCCCGAACTCAGGCTGGAATTACCGCTGCTCATCGACGCCCTGCGCAGAAGCTCCGTCGCGCACTTCTCCAGATCTGGGGCTCGAACGTGTTCTACCCCAGTGGCGCCTATACCTAAAGAGGCCCGTTTCTTGGCCGGCGTGTTGGTGACCTGCCTAGACTGCAAGCGAGTTGCAGGAAGCATAGTGAGGCAGCGGCAAGAGCAAAAGGCGGGAGCTCGGAGTGACGGTGTGCCGGCCATGTTCTTGCACGGAGTCCTCTACATTTGGCGCTTCTTTCTGAGCACGCAGAAGCTGCTGACCCCCGGTGAAGTTGAGGATGGCTTGGATCCAGCAGCTGCAGATTACGTGGAAGGCTGGCTGCGGAACATGGCGCCCTGCTGGGAGGGGAGCTGGCGACGGAGGCTCAACTTGACAGATGAGGATCACGAGGCCTACGGGCGATGGAATGTGTTGGCCGCAGAGCCTGCATTAGGCTCATAGATCACTAGGTCAGCAAACCAACCAAAGCAAAACAAGATTTCGCATCAATTGTCTTAATTTAAAAACCCATGACAAGCCCTCGCGTGCAAAGTTCAGATCCCGCTCTCCTCAAAAAAAACGTGTAGGTGCTCTTCTCAAGGGAAAAATCAGGGGCGCGTAGCCGGCAAGTAAAGCTCAACTGTCGCATTCCTGCAGATCCTTGAGTTTCATAGACGGGCCCATTTGACGCACGACACTTGGGTAAGTAGGTTGCAAGCATGGTTATACTGGGAGAACTGGGGTGATCGTCCCCTGAAAACCGTGGTGCAGTAACCTCCTTATCTTGAAAACTGTTGGGTTGGATCTTTAGACTTTAACTTTTGGGGAATTAGAGGTGTTTTCCACTAAACCCCCAAAAAGTTAAACTGTTTGCAGGGGGTCAACAGCAACCAAGTTACTAGGTTGGTTGACCACCCAAGCAGGAGATGATGAGGCAGCTGGACTTTGCGCTGTGGACCCTGCTGCGGATGCATCGATTGTTGCCCCAAGTTCCGCGCTTGGTGCTCGAGGCGGTGCCAGAAGATGTGAGGAAGAATCTCCACCGGAGCCGCGTTTATGCTGAGAGCAAGGAGTGGATGTAGCTGGGTGTGGGTTAATATTAAACCACCAGGGGGCCGCAGATTTTAGCCATGTTTCCATTTACCAGGGTTCCATTTTGGGTACCTGTTTTTGACCCACACCCAGCTCAATGCCTAAGGCTTGTAATTGCCATACACTGGGGGCATGCGCAAGTCAGTCAGTGACATGTTCCATGTTGTTCACAGCGAGTTGTCCCTGTCCCCCGTTGATTGAGACATTTTGGGACCTGGTCATGAATGGGACACACCTGCCTCATTGCTTTCTAATAATCACGGAAGTGAACAGGGACTTCTGGAAAATGAAGGTACCATGATTGGATTAGAGGGAAACCCTGCTATCTTCAGCTGAAGCTTCGGCTTTGGGGTTGCTTTGACACAGTCCTGCACGCATCCTGCCGATTGCCGCTGCGATGATGCAGGGCTGTTACAAGAGTGATCGTGACAATGCCATGTTTTCCCCCTTGATCCCAGACCCCCAGTGGTTGCTTCCTTGTTTCATGTTTTACTTTCGAGGAGTTTCCCTTAAAAGCCAACTACCGAAGAAAGAGGTCGCCCTCCTTCTTGCCATGGCCACAGGGAGTTTGGGTGAGGGGTCCGTATGTCCAACCGGTAGAGTCAATGAAGGGACTGCCCTTGTCTCACTTCCCGAGTTCCTCGACTTTCGTCGCCACTTTCGTAGTGAATAAGCCCACATGGTTTCGCCAACAGCCTGGACCGGAACCCTCCGCCCTCTGAAAGCTGCCCAAAAAAACCACCCTGTCGAGCCTGGGCATAGACCCCATAGCTTTCAGGGGTTGGGAAATGAACAGTTTGGACTCCGCTCAGGAATCGAGATGTTGGTAGCGCAACTCTCGACGGAAGGTTTTGAGAGATTTTGCGCCCAACGTCTGGCGTGCAGAAATCTGGCAGTGACGCCTTTGATTGGATGCTGTCGGTGGACACTTGAAAACCGGCGAGAGGCAGTCCATTGCCAGCGCTGCAAGCATTCCGTTTCGACCGCATTGGTTTGTCTTGTTTGAGGACCTCAGGTACCTGTTTTGCTGTTTTGGTGTATGACACATGTCCAAGCTGATATGGTGGAGCGCCTGAAGTGTGTGTGTGTGTGCTAAGGAACAATCGGGTGCAGGTGGACCTCTTTTGGAACTCCTCCGCCCGCGATGCGCTGCCCATGTTGCCTCGCCAGACATATAGCTGACCTTTTTGAATGCTGTTTGCTCTTTGGGGTTTCCCAGCCGTGAAAAGCAGCAAACTACGTCCACTTCTGATATGACCAAACTACCAGGCAGGATCGCAAAGCGTGCTAAGCAGTCCACACTTGCGAAGTGTTTTTCTCCCAAAGAGGCGCCGGCTCAGAGCCAAATGCGCGTTTGTTTTGTTTGATTTATTTCTTTTTATTTTTTTTCTGGAGGTTTTGCTTTCCCCCAACCAACCAATTCCATGTGTTTGTGTTTTATTTGTGTGTTTTCTTTCTTGTCCTCCGGGGTTTTGCTGCCCCCCCCCTTCAGCGTCCCAGAAAACTGCGAATCTCTCGCTTCGGACGCCCAGGTTCTACCAGCAGCTGCACGAGGCCACCCTGCGCACCGCGCTGGGAGCTGCCAAGCTCCAGGCCGAAAGCCTGGGCTTCACCTCCCCTCCCCTTCCATTTGCTTCGGCGCGCGGGCTTGTTTTTTTTTTCACTGGCTGGAATGAATATGTTGCTTCTTTCCCCGGTTGGTTTTTCAGGGAAATCGATTTCACTACTGGAAATATGTGATTTCTTTCAGGGGACTTAAGCAAATGTATGTATAAGTAGGATGCACCAGGGTTGCGGTTGATCACCCGGGGTTTATCCAAATACAAGGGACTCCCCTCTTATGGGTGGCTAGTCTTTGGGAGGCGCTTTGTGTATCACACAAGTGGTCATTGCCCAGAGCCCTGGGTTGGTCGGCAAGCAAAAATGGCCATGGTGTCCTACTTACCTGACTTTGGTTGAACATCCAAGCTCCCCCTTGTTTTCTCCAAACAGGACCCAAATTTGGGCCCTAGGCCCGAATGAAGTGTTTTTAGTCGGAAGCTGGGGGGGGGGGGGGGTGGGGCAGGGCTCATCCACTGAAGGGAACCTACCCCTAAAGACCTTCCATCCGTCAACCTGGACCCAAAAGCGATAAAAGAACTGGAATTCACCAACCACAATGTTGGGTTGCAGTAGCATTTGTTTAAGGGAGTTTTTTTGGTCCAAGAATGCTTTTTATTTGCCCTACTTGGCCTGAACGACGCAACTGTTAACCTGAGGATGTGGGGATGAACCCATATACATTTGATCATAGCGTGCCAACAACATCTATAGTTATTACTCCCTTGAGAACATATCGCTGCGACATAGGCCAAAAGGGTACGAGTTTTTTTTAGGGGACCCCACAAATCCTGGGTGTCCTTTTGGTGTCCCTTTAAACCCGCTCCAAAAGGGGTACCATGAAAGAAAGACACAGCCATATGTGTTAATTTCTGCAAAGACGCTTATAAACCAAAACCTTGTTCCCCATGGCCACTGGTGGGGGGGGGTCTAGGATGTATTTCTTCAGGTGATTGAAAATTGACACATCCCCCTTATGGTTGTGTTTATGTTTGTCGTTGTTCACTTCCATTCGTTCAACACACAAAACAGCTCGCCTCCTTCAACGCGGGCATGGTCACAAAAAGAGCATCGAGATACCAAAGATCTGAAGCAAGATGCTGAAGATGTCACAGAAGAGCCTGGCACTTCTTGACAGGCTTTCCCAAGTTTTAAGATGAGCCAACGACTTCTCCATTTTTTGGTTTGCGTCGTCCATCCAGTGCTACCTTCCCCATTCTTTCCAGGGATCCTTCTTTCTAGGAAACCTCCAAAAACCCAGGCTAACGGATCCGGTGCTCGAAAAGAACGATGGTCGGAAAGAATGGACAAGGAATCAACCCCTAGAAGTGTGTTTCCCTACCTGCCACTCCAAAATCCTACCAAAAAAAAACAGGTTCCGAAACACAACCTGGTTTTAGCAGAGGATAAATTCGGGTTTCAAGAGGAATCACCCCCTAGGAATCCATCCTTTTTCGGGCCACACGACGGAGAGGGCTTGACTGAGCGGGCGAGCCGTAGCTGGAGACCCTCTCAGTCTCCGCGTGCTGCGCAAACGCCGCCAGCGATGATCCAACCCCAAAGTGGATGCCTGGACCATCTTGACAAGTTCCTCTTTCTAGGCGAGTGAGGCTGTTTTGCTCATGGTTTATAGTGGTGTTGTGGCCGCCCTCAAAGATTCCCGCCGAACCATCAGTTATTGCAACCCGAAGTTCTGGAATGGGTGAATTCCAATTGTTGTTTTCCTAAATATATATATATATATATATATATACACACATATATATATATATTATGTATATATATATATATGGGCTTCTTTTGTGTCCAGGTCGTCAAAAGTGAGCGGTTGCAGCAGGGGTTAATTCGGGGTTTCCGGTTTTCCGGCGATCCAGGACTCGCGGATCCTGATGAGCAACCAGCCCTTCCCGCTCACCAGCTCTCAGAAGGACCGGTGAGATCTACACGTCATTAAGTGAGCCACGGCATTCCCAAAGCCCGGCGTCAGTCATTGCCTATGGCACCAGCAAGCCATGGGTTGAGACACATGTGAGTCACAATCAAAACCCGGGGATTGATGAAGGCTTCCGATTCCTGGTTTAGATGGGGTTTATTTATTCCATTTACCAGGGAAACCCATCTATTTTTCCAAAAGGCCACCTAAGTCTGGGACACACGTCCTCAAAACCGAAACTCGGGGATTGAAGGTTAAGGGGCAGTCCCCTTGCCCGAAATAGTTGCGGAGATCCGCCTTCTTCATTCTTCACATGGGTTTTGGGGTAGGTCCCCCAGCTAGGTGCCCTTTGACTAGGAGGGCTCCCCTACTAAAATAGACTATATACAGAAAAAGGGGTACCCTTATTCGAACCTCTTCACTGATGTTAAGCACATTATCAAGAGTGTTGGTTGTCCAAGGCAAGACTTCGTTGGATCGGCAAACGTTCGCAATACCTTCTGAATTGGAGCTTTTGACCTGAAGTTTTTCCAGCTCCTTCAAAGCTGCAGTTTGGCCGAATCTTTTCCACCAGGCCAAAAGGAAAGCACCCATCCCTGAAAAGGATTGCTTGGGGGAGGGAGGTTTAGCTAAATGGAATTGATAGTTGGGTCCCGGACCTCCCACCCCGCTCCCCCTTAAGGTAGGGGGGCGTAAGCAAGAACTCTTTCTTTCGGAGAATGTGTGTATGTGTGTTCGTTTTCCGCGAACCAGCACAAGTGACACATGTTCGCACAGACAAAACAAACTTTGATTTGATGCCCGTTTTTAAGTTTGGGTTTTGAGTCCACTTTCTGTATGGTAGTTCCAGTCCTGTCCTCCCCCCGCGCCTTTATATTTTTTCCTCACCGGCCCAGGTAACTTGGACCCCACGGGTTCCAAGCACCGGGCCTTCGCCTGGCACTTTTATCCTCCTGGAAGAAGGCAAAAACTCACCCGGAAAGGGTGCGAATTCTTGAGGGAGTTCCGGCAAGCTGTTTTTTGTTGCCCCTGGAGGTTCACCTTTCCTTCTTCCGTGCAAATGATCCAATATGAACCCCCAGACACATCCCATAAACATAACCACACGATGTTTTTTGGGTTGTTTTTGTTTGGGTCTCGATAACCAACAAGGGTTGTTGCCATGTCACCCCCGTTTCCACTCGCGGTCTAGCGCCGGTTTCGCGCGTCGGTGTAGGACCTCACCAACACCCAGACCTCGCTGAACCTCGCGCTGGGCTTCGCCTTCATCCCCGCCTCGGTGGGCGCCTTTGTGGTCCTGGAGCGCGAGACGGGGTCCAAGCACCTTCAGGCGCTGACGGGCGCTTGAGTTAGCAAGTGCCGGGAGTCTCAAAAGAAGTACCTGCAACCTTTATGACCCTGTAAAAATGGGTCCACGACCCTTCTATTTTGGGTGATGACCCACCATTTTTAAAAGGGTCATGGAGACTCCAGGTACCCCAAAGGAAGATGGGGAATGCAAAGATTCCAGAAGTTTGGGGTGCAAGAATTCACCATGTTTAAGCTGGAAGTATGGGAAGAGTCCCCTAAGTCTATGCAAAGATTGAGCAGGCGGCAAATATGTTACTTTCAGTTGAAGCTCCTAGCAAGGCTTGAAAGGTGGAAGCAACGGCTTAACGGTTGGGGGAGGGATGGTGGGTGGGTGGGTGGGCGGGCGGGTGGGTAGGTGGGTGGGTGGGTGGGTCCATTGATGGCTGGTTTTTGGCAGGAGGCCATCTCCAAACCCCAGCTTTTGCTTGGCAGATTTTGCTGAATACCTGGACTTCCCGACAAGCACCTGGTTTTAAACTCGAAGCATTCAACCCGGGAAAATGTGGCGAATGTGGCACAGGAGGCCGGTTATTGTAAGACCCCAACATCAAAGGTCGCTCTATTGGTGAAGGGCTTCACTCTTGGGGGTCACCATTTTTGAGGGTTGGTTGGGTCTCCGAATAGTCGTCTAATGTGCAAGTCAGGCTTGGTTGAGCCAACTGGCAACCCAAGGCTTGCGAAAGGACCAGCTGTCGCGTGTTTAAAAATTCCGTTTCTCCCGTTTCTCGAGGTCAAAGTCAGAGTACTCGCTTCCCTTCAACCTCCAGTTAGCAAACGAATATTTGGTGGTTTGAAGTGGGGGTTTGGAGCGTGAGCCCTTGTTTTTTGTTTGTTTCTCCTTTTTGTTTTTTCGTGACGTTGAACACCCAAGAATGGCTCTCCGGTCGGCCGAGCCAAGAGTTTCGGCTTCTGCGGCTTGCGCCAGACGCGCCTGACAGGTCATCAGTGGTGTGAACTTTGTGAGCTACTGGTTCTCCACATGGATCTGGGCCGCTCAAATGGATCAACGTGGCGGTTGGGTGATCTCCCCCCCGTCAAATGGCCGTGCCCTGCTTTCTTTTTTTTCGAGGACCCCCCGCAAAAAAATATAATCAAATAAAGAATGGCCAGATTTTTAAGAGGGAACCACCTCAGAAGTCATGTGGACATGAATCCGCGCCTAAAGGGTGTCCACCAAAGGGTCTTTTTTTACAACTCATGCCTAGAGTCTCCATGACCCTTTAAAAATGGGGTCATGATCCCGAAAAAGGGGAATTCACCGATCAACCATAATTTTTGATTGCAACTCTTTACTCATGTTTAAGTAAAGAAATATCTTTCGGTTTCAGGCAACCACAAAGGGAAACTGGGGTTACCTACGGTAAGGGTACTTGGTATGCACTGGCAAGAGCTTAAAGAAGAACGGGCGGAGGCCCTCCTGGGAGGGCCTTCCACTGAAGCTGAGGATATCCTGAACTACATGGTGGCTGCGGTGCTGTCGGTACTGCTCATCGTTGCCCAACTGCAACCAGTAGGTTCCTTTTGCGTTGTTTTCCGTTTCTCTTTCAGTGTTGCTCAAGGGTACATGATTGGTCAGTTCTTCCTTGGATCTTCGTATTGCTTTTCAGGAAATCCCAGTGCCAGGAATTTTGAAACAGCCCCGTTTTGCATTGAGTGTCTCTTTAAAGTCGACAAGCCAATTGGGCAAAGACCCATCGCTTGCCTAAGTGTTAGCGTGCACACTCAAGTAATGTTGACCCAGGATAATAAATCCGTCCCATTATTAGGGGGGTGTTCCCTCCAAAAGTGATGAATCCCCACTAAAAGGGGACACCCCCCTATTAATCACCCAGGGGTTTATAAATCCGGGGTTATCATTACATTTACATGACGGGACGCCCACAAGAAGACACAGCACCCGCATTTGAGGGAAACATGATAACACATATACCGAATACAAATCGTATCAAAGAGTGGGGCAATTAATGGGCGTACGCCCAACATGTTGCATTCGAATCGTTCCCCCCTCCACCTCCCCCCATGTTCCTGTTCTTTTCGTATGTCTTGTTTCACACGGTGTTCATGGGAAAGCCACTGGTCAAAGGCTGTGTTTAAATTGTTGCGCCTTTTCCCCTACGTATTAATATGCGTTTCTGTGTGTCTTTTTGCGGGAAACCGCCAAACAAAAGAATAGAAGTGGTTTTCCTTTGGATTTCTCTTTGAAAACCACCAAACAATGGGGCATCTCCTTCCAAACAAGCACGAAAACAACAACACAAATTGTGTTTTCCTTTTGGCTTCCTTTTGAATCCCACCCAAACCCGGGGGTTCCCTACAAAAAGACGTTGCGCCCAGGCTTTGTTCAAAGTGGAGTCCCTGGTGAGCGCGGAGACGCTGCCCTGGACCTGTCTCTGCGTGCTGCTCTATGGGGTGAGCTGCAGCTCCTTTACCTACATGCCCCTTGGCCAAGGTTTTGGTCCCCTAAAAAGGTGGGGTGGGGGTGGGGGTGGGGGTGGGGGTGGGGGTGGGGGTGGGGGTGGGGGTGGGGGTGGGGGTGGGGGGGTGGGGTGGAGTGGGGTGGGGTGGGGTGGGGTGGGGTGGGGTGGGGTGGGGTGGGGTGGGGTGGGGTGGGGTGGGGTGGGGTCCCTACACCACAAAACATCCAGAGCCTGAAACCTGTTGAATAAATTGACTAGGTCCCCCAGTAGGGCCCTTTTGCCCCTTTTTGGGTGGAAATTTGAAAGGGACTCCACAAGCAAACCAACCACCTGCGATACACCCCCATGTTGACTGGGGTAGACATAGGATACATTTTACATGTTACCAGTGACTCAAAGTGAAGCAAACGATAAAATCTACATTCTACAACTGGGCCTAACTTCAATCATGATCCGGAGCCTGAAACCAAGGGCCCCATGTGTTAGTTTTGTTTTGTGAAGGGAAACCCCAAGGGGATGTTCCTCTGTTTGCTAAAAAGCAATAAAACCCAAAGGCCAAGGGGTTTCCTGGAGGGGGTGGGGTAACCTACAAAACATCCAGAGAACCCATTGAAGACATTTACTATCTCCCTCAGTAGTGCCCTTTCACCCTTTTTTGGGGGAGGGTTCCCCTACTAAAATAGACTACAGAAAAAAGGGTACCCTCAAAAATGGAATTGGGGGAGGGGGGATTTCGACCCCTGGAGATCTCCATTTGTCCCATTTTCCCTTTTTATGGGGAAGACTAGATAAATGGAATTGGGGACCCCCCACCCCCCTTCCCCTTAAGTTAGGGGGGATCACCCCAAAACATCCAGAGCCTGACAACTACTGTGGATGGTTGCGAAATCCATTTCGCACCACCTAAGAAACGATGGAATGATCTGATTCCCCTGTACATTCCAAGAAATAATCATTTCATTCTGCTTTCCAAGAGGTGCAGGACTTTGTCCATCCACAGCATTGAAGAAAGTTATGGGGGGGTAGCCAAACTGCCGTTTGCCCAAGTCTGCTCCTAAGGAGCAGGGCTGTGGTGGAGCTGGAATCCACGAATCTGTGATCCAACAGCCCCCTGCTGTGGATGGACGAAATCCATTTAGAAAAAAACATGAAACACTTAAGAAACCATGGTGGAAGCCAGAAGGTTGTTGCTATTTTTACAGGGAATCATATCATTCTAGGGCTGTGGTTGAGATGGAAACAACGAATCTGTGATACAACAGATTGGGCTTCCGAAAGACTCACCCTGCAGGGGGAAATTCCCTTGTATCACATCGGGAATACACTCCCACAAGCCTGCTAAGGAGGATAGGTAAAAGGGGGGTAGTTGACAGCTGGTTTCAGGTTCCTTGCTCCCCCCCCCACCCCCTCCGCCCCTAGAAAAGCACCCCGGTTCTTTCGCACCTCCTAAGAAGCCATGGTTGCAACCATAAGGTTTGCTGCTATTTACAGGGGCATTCCGTGGGGTTTCTTGGGTGGTGCGAAATGGATTTCGCGCATCCACAGTATCACCCCACAGAATTAAATGGGAAGGAAGCCAACAGAAGAACTTTTTTTCAAGGGTCCCCTATTTTGGCACATACCCACATTCAAACCCATATTTCAAGGGTGGAATTATCGCTTTTGGATGGATTAGTCGTCATCACCTGGGGCGAATGTGAAGTGAGCTTTCTTGTGGTGATGCTGGACTGGGCTGTGGGTCAAAAATAGGGACTCAAAATGGCACCCTGGTAGATGGAAACCATTGCGCTTCAGACCCTTGGGGGTAAGGCCAAAAGAAGGCCACCGAATCAGTCGATAAATAACTACCTGGAGTCTCCTTCTGACTTCCTTTGAAAATGGTTGGTCACTACCCAAAATAATGAAATGGGTCATGGACCCATTTTTCAAGGTTCAGAAGGAGACTCCAGGTACCCATAAAGATGGAATTCAAGAATGCTCAAACATTGTGTTACCCTGGTCGTTTGAAGGAAAAAGTTGCCAGTTTTTAGTATTGAACCAAGGAACACGACTTTCAGGAAGGGTATATACTAATTTAATATTTCAATTCTGTAGAACCATCTCGTTTTTTTTCAAACGGCGATTTTCTGTGTGCTGTTCTTTGGAAGGTCTCGCTTTCGAACGGGGGAACTCGAATCCCTGGAGTCTCCATGACCCTTCCAAAATGGGGTCATTACCCAAAATTAAGAAATGGGTCATGGCCCCATTTTTGACGGGTCAGAAGGAGACTCCAGGTCTGCGTTTTTCGTAGGCTGTCCTTCCTCTTCAAGTCCCACACCGCAGCGCAGAACCTGCTGCTGATCGTTTACCTCTTCACGGGAGGCGATCAGAATCGATTCGGAGAACTAATCTGCGGCTAGTGACTGGGGTAGACTTATGATGCATTTTACATTTTACCAGTGACTCAAAGTGAAGCAAACAGAAAAATATACATTCTATAGCTGGGCCGAACTGCAGCTAGTGAAACAAATATACCTGGACCCAAAAGAACTATCCGTAGGAAGATAATTGACCAAGCTTGATTTGGGTTGCAAGATCTCATTTGCAAGTTGGAATTTTGTGGGTCCGGGTGGAAGAAGAAAAAAAACAAGAAGACGCATAAGAAGAAGAAGAAGAAGAAGAAGAAGAAGAAGAAGAAGAACAAGAAGCAGACAAGGAGGCAGCAGCAGAATAATAATAAGCAAAACGCAGGACTTAGGTATGTTCGGCTCGGGCACCTTTGAAGCAATCGAAGCAGTAGCCACATGCTTGCAAGATGTTCTCAAGAAGCCCGGACCGCTTTTCAAAGGGACGATATGGCATGGGTCGGGGCCCAAGTATTCGGGCTTTATGGGTAGCAACTCAAATCCATTTCGCACCCCCCGCGGACACTCTATGATGTTTCCCCGCAATACCAACAAACAATGGTTTCAACCATGGCCTCTTTGGTGGTGCCATCCACAGTATGAGAAACGAGGCATCTGAGTTGTGTATGGGTATACTTAGGTCCACCCTATCGGTTTCTGGTGGTGATATTGGAGATACTGTTGCTATTCCCTTATTTTGGACAGCCCTTGCATGTTTTCTTTGGAACAGGTGGTTTGCATGGCCTGAAGCCCCTTGATTTTGATCCGATCCGAATCACTTTCGGAAAAATCACTCCTGTAATTCACCAGGTCGATTGAACTGGGACCCTACCTGGAGTGTCCATGACCTCAAAAAATGGCCAACCATGTTGAAGGGTCATGCAGACTTCGGTACAAATGGTGGCTGTTTGGGTTTCATGCGAATCTTTAGGAGGATTGTGACTACTGTTAACTTCGGATTCCTCCGGAGGACCGTGCGTTTTCAGGGGTTTAGAAAGGACATGATCCAATTCACGGCCTGGGACCCTACCTGGAGTCTCCATGACCTTAAATCATGGCCAACCATTATGAAGGGTCAGGTACCTCCTTCGCCAACACCGATCAAATTCGCAGCCTGGGTTAGTGTAGGCATTCTGATGATCGTGATGATCGTCCTGAGCGTGCTGCCCACCACGAAGGACACATTACTGGCCGTTCGTTTCGCATGAGTTGGAAAGGGGCGGTCCGCATAGGTGTCCTTTTTTGTTGATTTGGTTAAGACAATGGATGGCGTTTCCTGGCTTTCCTGTTGGCTGATCATCTACCACGGCCATCTATTTTCCAAAAAGGACACCTATGGCGGTCCGCATAGACTTGGGGGCCAAACACCTTCTTTTTTCTTCAGGTTGGGATGTTCTTAGAGAAGCTGGTTGTACCTGGACCCTCAAACCATGACAAAAGGAATTCGTTCCAGAACATGTTTTAAGCCGGAATTTGGAGGGTCCAGGTACTTTCCAAGCAGCAAACGATGCCACTAAAGGCAAAAGGGTCCCTAGCGGCTTTTTCTGATGCTTAGGCCCTAGCAGGTCTCCTTGCCCGGTAGGAACTGCCAGTCCCAACATATTATTTTTGTTTGAAAAAGCAATTGCTCTACTGGATTGTAGGGTAAATCCATGGCAAGTCTTAGTTGGAGGCAATTGTTCATTGCGGCTATTGAGCACTGGACCACTTGCTAAATGGAGGGGGGTCATCCAAGTTCCCCCATTGGAGGTCTCTTCGAGCCCAAAAGAAGAAAGAAGAAGACGTGTCGCGCAGGATCTGGCCAAGAACGTGCTGGTCTGGATCTTTCGCATTATGCTCCTTGGTGCAAGACGGAGCCAACTTTGATCACTTTCCTAAGAGAGATACCTGGACTCTCCCTATGACCCTTAAAGATTTGGCAGTCAAACCCTTTCACTGGGGTAGACTTAGGATACATTTTACATTTTACCAGTGACTCAAAGTGAAGCAAACAAGTATAATTTTGGGTAATGACCCTGAAGGGTCATGAAGACTCCAGGTACACTGATGTCCACCTGAACACGACTTAAGAATGGGGTGAGTTGCAACCCAAAAGTACCAGGGCTCCTTAAAAGATACATTTTGCCCATTTGAAACATGGCTTTTTCCACCAAAATAAACGGAAACCAATTCACAAGGCAATGTTCAGGTGTATAATGTAAGGATCCGTGAGTACAGATGGTTTCGCGAAATCCAGGCAGCGAATGACTCGATTCCACGTAAACAAGAATGGTTTCACAGTGGTGCAGGATTTCATCCATCCACATGTTTGGTGACTTCCCTTTTTTGTAGGTCGTTTGAGGCTCCCGGCAAGATTATGGAACTTGACCAAGGTGTCCTGAAAGAAGAGTTTCCTTGAACAGAGTCCCTTTGGTGTGGGTCCATGTGAGTGTAATGCATACCCCGGATTAAAACCCCCCCCCCCTCAAGGTCACAAGGTCGGGTCTGTCATTTTTTGAGGGGAGTCAGCCAATGCGTGTTGCTTGTGGACATGTTTGTTGACCCTTCAATGATCTTCAACGCATAGGTAGAAGATATAGCATAGGTTTCCTTCGATTTCCCCTTCTCAGGAATGAACCATGTGTCAACGCTTTTGCCAGGGATGTTGGGGCAGCACCATTTGGTGATCAACCCACCATGTCAGGTTTCCCATTTTAAATTGTATGAGAATTAGGGAGCTTGCCAAGACCCTAGACTGGACATTTTGTTTTCCAGACTCTTGTATTTAGAAATATGTTGCCCCCACATCCAGCCTTTTCAACCTTGAGGGAAACGGGGAGCTAAGCAAAATTTTGATTGTTTGCCCCAAGTGAATTGGAAGGACAACCTGGAGTCTCAAACTGCCCAGAGTAAAAGGAATTCACCCCATAATGTTGGGTTGCAAAAACCCGTGTTTAAGTTGTCATGTTGACTTAGTTTGGCCAAACCCTGTCAATGTATCCGTTTTCCTTATCCAGTCAGCAATCATGCAAGTGCACAGTTCTTCTGTTCTTCACTGTTTTTGGCAATTCGTTGTTTGAGTTCTTTGACGTTCAGCCTCGGCTGCCAGAAAACCCATCGCTTGCTCGCATAAATCCCGAGTGTGCGAATCTCAAGCCATTCGCAGAACACTCTCGGGCTTCGTGTATATATATATATATATGGTACAGCGTTGCCAGCCCCCCCTCCCCCCCCCCCCCCCCCCTTGGTCAGACAAGTACCCCCCCCCCCCCTGTGGTTGTGGTCCTGTGGTTGGGTTGTGGTGGTTTAGGGTTGGTTTAGAATTGGTTTAGGGTATATCTAGGGTGTATTTAGGGTTGGTTTAGGGTCGGTTTAGGGTTGGTTTAGGTTTAGAGGTGTACAGTTTAGAGTTTGGTTTAGGGATTGGTTTGGGGTGTTAGTTCAGGGTTGGTTTAGGGCTATTTTAGGGTTTGTTTAGGGTTGGTTTAGGTTTATGGTTGATTGTTTAGGGATTGGTTTAGGGTGTATTTGGGGTTAGTTTAGGGTTGGTTTAGGGTTAGTTTAGGGTTAATTTATGTTGATTTAGGGTTGGTTTAGGTTTAGAGGTCTACGGTTTAGGGTTTGGTTTAGGGTGTATTTAGGGTTGGTTTAGGGTTCGTTTAGGGTTGGTTTATGGTTGGTTGCGGGTTGGCTTGTCCTGGGGGTGGGGGTGCCGGGATGTCGGGGTGCGAGTTCAGGGGGTCGGGGTGGGGGTGGGACCGTAGGTGCCAGGATTGGGGGGCTCGGGGTCTCGGGCCGGGGGGGGGGGGGGGTCTTGGGGGACCCATACCATATGGGGGGGGGGGGTAGCAACAAGGAACACGGGACCATATATAGACCTGGAGTTTGCATGACCCTTCAAGGTCAGTACCCAAAAATCAGGGTTAACACCTATTGTTTAAGGGTCATGGAGACTCCACCAAATATATATATATACTGAATTATATCTTTCACCCTCACTCCCACAAACATGGCACCTGACAGGGGGTCCCTACAAGATGAAGATCATCTTCCCGGTAGCCTCCCACAAGCGCTATGTGAGTACATCTTTTAGCGGTCGCACCAACACCACCCCCCCCCTGTCGTTCGCACTACGTAGCGGTGAGTTCGCAGAAGTTCGCAGCGCCTTTTTTGAGAAACCGAGTTTGCAAGTGCCACCATTAAAAACAAAACAAACACAACGAAAGAAAGAAAGGTATCTCGCGGGGTTTGTTTGCCCCTTCTAGGATTCCGGGCCCCACCTGGACCCGAAAGAACTACCCATAAAAAAGGGAATTCACCCATCAACCACAGTTTTTGTGGGTTGCAACTCTCAGCTCATGTTTGAGCAAAGAAATGCGTCTTTCGGTTCCAGGCAAACTCTTCATCTCAGGCCGAACTTCTGCCTGGCGGACAGTTTGACGAATCTGATCACCCGGAAGAACGTGGCCATCTGGATGGGCAACGGCTGCCCCTTCGAAGGCTGCGCGCCCTACGACCTCCAAATCGCCGGCACCCGGGCTGCAATTTCGGTGTGAACCAAACCGTCTGGCCCAGGCGGCCGCGTTTTCAGAGAGAAACCCTTGGCTGCGACCAAACGGCGGTTTTCGGTATGTTGAAATACAGGGTGACCCGAACATCACACACACACACACCCAAAGACAGCCCAACAAAGGGTTAGCGGCTTAATAAGGTATTCCTTCTTCGGGCGGGGAAGTGCCCTTGACCAAAGATCCGGACCAAACATGGCCGCGAGCTGAATACACGAGCTAAGGCGGGTGCAAACCGGCTTCTAGCCTGCATATCTCATAGAAAGTTCACCACAGATTGCTTGGCGGTTCCCAGCTATGTCCTGAAGGACTTGGTGTTTAGAGTTTACATATTCACCTTTCCACTCTCCTAAGCATCAAATTGGCCCTCATTTGACGGCCAAAACCTTCCAGTAAAGAATTATGCACCCCAATGGATCATCCTTTTTGATGCTTTCAGCTGGCCTAGCCAGGGATCATCCAACCGCCAAGTTCGGGGACCCTTTACCTCTTAAGGCTTGTCCCTAGCTTTTTCCGCGTCTCCAGGACCCCTTAAACCTTCAATGATTCGATCGCCGAAACCGTCAAGCCTCGGCAAGTTGACTGCCCCAAGGCAGCATTGGACCCTTCATTGGAGGGGTCAGGGTCTTCATTGCCATGGGGATCCCTTTGCATTCCGCCCTTCGATTCCGACCCAGGCTACGACATGCTGTACATGGGCGTGGGGAGCGTGATCTGGTGCCTAGGTGGAACCAGTGCAGGGAAGGTCGACGTTTGGTTCAAGGAGAGCAGGAAACGGTTGAAATCATGCACACCAAGATCTTAAACGGACAAGATGAATTCACTGCCCCTCGATGTTGACCCCAGATTGATCAACCCCTGTTTATTGATGCGGGGGTCTCCGATTCTGGGTTTTGTGGGGAATCATCAATTTTGGAGGGGAACACCCCCTAGTGTCTGCCTGAGGATTGTCATCCAAATTGGTTCCTTCCTTTCTTTTAATGGGAGTAAGGAACCCTAGGGTATGGGTGTGGCGCAAATGGAAAGAGCTAGGGCAAACGGCAGGCTCTTTGGTTCTTTCCTCATATTATGGGGTAAACGTTATTCTTGTAGTTGTTTTTTTGTTGAGATACCCTGAGGCTTGCGCTCTCAAGAGGCTTCTAGTGGGTCAAAATTGAACCACCCAATAAACCGCAGGTTTGAGGGCAGGTTCCCGCTTAGGGCAAGCCATTTTGGGGTTACCCGGTTTTTGACCCACGGATTCCATATCGCTGCCATGGATGCGTCCGAACCTTGCGAACTGGGGCTCTGGAACATCAGACTTCGTTTGGGTGGAGGTTCCGCGCTGAAAAAAACGGATTCACTTGGAGTCTCCGAATCCGACCCGAATCAAAAAGTTGTTGGTCAGTACCCAAAAACTGAGGTGCTATGACCCCAGGTCTTAAGGCTCAGAAGGAGACTCCAGGTAGCATGCCTCCACCCATGGTTGCTTCCAGTTACCATAGAGGGTCTGATATTTTTGTGCCATGGTTTCTTGTTGTCTTTTGTATGTTTTTTTTGCTAGGTGTTGCCATGGATGGCTTCTTTTCTCATGGGGGGGAGGGGGAGGGAGCCCTTCTTAAGCCCTCAGAAGGCCTGATTTGGTGCTTCTGGTGATTTTTTGGGTCGTCTGCTTGCCATCAGGTTCTTAGCCACCCTCGTGCTGGAGTTGGGCTTCGCCACCCCCAAGCTCCGTGCGCTCTTCCAGTTCCGGCGCTTCGACGCCGGCCGAGGCGGGGGCGGGGAGCAAGGTGGTGGGTGGCCGCGGTTGCTTGAGGAGTTGCTTGGGGCGCAAGTTTTGGAGGGCTGAGGTTTGGAGGGCGCCCCCCCAAACTACCCATGAGAAAAAAGGAATTTACCAACCATGATGCCAATTTTTAGGTTGGAATTCTGAGGGTCAAGGATGGAACCACTACCTGGAGTCAACCAAAATCTGACCCAAAATAAAAATGCTTGGTCATACCCCCTGACCCTTCAAGAAATGGGGTAACCCGTTAAAAATGGGGTAATGAATTTGTTTCATTCGGGTCAGTTTTTTTTGAGACTCCAGGAAATGGTTCCCACGAATCTGTGATACAGAAAGGGCTTCCCGAAGGGCGAGATCCCCTTGTATCACTGGGGATACACCCCCTTGATGTCACAACAACTTGCTTTGGAGCGTTAAAGAGCAAACTCCTCCAACAAAAACAACTCGGACAAAGTTGGTTCACCCACTTGGTGTGGGCCATATACTATGCAACCAACTTGGTAAGTAAGTCACAACCATAATTCTTGGGGTAACTGGAAAGATCGTCCCGCGTTTGTTTACGTTGGGCGTCAGGCAGGATTTGGGCCATCCGATTGGATGGCGGGATTTGACATTGGCACCACTAGCGCCTGGCGGGAATGCCTTGTGGATGGCAACCCAGAAATCGCACCACCGAACTCAGAACCCCAACGGAATGATCGGATTCCCCAACGTGAATCCCAACGCATGGTTTCAACCATGGGTTCGTTTCATGGTGCAAAATGGAGGACTCCTCCGTCCACAGTATACTGGAAAAAAGCTGGCATGAGAACCAACAGGAAACCGGGCTTCCAATTAGCGGCCGAGAATTTCGAGATACCCGAAATTGATCCGATTGGATCTTTGGCACAAAATCGGCCCATTTTTATGAGACTCAACTGCGCCTTGGTCGGGGGTGTGATATGGGGGATCCTGGTTCATATTGTGGATGGACGAAATCCTGCACCACTTTGAAGCCATGGTTGAGACCGTCGTTCGACAATCCAAAACCCAGAACCCGACACCCCAAACCCAACCCCCCAAGCCCCGAAAACCCACCACCGGCCCAAAATTTATCCATCCTGGCAGACGATGCACAGCTGGATCGCCACGTGCAGCTGGAGAAGGACAGTCTTTAAGAGATCCCTTGGGCCAGCTTTGTCTGCATCTTTTGGGCAGTGCGGGTTGGGGCTTGGGCAAAATGTTCACTCAAACAACTACCTGGACCCTCGAACAGTCTCTTCGACATGGGCCGTTGCCCCAACGATCATGGTGTGAATTCCATTTTTTTGTACTTGGTATTTGTTCTCGGGTTCACACTTCAGGAAGTCCCAAGTTTGCACAAACCCAGGAGCATGATCATCCTGAGATGGTTCATGGGCTGTTTCAAAGGAGGATTGCGCACCTTTTTGGTGGCATTGCAGCCTGAGACTGAGATGAATCATGGGTTTGGTCCTTGGATCCACTGGTCTGCTCTTAGATGGCATGGTCACCTGGGTCTCTGATCTGCATGGTCTGGTGCGTGGCCTGGCCTTTTGGCACTGCCCGCTCCTCTAGACAAGGGCAGTGAGGGTCCAGGTAGATCTTGCTGGCAATGCTGGTAGAACCAAAGGCAATAGTTTTGGGCACTGGCAACCCATCGTACCTCATTTTTGGGAGAGGTCTCTTTGAAAATCGACCAACGAAGGGTCACCCTTCTTTGCCCATGGCCACTGGGCTCAGCGCCGGCAAGAGCGGCAAAGTGCACCACCGCTCTTGAAAAGGACCCAGGTGCAACCAGTGGATTCCGACCTGTTGTCCCCCATTGTCTTTTGGGGGGAAGGGTTCCGATTCCTTTAAAGTCAACTCACCAACAACTTGGATGCCGCTTTTTTTCCCCATGGAAATCCACTGGGCGTCTGAGCAGAGCACCACAGGTTTCCCAGGCCCAAGGCGAACATATTTTCTGGCTGGCGGCATTTTGCAAGCTTCCTTTGGTGGGGTGTGACCGGTAGTACGAGCTGTGTCTGAGTAGGAGACCTGCCCCAATTTCGTTGGGTGTTGCTCTTAGCTGCTCTTTGAACTTACCGAATAGAGGCATCCTCCAAAAACACACACATGTGACCCACTCAGGGTATACTTGTTGGGGGTATGCCACTTGCTAGCCATCCCCTTAGCTTTTTGGCTCTGTAAGCGTTTAGTGGGGATTTCCATTTAACCCACTCGAAGTTCCACTTTTCGCAGGGGATCTGAAAACGGACAGCCCAGCCATAGCCTACGCACTAAGTTGGTAGATCCACGTTGTTCGGCTGGTGCGAGTTTGGGTTTTTTTCTGGTTTTCGTGGGGGCTCTTTTTTTGGGGGGGAAGGGCCAAGAACCACCCCCCATATCATGGCTGTTGGGAAACATGTTACATTTTTGCTTATTGTGGTTTAGTGGTGGAAATCCAACCACTTAACTGCCAACATTTGAGAATGTTTGCTCCCCTTCCAACGTCAGCCGAGAGTACTCCCCGAGGTTTTCACATCCCGAACCCCCAAACCACCCGGAAAAAAAAGGATTTCACCTTAACCGCAAGGCGAATGTTTAAGTTGGAATTTTGAGGGGCCCAGAAGAATTTGGAAGGGAACCACCTCCACCCCCAAACAACCCGGTAAAAAGACGCGGAACTCAGCAAACGACCCTTAAAAACTACCCGTGAACTACCCGTAAAAAAAGCTACCTTGACCGCAAGGCGAACTTTGAGCAGGGCTTGAACTCCTCCGCACTCGGCTGGCGCCTTTCTTTAGGAGCGGGTGCAGAGCGGCGCCGCGGACGGGGAGATGGTGGTGCTCAAGGGTCTCCGCAAGGTGTGCCTGGGATTTGGCAGTTCCGCCGGCATCTTTTTTTGAGCATAAATAGGTTTGCCTAATATTTGTTGCCCACAAATATGTTTGCCTAATATGTTTGCCTAATTTGTTTGCCTAATATGTTGGCCTAATTTGTTTGCCTAATATTGTTTGCCCACACATACTGTTTATTTTTCGCACTGATTGTTTTTCGCTTAATATTACTTCGATTTGAGCTCGCCGATTCGTTTGGGTAGAACGAGCTCACCATGATAAGGGTCCTTTTCCTGGAATCCGTTTGTGCAGCTTCTGGAATTATGGTAGAATTTGCAGCTAGCTTTAACAAAAAGGCTTCAAGCCAGCCAACCCCAGTTACCCTAATGATAACTATGGGTGGAGCCTACTAAGCTGGTTGAACATCCAAGTGGGATTGAGGGAGGAATCAGCGCCGTTTAAACGGCGTGCCTGGACCCTCAACATGTCCTTAAACATGGCCTACTGCAACCCAAAATTATGGGGTGAGTTCCCTTCTGTATACTAGGTCCCCCAGTAGTGCCCTTTTACCCTTTTTTGGGGGAGGGTTCCCCTACTAAAATAGACTACAAAATCGGGTACCCTTTTTCCAACCTCTACTGGAGGAAGATGAGTCGTTTGAGGGTCCAGGTGGTTGTCCCTTGAGGCCCCAAAGGTTCTGCCGTATTTGGGTGGCTCGTCTTAAATCGGATCTGGAGCCCCAAATGGGATTCCGGTTGTCCCCTTTGGGTTTCATCGAAAAAGTGCTCCTCGAAAAGTGGGGAGTTCTGAACTCAGAGTGTGCTGAAATGGCTGTGGCTCAAAAAGACGGTACCAAAATGGCCACCTTGGTAAATGGAACCAAAGACTAAAACGGGCGTAACCCTAGCTCCTTAAAATTGAGCCACACCCAAATGGGGGTCCATGGGACTCAAGTCCTGCTCAGATCTATGTTCTGGTTCTTTCCCTTCGGCTCCAAGGAAAGCAACACGGAAACCTTCGAGGCCTTGAAAGCAACCCACCTGGAGGGGTTTTGGGTCATTTTGAGACATGTCTCAAAATACTTCACCAGGGTCAAGGGAAATCAAACAAAAGCCACCTGCCCCAGTCAAATGGACCCCCTCGTGGCTCAAGCCACATGTTAGCCATTGCCGGACTACAGAGGTCCAGCCTGGACCCTCAAACCCAGAAAGAAAGTTGGCAAACTCCCACCCCATCATTTTGTGTAAAAATTGCGAATTCTATGATTTGTGTGGGTTGCACAAGTCATTTTCGAGTGTCTGGACCCTCAAACAAGAAACAAAACAAAATCACCCCAAAATCTGTGGGTTGCAACTTCGCGCAATTTTGGTGGACAGCTCACACATTCCATCAGTTGTGGGTTGCAGTCTAGGTTTTCGAGTAGTGCCCTTTTACCCTTTTTTTGGGGAGGGTTCCCCTACTAAAATAGACTACAAAAAAGGGTACCCTTATTCCAACCTCTCTGCTGGAGGACCTAGCAACTGAATCCCATGTTTAAGGCTGGGAAGGTCGCTTTCGGGTCGCTGGAAGCTTTTGGGCCCAGGCGGGGGCAATAGGCTGATGCAACTTCGCGCTCGCTGAGGTTCCCAGGGCGCAAGGGCGCGCCACCCAAGGTGGCGGTGCAGGAGCGGGAGCCGGCGGCAACGTGTTTTTTGTTTTTCGGGGTCATGGCCCATTTTTTGAAGGTCAGAAGGAAACTCCAGGATCTGTTTTTTTCTTTCTCGACCGCCCAAAGATGTGCTTCTGGGCATGTTTCAGGTAATTGGAGTCTCCTTCCGACCCGAATAAAGCTTGAGGCAACCCCTTGATTTTGGGGTAAGGACGCCATTTTTAAGAGGGTCAGAAGGAGACTCCAGGTATGGGGTTTTGGAGGTACGGAGCCTTCTTTTGTAATTTCCACTTGGCATTGTGGCAGTTGGGTCACTCTGAGTCTTTGCGAGGTCTACAAGCAATCTTAGTTGGTATTTACAGGGAAAGCACCATTCCAGGGTTTCTGAACTCCACAGTAGGAGGTCATGTCCGGTGCCGTGCAACTCTGAATCCACCTGAGATTCTGTACTAAGAAAAAAATAGAAATTGAAAAAAGGCGAAAACAAATCCATAGGAGTAGTAGGAGGGATGTCTTTGGTAACCGTACGACATGTTCCTTTGGGTTCTACCGGGTCTTGGACACCTACCTGGAGTCTCCTTCCGACCCAAATAAGAACAAATCCATGATCCCTTTAATTTCCTTGGGGTACCCACCATTTTTGATTCGGGTCAGATTTGGAGACTCCAAGACTTATATAGTAGGTAACCAACTATGTTCCTCTTGGCTTATGGCGGTTCCCCTCGTTACCTACAAAACCAGGTAACTACGTTTGGATCAGGGTTGTGGGATCAAGGGGTTTCTCCCACCACTTCTGTGATGCTTTTGGGAATCCTGATGAAGAAAATGCAGAAGTGGTCATTCCAGTGATTCTCCACAGCCCTGCGTGGCTTCGTTTGGATCGTTTGGATGCCGCGCAGGACATGTTCTTCGGCATCCCGGAGGGCGAATGCTTCGGCTACCTCGGCCTCAACGGCGCGGGGAAAACCACCACCATGCCGCTCGGGATCTGTCGTGAGTGCCTTGAGGTTTTGTAACATTAGCCCCCAAAAGCTACCCAGTAAAAAGAAAAGGAATTCGCCAACCATAATGCGTTTTTTTTCCGCCTCATTTGTTTTTCTCTGTTTAAGGTGGAGTTTTCTGGGGTAAGTTCCCTTTTTTATGGATAGTTTGAGGGTCCAAACTACCTGGAGCCTCCTTCTGACACGAATCAAAAATGGTTGGTCATTACCCCAAATAAAGAAAGGGTCATGGACCCATTTTTAAAGGATCAGAAGGAGACTCCAGGTACAAATGGTGGCTGTTTGGGTTCCATGCTAATCTTTAGGAGAATTGTCACTAATGCTAAGCTCGGATTCATCCGGAGGACCGTGCTAATCAGGGTTTAGAAAGGACATGGTCTATTCTAGGGGGTTGACATGAACAATCAGTTAGCACCTGGAGCTGGTTGGGGATGCTATCCGATTTTTGCTCATTCCAAACTGGTGGTTTTTGAAGGGGAACCACCCCCAAAGGTAATTTTGAGGTCTCCCCAACATGTACTAGATCCCCCAGTAGTGCCCTTTTACCTTTTTTTGGGGGGAGGGTTCCCCTACTGATATAGACTAGAGAAAAACGGGTACCCTTACTCTAACCTCTCTACTGGAGGACCTAGTGTAATTACTTCAAGCCCAATCCTAACCGTTGCCTGTTCCTGCTTTGGTGCGAGGTCGAAAGGCGGGCCTTTGTGCAGTCATTTTTTTTTTCGAGAACCAGCTGGGCAAAAATGGATATATCTTCGTTTAGGCATCCCCTTGGCCACATAA